CCCACACACACCACCACACCCACACACACCACCACACGCACACACACCACCACACCCACACACACCACCACACCCACGCTACAGCCACACACCACCACACCCACACCACAGCCACACACCACCACACCCACACCACAGCCACACACCACCACACCCACCCACCACCACACCCACACACCACCACACCACCACACCACCACACCCACGGGTGGGCTTTTCTACCCACAGCCCCACTCAGGGGTGGGCTTTTCTACCCACAGCCCCACTCAGTTGCAGTTCCACCCGCGTATGGGTTTGCCCGCCCACAAACGTGCCGGGCGTGCTTGTTTCAAAGGCCTAACGACATGGCCGGCGACTTGTAATCAGGTAATAAACATATTGACTTTCACACATCGAAATAAGTTGCTTTCATCCATGTACGAAGTTTACGCTTGATCCTGTACAAGGGCAATTTGCTTGGTATCACTACAAGTCACTCAGTGGTAGTGCAGCTGGTTCATAATATCTTCCTGAGCAGATACTTACTGTACAATAATTGAAGCTCATTTTTGGAAGCGAAACAGCTACAAAACTCCCACTGCTCCACCTAAAGCAGTGTTATTTCTTTTGACCACTTCGTCTTCCTCTAGCCTGTCCATCGTGTTTTTCCGCTTGAGCTCATCCCCACCGCTTGGCTCATACGAGTCTTCATGTCGTGCTCCTCTAGAAGGATTAGACGTTGATGTACTACTTCCGTTCTTGTGCTTGAAGTCTGACCACCTCCAGTTTTCACGTCCTTTAGCTAGCCGTAGGCGAATGATTTCCTTGGGTAGAGACAAAAATCGTTTCGGATCAACGAAGAAGGCCGCGGCTTTCCTTCGCCATCCACCTTTACCTACTTGATGTGATACCCAGTCGTCGTGGTTTTCATACACGCCAAGCGCTGTTAGAGGGCGACTATGATTCACTATCGTAGCCATGTCATGTGCGTGTCCCTGTCGTGATTCACCTTAACCCTCCGTGAGAGAGACAAGGAAAATGCTGCTATTCCTGCTATAAAATCCCAAACTCATGAGTCTACTACTGTTCAGAGTGTATAGGAAAGCACATGACTGAACTCCCGCAACTTCTACCTCTTCGAGATTTATTTATGCAGATGTCATAACTCAATGTGATTCGCAATGTTCCCCAAGCCTTGTATGGTCACTAGCATGACGTTCATTTGCGCAATGCAGAAGACCGGAACGAAAATCGCGAAGAAAAACAGCACACAGATCCCAAAATATTTGAAGACGTAAAGCGGATGCACTTAGAGGTGTTTAACCCGTTTTTTAAGTTTACTTGGTCATCATCACGAGAAATTTGAGCACTTTCCTGAACAAAGTCTCCCTGTAGCAATAAATGACAAACAGAGAGTTAGGCAATTTCGTAGCCATAAATGACAAACAGCAACAGATATAGCGCGTAGTGGAAAGTGTCGCATTCTTTGGTAATGGCGCCAGCGAAAACCATGAAACACTTCCTATTCGCCGAACTCGTCAGCCACATGTCTACGTACACGAAGCTCATGAAGCATTGGATGAAAAGGCACATCGAAAGAAAGACCATTCGGTTCTTAGAGAGAGGAAAGACACATCGAAAGAAAGACCATTCGTTTCTTAGAGAGAGGAAAGACACGTCGCAAGAAAGACCATTCGTTTCTTAGAGAGAGGTAGAGAGACGCCATAATTCTTTCATTCATTCATTTGCGAACCACGTGACAGCTTACGCTGACTGATTCCGTTGCGCCATAATCCAGACTTAGTACAAAAAAAAATTCACAGACATCCATGTCAACTTTTGTTTGCTAGATTGTTTGAAAAAATCCATAACGACTCTAACTTGGTCCAAGACTCGGATCGTGTCCTCGCTCGATTCAATGAGAACGTGCCGTCCACTCGCAACGCGTTCGACGTCCGTGGGGCCTTCAGACACGAGCGCCGAGAAGGCAAATGCTGCAAGCAGCCCACCCATTTGCTGGTGGCATTGACACTGGTATATGCCTTAGAGTAGAATAGACTTCTAGAGTAGAAACCTTAGGCTACCATCTTGTCGAGGATCTCAGACAGCGTTGCGATGGAAAGACTTTGCAGACGAAGTGCAGATTCCTTAAGACAATGCCTGCCAATCTTGCGCATCCTGGACAACCGCGTTTTGGCTGACGAAAACGTTCTCCGGTGGCCCTAGCGGTGCAACTTTCTCTTAATTTTCGTTTAAATATTGCCGGAAAATGTCATTCGCGCGGTCGTAGTCAATAGGCTTAGAACTGCCTGCCCCCCTTTTTGGCTCAACGTTAGCTGCGGTTGGCATGATCTTTGTATCGTTCGTCTTTGAACCAGCAGCAGCAGGTGTTACAGGAGTTGTACCAAAAGCAGAATGCAGCTGCTCAGACCCTCTTGGAGATCCTCTATTTCCTTTGCCTATTTCTTGACTCGACTGCGTTGCAGCCTCTAAAACTACAACTTCAGGACCGTCCTCTGCCGCATACACCTTAGACGAACCCTGGCCTTGCTCGGTGTCCTCCTTCCCTGAACTCGAGGGCTTCTTCCGAAACAACATGTGTTTTTGTTTTGTTTGATGGTATCAAAATTGGTCTGCTCTAGTTATGTTCGTAGTGTTAAGTAATAACCTAGTTCCATTATTTATCCGACGACCCGCCAAAACTTCGATTGAGATCTTGTTTAATGTACGGCTAGCACGCTTGTGCACATTCTACTTGCCATCAGTGCTTACTAGTCGGAACGGACACAAGAGCGCAAATATGCTGACATCAATCAGCTTGAATCAATATGATGTTTAGCAAGAAAGATTGACTCACAAATTGACAATCGCGTAGGTTTTTGGAGGATTTGTGTTTTTGAAAGCAAGAAGCGTAATTGTGTTTGGCAGATACTGGTCAGCAAGGTTTAGTTTCGATGATGTAGGCTAGTAAAAAGTCTACCTTCATTCTTGTGCGGTGTTAGTGAATTAGGTTGAATTAAGGGAAGCATCAGAGTGAACAATGTTGATGAAAACCTGTGGTTAAATCAAGTTAGGTAAATCGAGCTGGAGCTGGCACTACAACAATTAGTAAAAAACAGAGCATGAAACACGGCATCTGCGTTCCGACCCATATCATTTTCAAGGAGAAAAAACTGAGACTCTACTTTATTCTTTCCTTGTTAAAGTCATGGACGATTTTGCTACAATAAGAAGCCTACAAGTTCGCTATCCAAAAAAATACGAAATGAGACACCTCAAGATGAGGCGTAGGAGACATCGATCGGTTACTATTTAGTCAGACATGCAGCACGACTGAGTCACTTTCCTTAGAGTGACTCGCCTGTCGAATGAATGTTGGTAGTAAATGGAAGATTGATGTCTAGCACTAGAAGACGGCTCTCAGAAGATGGATCTCTCTTCTGTGCATCGTCGTCGATACTGTTTATACATCGGATAGAAGAAAGTAGTAGTTTTACAGGAGACGTTCAGAAAATTATATTACTATTGACCTAATGAATTCTTATATCGATTGATGTTGTCACGAATCGCGTTCGTTCCTACCTCGTTTCTAGATAGATGATAATTGCAGCTATGAGTCGTGAAGTAGCTAAGTAATTGTTCCTGCCTGTGCTGTATTATATTTGTTTGTAGTAGTTCCATTTTGCTGGTCAGAATGGATCGTTGTAAGAGTCGTAACAAGAACCTCTATCGCTTTCGCAGCATCATCGTGCACAACGAGAGTCTATAAGTGATTGTATATTGAAACACTACTCAAGTGCTCTCTTTCTTCGGATATTTCGAACAAGCTCAAACCTTTTTGTCTCTTACATAAATTTGAATCAACTATAATACTAGTCGGTCCCCTAACGATTTTTACTGGTGTTCATACAATGAATGTGGAAACAGATGGTACTAATCATCTAACTTGCAGTAGTATACTGATCGGATCAAGCTTGTTGATGCTTATTTTATGTCAAGCTCTCCTTCTATTCTTATTTTTCTAGAACACAACCTCCAGGCTATCACGTGCTTTGTCGGTGTTCTACTTAGCGCTTAGGTTACTTTAGAGCTCAAAACATTTCATTTCTTGCGTTCATTTCTTCAGATTCCCAAGAAGAAAATTGCGAGAAATGACTTCTAGAAATGAAATATTCTGAGCCTTAATTACTGCTTCCTCGTGTAGTGGCTCAAGCTGGCGCTTTCACCTCTGCCACGCCCTCCTCGTAGTTCGACGCGATCACTTCCTCTGCGCCAGCCTCTGCGGCCACCTCCTCGGTCGCAGCGGCAACCTCTTCGGCAGTAGCGGTTGCCGGTGGCTCCGAGAATTTGATCGGCTCTCCTACGATCTTCAGTGCCTCTTCCTCCTCCTCTGCGGCGCCTTCTTCCTTTTCCGCTGGCTCGTCGGCTTCAAACAACTCTTGCTCGTTGTCGAAATTGTAATCTGGGAGGTCATCATAAGAAGGTCAGGTATTTTGAAGTAGAAAGAAGGAATTTAGAACCCCGGTGAGTGTCAAGAGATACAGGTAGCTCAACAATTTAGCATCTTCATGGTTTCACCTTCCTGTAGTTGAAATGGTTCATTTCAACACAAGGAAGTTGGTTCATTTCGATAGATATGGATATTTATAAGAAATAACTCCGAATGATCCATCGAACTAGTACAAGTCTATTGGAATTTTTGGCATACCCATACCGCCATTCATGGGTTGGATCTTACGAAGGAAGATAGGGGAGCTTACGAGGAGCTCATTAATGGTTTGAACATCCTGTAGTAGATCTTCATGGTTTCAATTTCAGCTTCTGACATCTTGATGAACAAGAACATTGCGTGTAATCTATGGGGTATCTTCCTAGTATTATTAGGTATTATTCCTTTCTTACCCTCTCGGGGCGGGGTCGATGGGGCATCGTCGGCTTCTTCGGGCTCAATAATACGTGACATTCTAAGTTCCCCTTCTCTGGCCTCCTGGTGGTCGACTGCCTTCACAATCGTTGAACTAGCTCGGTGTGCTATTATCGGACCTTGATGTAGACGATAAACCATCATAAGATGATACAACTAAAGTCATAGTCGATGTACTATTTGACTAAAAATGATCTACCATCCTACTAGTAATACTAAGTTGTATAATTTCGCTAGTAATACTAAGTATAAACTGTACTAAAGAGAGTTACAGCCCGATTAATATAGCGGATAATATGGGTTACTCTATGTACTATCTTCTACTGTGGATCATATGTACGACTGTGAAGGCAGCCCGACCCCAAGAGAATCGACGTCACGAACCCGCCGACATCTCACTAAAAAACCAAAGCAGTCAAATATGGGGTATTGGTCGATACCTAATGTTACATACTAGTCATCTTTTTAGTCGCCAGCTCCATTTCTATGTTTTGGATACTATCTATCTCAACGAAGCGGGAGTTCTCTATATTACCTAAATAAGTCTAAGTGTTTACTTATTTCATCTCCTTATGTCACACTCCACGAATGATATCAGACAACATCATCTAATCATACTAGCTACTGTTAATACTGGAGAATATGATAGATATTTATTACTCATAGTAGTATTGGTCCTAAGGAAATCAATCTACCTGCCTATACGAGGTCTACTAGATGAAAATCCATATAGTACCTGCCTGGACGAGATCACCGAAGTCCTCCTTCGCGATAATCGGTGGCTGTGGCGCAATATGCACTCGTGTTGCTAGTAGAGTTCCCTTTGGTACTTTCGTTGCCAATGTAGGCGCATTCAATTTCAACGTTGGTGGCGGTACTGTAGTGATGATTGGACAATGTTGAAGGGGTATTAATCATGTAACTGTATTGTACCAAGATAGACAAAGCAAACTAGTTCGTTGTTGTAGTTCTACATTCAAAACAGCAAAGATCTGTGGAAACCGTGTTCTACTTCTGTTCTACTTTTGTTGAAAGAAGTCTCCAGTAGTACGTTTTGCTTGTGCCTTGACGGATACCCTAGCGCTAGGAATGACCGGTTTACCGTCTGGGCCTTGAAAAGCGGGCATTAAAATCGGAGTCGCCTTTACACTCTTTACCTGAAAAAAAAAGTTCCATACTTGGAAGAAGATAGAGAGGAGATGCTAGCGTCAACATCGAGGACTCATTCATTCATTCATTCATTCATGTTCGCGGTTCGGGTTCGGCAATTCAGCTCACATAAAACCCGTCCACGACGTTTAGATTCATTTTCTTCTCAAGAAATTGTATCAAATTCAAATTATTTACCTCATACTAGTAGTACTAGTTGTATACCGTAAGACGTCCATAACTTTTCGCCGATTCCGCTGTGGTAGTGAGCGTGTACTTGGCAGGCTGTTGACCACTCACCGCGATACCTGCTTACTACTTCATGGGCGGTTACTACTTCGATCGTAAGAACCTTTCCTAGAAGTAGTTGTCTGTTGATAGTATAAGTTCGTTCGCCCTGCTCTATTAACCAGAAACAAAAGAACATGTTGATGATTATCCAAATACTAGTATCTAAATATCACAAATACCGCTCGGAGGCACAAGCCCATATGGCTTTGACAAATCGAATGATCGTTGCTCCTGTGGTGGCAGCCCAATTTTAATATCGGCCGCACTGAATTTCAGCACTGGGCCCTTGCTGTTCGCTACTGCCGACATCGTGATGACAACTCAACGTCAGTTGAGGGAGTAGGTAAGATAGAGGGAGAGTATGATGTTGATAAACCCAGCTCAACGGGGTCTCAGCCTTAGTATAGAGTTCCCGGTAAGAGTAGAGAGTGGATCTGGATTCTTACGAAATGTAGGAGCGTACTCTCACTTCAGCCTCGCTGAGAGAGCTTACCTTGTTTTTTTTGTGTTGGTTTATCAAGTCATTGTTTGTAGAGAAGGTGTTAGTTAGACGCTTTCGATTTCACCAGTTTCCCTTTTTTGAATGACATTTTTTTCTTTTCCCTCCTCCAACGTTTCGCGCTTTTGTCCATATCACCATCTAAAAATTCGACCACTCGGGAGTCATCTCACAAACCACTTACTTTTTGTTTTTTCGCTCCTTCTTATCACTCTTTGCTTTGCGCCTCTGAAACTGTTTCTTTCTCTGGAAATATAGTCAATGTTTCAATCGCGAACAGGATGATCATTCTCAGAACCTCTGCTTTTGGTATTGGTGGAATGCTTTAACAGAATCCATCTCGACTATAGTACTAAAATCTGCGTAGTAGATTTTGACTTCATAAAAAGGGAGACTCCTCAATATTTGCGCTTACGAGTCGTTTGTTCTTGCACCAGAAGGCCCCGTCAGGGCGTTCTCAACTCATCATATCATCCATGTTTCAAAATAGAGGTAAGGGTACTAGGTAATGAGCTCTTTTTTGAATATTTCGTTAGTTCATGTTCATTTCTCTGTTGCGTGTCCACAACCAATCAAAACTTAAGCCAAAAACCAAACTGCTGCATCATATTTTTCTATAATGTCCGCTACATCTTGCACTTCTAACCGGAACCGCTGAAGAAGCTCCGCCATTTGTATCCGCCAGTATAGTCTTAAAAAATCTATTGGTGTCCGTGCAAGTGCATTATGTTTTAATATCACATGCCATGCTCGTCATCATACCTTGCCCTTCACCCAGAAAAAGCAATAGTTCTAGGAGTTTGCCCGTCATCCAAATCTGCAAGAAAAACGAGCATCATATTTAGAAGAAGTGCATCTTCTAGAATTCCGCATGTCCCGGGTAACGCGGGAATGGAATAACGTCGCGGATGTTGTCAATGCCCGTCGTTAGCATGATCAAACGCTCGAAGCCCAATCCAAAGCCGCCATGCGGTACGGTGCCGTACTTACGGAGGTCCAAGTACCACCAGTAGTCTGCCTCGTTCAGGCCGTTCTCTTTGATCTTTCCAGTCAAAACATCGTGTCGTTCCTCACGCTGGGACCCACCGATAACCTCACCGACAAGCGGCGCCAGCACATCCATAGCTGCGCATGTGCGACCGTCATCGTTGGCGCGCATGTAGAAACTCTTGATGGCAGCCGGGTAGTTGTACACGGCCACTGTTGGGAGATTCAATTCATTTCAGAGAACATTTCAGACCAATCTGATAGATATGAGAGGACTTTCACTTTGCGAAATCTATTTCAGTAAAAATTGTTACTGAGGAGCAAAAAGACTTTCTCTCTCATCTACTCGGAAACTACTTTAAAATCTATAATTGATGAAAAGTGTAGGTTCTATTAAGTACCTGGTCTCTTGAAGTATTCTTCCGCGATGTATTTTTCGTGTGCTGAGTTCAGGTCCATACCCCACTCAATGGTTAAAAGTTGCGGCCACGCCTTTTTGTCGTGTTCAGTGGCGTAGTTGGTCTCCAAATACTTTTTGAAGTTTCCGTTCTTCACTTCCTTGTCCAATAGCTCAATAGCTTCAGTGTAGCTCATACGTCCGAACGGCTTTTCGAGAAGGTTCTTCAACCGAGCGAGCAGACCCTTCTCAACCTTTGTACATGTTGGACAATCTGTTTGTGAGGAAGAAATAAAAGGAACAACCTCCAAGGATCAAGTTCAAGTTCAAGTTCAGGGTATCCCCGTCTCTCGCCCCAGACCTCGGTTTTTTTTTTCCATAGGACTACATGCTGCCTCCCATTCAACTACTTAAATAACCCCATTGAAAAACTTGCATATCGGGGGAGCAGCACTGAGGTAGAAACAAGAAGAGAATGAAGGAGAAAAGTCTTGGTCATCTCCGATCTAGACGCTTTTTACCTGTTTGTCAAAGAATTCCAAGTCCGTGTAGCAGTTATCTACTGCGTACTGCACGCAGAATTTAAGGTAGTCTTCGGCGCACTGCATGACGTCGTGCAAATCTGCGAATGCCAATTCAGGTTCGATCATCCAGAATTCAGACAAGTGGCGGGTTGTGTGTGAGTTCTCCGCTCTGAAGGTCGGGCCAAACGTGTACACGTCAGACAGACTGCAGCAATAGTTTTCTACTGCAAGCTGAATTTTAGATTTTTTGAGGAAGATAGATGTTGGATGGTACTTCTAGTTTATCATTTTCACAACAGCATACTTTCCCACACTTCTAAATCACAACACGCCTAAAAAATACATAAATTCAATACCTGTCCCGACACTGTCAGGTAGCTCTTCGCCTTGAAGAAGTCCTTCGAGAAATCCAGATCCTTGGCGGATTTTGGAAACGGGATGTAATCTTTGTCCGAGGGGTCCTTTTGCATCTGGTCCAATAGAGTGGTCACCTGGAACATCTCTCCCGCGCCTTCGCAGTCACTTGCGGTAATCAAAGGCGTGTGCACATACAAGAACTGTCTGCGGCGAAAGAACTCATGAGTCGCATACGCAAGGGAACTACGCACACGGGCTACCTGTAGTTTTAAATGGTGTTGGTGGTCCGAGGGAGGAGAGGGTTAAAGAAGAAATCCGTGTCGCGTCCTAGTACTTTGTTGAAGTTTTAAAGCCGAGAGAATACTTTCAAGTGACGTATCTTCTCGATCTCCTACATCTTCTTGTAGTAAAAACTAGAATACCGCGCCAATGAGGTTGGATCTTGGTCGCAAGTGCGCGTTGGTTCGCAAGTGTTCGCGAGAATGGGCTTTCTTCGTTCTGATCAAGGGGTATCCTGCCGCACTAACGCTACCAAGGACAGTCACTTCGTCCTCTTGCTTCAACACCAATTCAACCTTCTGTCCGTCTGCGGGACTTGCAACCAGCGTTCCGCAGCACTTGACTGAAGCTCCCGTGTTCACTGCTCCCTTCAGGGTCTCGGCTCTAAGATTTGAAGCAAGATGAAGATAGATTCTTTTGATCAAATTCATCTGTAATGTATGTTGCACTCATTCATTCATTCATTTACCTAGCATGAGGTACTGTCTCAGGAATTCGTTCTTCCTTCGTTGATCTTGAATTTTGATAGAAGGATAAAAAAAGTAGTCAAATGTCTTACCCCCTGCATCCCTTCTCGATGACGACCTGGAGGTCGGCGAAGCACGATCCATCGTTCACGCTGAGAAACGTGAGTTCTGCCTGTTCACGCATCGTCTTGACCCATCCGCAGATGACAAACTTCTGCCCAATCAGGGACTCTCCCGCGTCGGCAGAGAGCTGAATGCGGCCGATCCTGGTTCGTCCGCCGATGATGTTGGAGCACTGAGAATACTCGCTTTGCAATGGACGATCCTCGGGCTTGAGCATGAGAGCGGAGATAGAAGTGGTCTCGCTCTTCGCTGGCACGCCACCAGATGACGCTGCGGACGAAGCGGCAGCGGCAGCTGCTCCACTACTTGCGGTTTCTCCCAGTACCTTCTGGAACTGCGGCTGGTGCAGGCAGGTGTTGAACCAACGGGTGATTGCTGGGCAGTCCGCTGGGGGAGCGGAGGTCATTTTCGGGTACAGACTCAGAGCCAACGAGATGTCGGCAATGGTGATCTGTTCTGTGACCAAGAACGTCTTTTTGGTCAGGTGCGGTTCGAGAACGTGCTTTAACACCTCTGTCAAAGCCTTGCCCATCTTGACGCCGACTTCTGTCTCCGTCCACTCCAGCCAACTGTCGACCGCAGCGGCAGATTGAAAAGAGTCGGCTCCAAGCAACTCCTGCTTCAGGCCAGCGACGCGGCGAAGGCAAGGACCTAGGTATTCGACGCGAGGGGAGGTGCCAACACGCACGGCGGGAATAGGACCACCTTCAGTCGCGACCTTCTTGCACTCGGCACCGGCGTAAGCTGCGGCAATCAACACCTTTTGGCGGTGCAGCAGGTTACCCGCTTCCAACTCAAAAGACAATTTCGCCATTCTTTCGATATCACAGTAGCAAGAAATAACTTGTCGTTCCTTTGACTATGTATTGAAATCGATGAAGATTTGTTGCAAGATGATGGATCGATAGGGTAGTTTTAGATGGATAAGAACGATGGGAAGTGTTAAAAGAAAGCCAATTTCTATGCTAGTGGTGTAATAAGCCGAAGCTCATGACACCTTGCAAACAACTGCAAAGGGAGAGAGCGGCGCGCATTTGCGAGTGTTGGCACAGATCAGATGAGCGGATCCCAACAGCAAGTCGTGAATCAGTAGAGGAACGCTAGATGTTCTTCCTTGGCCACCGCCACGGGAAAAGGACCTATGAGAGCCCGGATGGAAACTGCTCATGCAAGAACCATGCACCTTGTTCATAGAATAGGTTCATAGAATAGGATCCAGCGAGAGTGCCAAAGCACACATTCCTCCACGCATGCCATCTCCAGGCCATGAGGCCGCACCAATTGATTCCCATTCATGTTGACCGGAGGGCTATTTCAATTTTGCAGTAGACGCCAATGCACAACATTGAGATCAGGATCGGTTATTCGGATTGAAACGGAAACCCGCGAAGAACAATACAAAGATCCCACGTTCTTGGACCATGAGTTGCTACATCTATGCTATTAGAGTGCAGTTACAGAAGATCAAAATTGTTGTATGCAATCAGAATTAGAGAGACAAGCATGTTCTCGAGCAGAGGCAGGATCTATCACATCTGCTCAGAAGAATCAATCTCCCACGAAGTGGACACAGACAGGCTCAGGCTGCAATCCGAAAGGGCTCCCATATAATTTTGATTGTACAGTTTGGCTCTACCTCTAGTTCTAGAATTCGAAAAATCCAAAAAAAATGTTGACTCCACTTGGCAGCCCTTTGAAAACACCAAATGTTCTTCGCAGAACGAATATTTACACAACCACACGACCTGATGTGCCAGAAACTTGTTGGACCATCACAAACTTTCTTAATCTACAACTGTATTCTCGAACTCGATATTTCTCAAACGGTATAATTAGGGTCTTGTCATGTCATGTTGTACGTAAGATGTTCATATGAGTGACTAGAAGAAAGTATTCATAGCTTTCTCCAATACAAGATGAAGATAGATACTTAGACCTTCAGGATAGAGAACCACTGCACACTTATCATCTAACTTCTATATTCTCAGTTTGTTCTATATTCTCACTCTGTTAAAAACGAAAAGTTAATTCTACAAATCGACAGTATGACATGCCTATCGCTTCTTTGTATTTGAAGCACTAGAAAACCAATAATGGAAGTACTCTCAAAACTGCTAGTTGGCATGTTCACAATCCAAAATTACAACGCTTACAACTTGATGAATCAATAACACGACAAAACCAGCACAAATTACCAAGAATGACATATCAAACTCCTTGTATCAGCATCTAATTCAAAATTATAGACGTGACAAAATAAGAAAGGATGGAAGCTTACGACTTGAGCTTACGTTCGCCGCTTGTCATCAACATCTCCACTGCATATTGTTTTTTCGCCGTGCAAAGTATTATTCATTGCCACCTGTCATCGTCATGCGCTGCCTTTCTTGTAGTGTCTGCACCTGGTACTAGACCCTGCAAACGCGACTGGGAGGCTGCTGCGGCGCGAAGACGTGCTACTGGCATCTGCGCATTGGTATCTGGCATCACAGGCATTTTCGTCGATACAGCTTCAGCTGCAGGCTGCTGCACCTCGAGGTCAACTTTGTCGTTAATACCTCTAGAAGCAGTTGCTCTGGCCACATAGTTGTTATTATCTTGTGGAAAGAGAGGATGAACAGCTTCTTTATGGCTAGATGAGATTCTTGCACTAGGATCTGCTTGCAATCGAGGAATATTCACTTCTTGACGTCTGATGTCTGCCAAACCAACGCTTCCTTGTCGTTGTTGTTGCTTCATCATTTTGCCGATGCGCGTCGCATGCTCTTGCAAGAGTTCTCGAGTACTGCTTCCGCCTAGTACTTGCTTTTGCGCTGACGAGCCCTCAATAGAAGATGTACCATGTTCTGGCTTTTTCGTTCCCACAATAACTGGTGAAAGCTCGACCACACTGCCGTCGGAAGCGTGTTGTTTCGGAAGATTGCGAGCGACTGCTTCTGCGTCTTCAGGATACTTATCGAAATATCTTGCCATGCCAGCAGCCAGTTTCTGTGCGCTGTCCTTCCACGCCTCATTTCCTTTCCCATCCCCACTTACTCGATTTTTCTCTACTTCGCCTATAGATGCAAGCAAACCGTCCAACTCCTCATTTCGAACTGCTGAGGCTCTGCTTACCTGTGCGTGGTACGTATAATTCATCAAAATGAAGGCTCAACTATTGAACATCTTCACACTTCATACTCTAAATTAAAAGGCCCGAGGTTCATAAACTTCTGCCTCTAGTGGAATGCTGCGTGATACACATGAATTACGAAACCTTTCATCTCCGCTAGAAGATGTAATCGTAAATTGTAAAAACAAAAATGAGTATTTACCCCGCTGCTGCGCATGTTTCTCGGCGGCGTGATCCACTTGCTTGCCTTTGCTGTCGCCGCACTCTCCTTAATTTTGCTCCCCAGGCGATATTTTGTCGTCAATTCTTCTAGGTACTTGTCTGCGCCACTGCCCTCGGCAGGTAAAGCGATATGTCCCGCAGGCATCGGTCCGCCTGCAGATATCAAATTTCGGCTACGAGAACTAGGCCCACCCGCTGGAGGACGGGCGTAAACCGAACGGCCAGGAGATGATCCACTTGGAGCACTGGGTGAGGAAGAGGATGAATCGGTGGCTGGGGTACTAATGGAAGAAGCGGAAGCGGAAGTCGGCCTACCAAAGCCAGAAGAGGGTACACCACTGCCTGTCAGATCACGGCCAATGTTAGGCTGATGTTCATCTTGCCGATCTAGGTGGTCGACGATGCCACTGCCCGTCATATCACGGCCGATGCTGACCCGTTCCTGCCGATCTAGGCCCATGATGCCACTGCCCGTCATATCACGGCCGATGCTGACCCGTTCCTGCCGATCTAGGCCCATGATGCCACTGCCTGTCATATCACGGCCGATGCTGACCCGTTCCTGCCGATCTAGGCCCATGATGCCACTGCCTGTCATATCACGACCAATCATCTGCTGTCGGACCTGACCAAGCGGAACGCCGCTTTGCATCTGTTCTGGGCCATCCTGTCTTCCGACGAGTAGTCGGCGCACACCGCTAACTCTTGGAGGTTCAGGAGTGGTAGTCGTAACCGGTTTAGCCATAGCAAAACTTTCGCCATAATTGTAGACTTTATCACGCGTCGAAATAGGCGTCGATATTGGCGGTGGTACGGAAGCTGCGCGTGGGTAAACCTTAGTCACATGTGTGTGGCCATTCTTGTTGTTCAGTACCTCAACGCCTGTGATCGACAAGTGTTGTCTCTCGTGCGCTTTTGATCGGCGTTGATGTACGCCTACTTGTACTGAAGATTGCGAAGAAGTTGGTGTCAATACTTCTCTATTCGCTGATGTGCTGACTCGTGGTGCTCCTTGTTTTAGCGGCAACAGGCTGCGTGTGGAAGCTTCATCCTGGGAAGCGTAGCCCAGCGCAGGATGAATCGGCGCATACCGCGTATCGGCATCTTGGCGGGAGCGAACCAGGTAACCCTTTTCAAACGGTGCGCGGGGAAGAGACCACGGCGCAGAGGCAGTTGCCGGCAACAACGGCATATTATCAAAGTTGTTCTGAGCAAAAGCAAGTTGATTTGGACCACTCAACGCTTCAGATTCAGCTGGCATGAAAATCTTATATTGGAGATGTTCGCCTCGTCCTTGTCCTTCTCCTGCTTTTGATACTGAAGATGCAGTTCCGACCGTTCCTCTTTTTAGGTCGCCAATGCGCGCTTGGCCTAGAAGCTCGCTGAGCCTCTCCATCTCCTCGCTTGGATTGAGCTGAGGGAAACCAGCTCTCTCATGCTCTTGTCTCTGCTGCGCATGTCCATGTGATCGTTGATGTTCAGCACCAGCAGGCGTTCTTCGCATACGCACATACGCAGGTGATGTGCCTCTCGCGTCGATGTTGCGAGGAACTGGGGCAGTTGAGAGCGATGGCGCAAGTGGCATGCTGCTCGCTCCGGAGGAGGAAACCTGAGATAGTGGAATGCTTTTGCTACTAGTCAAAGAAAGACGCGTGATCTTTTAATTATCATTATGTAAGTACTAATTGCTTAGAGCATGTGCATGTGACAACATAGAAGTCACTACTATAATTCTTTCCAAATAATCGCGAGTACCAGTAAAAAGATACCTCTTGTAATCCACTCAGCACTGCGGTCGTCGGAAACACACTCCCACTTGTAGCCTTTGCCGAGGTCGTGGCGGTTGCCATCTCGGTAGAGGGATACTTGGTCATGGTCCCAGTGTCTCCTGGCAATCGCAGGGAGTCGGATCGCGCGATTTCCTTGTGCACTGCGAAGTTCGGGATGCGAAGCTCCGTAGGACGCATTGCCTCCACCCAAGGAGCGAGACTGTGTTCGTGCTCCGTTGCCGCGTCCTCCCGTCCAACATCCTCGCGAAGCTTGAAGCCCACAATTGCATTCGTCGTGGGCAGTCGGGGTGGCGTCTGTTCTTGATTCCTTGCACTTCCGCCAGCCTTCGGGCTGCGAGCAGAAATAATGGTCGTTCCTCCTCGAGTTGCAATGTCCTCGTCCAAAAATGATGTCGTTGAAGATGTTGATGTGGGAGCAACTTTTACTGCTCTTTTGCCACTACCATTGCCCACAGCTGCAACTGCAGAAGACTCATGATAATTCCTGACCTTCCGAGAGATTGTCGGCTCCGTACTCCCGTGACGGCTCCAAGGAGTTACAGCAGGAGCTTGACGACGACGGACAAACTCTGCAAACCTCCAAGCATTGCGAAAGAACTGACGTTTTCGCTTCATCAACTCTTTACGTGCTTGATGGCAGACACGCGACAAAGAAATACTGGTGTTCTTGCTCAGAACTTTCTTTTTCTTCGCTAAAATTCGGCGCACTGCGGAACAGGAAGCCGAAGAAGTGTTCCTGTTCGCAAGTTTTGACACAACATTTGGTTTTCTTGCTGGCATCAAGCTAGCCTCTCCTCCAGCGTCACCGTCAGCACCAGACCGTGTGACACTAGTATGATTTGGCTCTCCGGATTGCAACCCCGTCTGTGGAATTCCGCCAATATCTTCATCACTCGTGTAGAAGATCGGTCGGTAGCCTGCCGGAATCTGCAAAGTGCGAAACTGTCTCACTGGTTTCGCTGCAGGAGGTGTGGGAGGATGCTGCCAAGGAAATCGAGTACTTGAGTCGCGTGAGGCGGCGTGTTCCGAAAACACAGCACGGATCTCATCGGGCACTGGATACAGCTCATCATCAAAAAACGGAAAATCTTGATCATCCTCGTCGTTTAAAAGTGGTGTTGCTGATACGGCATCCGGCTGTGTAATGGAAATTCGCTGTATCATCTGCGATGGTTCATCTAGTACTTCAGAAGTAGTTGATGTACAACCTTTGTCTCCCTCTACCGTGGACGCTTCTTTATCACAGACAAAAGCATAGAAAGGCGCCTCGACCTGGACTGCACGACAGCCTTTTCTCAACAACAGCGCACTAGATGTTCCCCCTTCTGACGGTGAGCAGTTCGTCCAGCAGTATTGGTTGATTGAAGAGGTTGGAGAAGCAGCTGCCGCGTCCTCGTTCACATGGTCCATACCAATGTCCTTGCATTGCGATTCCTCTCGCACCTTAGACATGAAGAGCTCCTCGAAAGTCTCGCGATCTGCGTAGTTTGCCCCTACAGCTGTGCTAGAAGATGATGGCGCATGAGTTGTACTACGCAGCGATTGGAGAGCGATTGGAGAGCAGTTTTGCCAACAGAACTCACTCTGATGATCCTTGCGATCGCCAAAAACAGAGGACTCTTCGTAGGTTTTCAAGGCCTTGTCGTGATCATCGAGGTCCATCGCAGCTTCGTCGACGTCCTCAAAGAGATCATCGTCATCGTCCCACGCGAAAAGGTGGTCATCATTCTCGTCCTCCCAGAAGTCTTCTGCGTCTTCGAACAAGTCCATGATATCCGGATCTTCATCTGGATCGATGTCATCTTCATCATCTCCCTCGTCGTGGTGTCCATCGATATTCTCGATGCAATCATCATCCCTCGTACTCGCACCATGAATCGGAAGCATTATCTTCTCGAGAGAAGAATTTTTAGATCCCACAAGATTGGACGAGATTCCACCGCGTCTCAGACGAGGTTCCACGTCGTCCTGCACATCTCGGAACAACGCGGCCAAGCGATTAATATAAACCACGTTCGCGCCAGGAATACACTGATTCTCCTGCTTGTTGTAAGGCTCAACGACCTGCTCTACCTCTCCTTTCTCCTCCTCATTTTCCTCTAGTCTTCCTGAAGGACGCAACATGCGGATACGTGGCCCAAAGAGACTCAGGTTGCCAGCTCGGCCAAGTTGTCCTTGCTGATCTTGCTTCTTGACCTTGTTGTAGTTGTCCTCATCTTCTTGTACTTTTATAATGTATTAGAGCTCTCCCCTATTCATCCCTGTAGAAATCCCTCAAGCATAAGCGTCAGTATCTCCCTTGTATTGGGGCGCATATGTTTGAGGGATGTCTACAGGGATGGATTAGGGGAAGCCTTAAATACAATTGCCGCCAGCAGCACCTCTCACCTCGGAACAACTTGGGCAGCTGCCAACAAAAAAGTCGTAGAGCAAGGAGTTCATTACTGAGCTCCCAGGGGGAGTGTTGTTCAACACAACTGGCTCCGAGCTTGCTGGAGTCCTTTCACCTTGCTGGTTCACATCCTCAAGTGTTGTTGACGCTCTACTACCCTCTTCTTCTGCATCACGACCAGGAGCATGAAGATTCTCCACCTCGATCATCATGTCCTCCTTGTCCACGTCGGATTGTGCCTCTTTGGCCACAATAGTAGGCTTGGCATTTACGTGGTAGTTCTGCAGCCTGGGCAGTTCCAGGTCATGTTCACGAAGAATCAGCTCCGTCAAGTATTTTTCACCGCGACTGACTCCGCTGGCGCCACCAAGCATATGCTCCAAACCAACGCGAAGGAAACGCGCTGTCACGTCCGTTGGGATGAAGGCAGCAGGTCCAAGTAGTACTATTTATCATGTGGTAAACTTGTGTGGTTAACAGAGACGAAGACGAGTTCTAAGTATTCAGAAGTATTCTTTGGTGTAAAAATTTCGTGTGAATCTTCTAAAAGTGTTTGGTCGGCTTACGAATACGATTATTGTTCGCTGTTAGCTAGTAGAAGGGGCCATAAACTTCAGAGCCGCACTCGGCAAAAAGAATTCAGTCGCGAACAGATTCTGCCATCGTTTTAGCAAAGAAGCGAGCCTTTCCGGCTGAACCAGGTTCGGAATCAGCCAGAGCCTCAATTCCTGCATGTCTTGGACCAGATTCTCTAAGGGTCCGTAGAATGAAGGAGTGTCCGAGTCCGTAGGTTTTTGGAGACGTTCAGCAATGGTATCCAGGAACGGCAAGACGTCACCGAGTAAGCTCCATGCTGCGACATCAACCGTACGCATCTCCTGGGTCGCACGCTGGGCCTCGAACGAAGTCGCAAGCAAAATGCCAGTAGCTTTCTTACGGCGTTCGCGCAACAGATCACTTCGGACAGCGGCGGGGCTGGATTAATGGATGATGAAAGGAATTCATCACTGGTGAAAAGGACTGTAATCACAACTGGTGAAAAAGGAAAAAGGAATTCATCACTGGTGAAAACTAGGCAAAGGATTCTGTATTATAATAATAAACCAACACCAAGATAATACGTCCTAATCGTTTCAATAATACTTCGCTCCAGGCTTTCGAAATGGCGAGCAAGACGGACGAACCCAGCAATTCAGTACTTCCATCTTTTTCTCGAGCTCCTCTAAGCTTGTCCTACGAATCGAGAATGCCAATTCCGACGCCTAGAGGAAAGGAAAGGGAACTGCGTGACAATTGATTTGTAAGTACATGGCTGCTTTTTTTACGTCACTCAGTTCTACTGCCACGTCATCACATGAATATTCAAATAGATGCTCACCTCTTGCTTCTGCATTTGAGCGAGCAAGTTTCCGGACGAGAGGGCTTGCTGGAGCCGCGTTTGCAAAAAACTTGCATCCTGTACCACGCGCTGATAAGGGGTCACGACAGACCACATTTGCTCCCGGAGGTCGGTCTTCTTGCTCAGTGCTGGTGATTCGTGCTTCATGTAACTTTGCTCGTTTGCCACACTAAAAGCACCATGGTGAACATGAACGGCGTCTTCTGCTCCGCGATTCTTCCTTGGAAGATCTCTGAGAGACTGGTCAAGAGTCACAGGAGAACTAGTTTGTGGTTGAGAAGGAGATACTTGAGGACCTGGCTTATCTTTACCCAACAGCTCCGTACTCGCACTTGCAGTTGTACTAGCGTATTCAGCCTGATCATGTTGAATTCGGCGCAGTGCACGTAGAAAAAATGGAGCTTTTTCTGCATTTTCAGCGTAGTAGGACGACGGGTATGTGGAGGCTGCATTTCCAAAGCTGATGTGGGAGGGCGAGAGATCACGCTGTTGTTCTCTACTTCCGCTGCTAGTGTCCGTTTTCTTAGAAGGACGATGACGATCGGAATCATAGCTGGTTTTGCCGTCGAAATCCACACCAGTCTGCATCATGTGGCTGAAAGCCAGAAGGAAAAGCATTCCCTGTCCCTTAGTCGCCAAGCGGTAAAGGCTGTTACGAAGGTTGTTACGTGCCACTTGACGTTTCGACTTGAGGTACTTCGAAACTGCGCGTCGTGGTATATCCCAAGACGAAATATCCCCTGAATCTTCTGAATTTGTAGGAGTAGCAGTGTCCTCAACCATAGAAGGCAACGACGAATCTTCATCTTCCACTTGTTGAGGAACATCATCGTCGCTGTTGCCAGTATTAGGGGTTGAAAGTTGGCGTCTCTACTAGCTCGCATATCGATGGCTTTCCTACTTGAGGAAGGGGTAGAGATGCTCTTAGATGATAGGTCAACTTCCAACCCTTAACAGTAGTTTGTTCCTGTTCGACTTCTGGGAATGTCTTTTTCTCAGCTTGTTCTTCAACATCGCCGCTTTTTTGTTCGTCACCCCCAGCCGTACTCGCATCACGCATCTCCGAGTCCGAATCCACTTTCGGATCTTCGACGTGTTCCTCCTCAGCAGCGACCTTTTTTGATTCCATTTCGACCTCCTCGCTTGCAGTCTTTACAACAACCTCTTGTTCTGAGGCAGATTTGGGCGTACTCGTACCAAAGAACATGTTAGCACCAGGGACGACACTCCCAAAAAGGGCACTAGGAGTACTAGGAAGCATCAAAGACATCAGCTTCTGTGAGGTGGGAAAACTAGAAAACAGGATGGATCGTGACTTCAAACCGTCATTAGCGGTCGCAAGTTGACCGATCTAGCTCGCATATCTATCCTCTCCCTACTTGAAGAGGTCAGACATATGCTCTGCCATCGGTCAACTTCCAACCCGTAACCTGAGGTGTGCTCGCGCTGGCTGCAGTTGATGCTACAGAGGTGGTACGCAGCAAATGTTCTTCACTAGTCGCGTTTGACGCGGCCGAAGTGGTGCGCGCGAGCGCTGATCCCCCAGGAGACGCAGTACGTCCTAACGTCGGATCGTCATCGTCTTCCACTGGTTTCATTAGAATACCTAGTCTAGTAGTAGATATCACCTCTAAGGAGGTGAATATCTTCAGGTGATAGATGTTAATATGCTTGTACTATCCAACTCAAGCAGATACTTATGCATCAATCTTCTACGTGATCAATGCTATAATATACTATAGATACTGCATGATGGTGTCATGTATTCGAAGAGTCTTGAAAAGTGTTAAGGTGGAAAGTAGTCAAGATATGGGTCCAAACTACCAACAAAATTTACAAAACAAAACCGTCCACCATAGTGCCTCATCCACTGTTTCCTGTGCACCACGAGGGCTTCCACCCTTAGTAGAAGATGGCGGACTAGTGCCCTTTGCTGCGTCAGCACCTGTCGAAGGTACAACAGGTTGGTGCTCGTCTCCGAACAGGCTCGATGTCTCACGACTGATTGTGCCTGATTCTGTATTGATTTCGTCTAGAAAGCTCTGCCCATCTGTTCCTTCTTGAGCTACAGCAGTCTGCCCTTGATCTTGTTCATGTTCGTCGTGGGTACCCGACGCATGATCTGCACCAGTTGTATGGCGTTCAACTACTCCGGCGCCTTGACTTTGTTGTAGATCACCGCTCGAAGAAGACGAGACCACAGAAGACCCTGAACCGGAAGCAGAAGGTCCGCGACGGCCGGATGAATGATGTAGAGATTCTTCGTCTTCTGCTTGGCCTACGGCTGTCGCAGGAGGTTGTTGATCCACCTCGTTGTTCCCCTGACGAACTACCTCGTTCCCCTGATGAACTACAGCAGTACCGCCCTGATGCGAAGAAGCGGCAGAAGACGCGCTGGTGGTTTTTCGGACGATATCTTCGTCATTATCACCTACGAGAAGCCAGGACGATGAAGTGGACTCGTTGTCAGAGTCGTCCGCAGGAGAATGACTCCCAGCAGCAGATGGCGGGGTAGCGGCTGCCACGACATTCCACACACAATCTCCTGCAAAAAGCAGTGCGCTGAGGAGATGGAACCTCGAAAAAAAACGACGCACCATGACTTGTTTGAGTATCTTTGACTCAGATGAAAATTATGACTGGTTCTTGAAAAAGTCCTGGTTCTTGATACTGCAAATCATTCAAGGGTTAGATGAGTACACTTATTTCCAGGGCTACCAGAGAACAAACCTGATTATGTCTAAACTGGCGTGCGCCAAAAAGGCAAAAAAAAAATGGGTTGCAAAACAAGCGACTCAGCACGTTAGAGTTCTATTTTTGAGAGTCCTTCTACTTGTTCGGCGAATTTCCCGTGCTCTCTTGTTAGCTGCACCTAGGACATTTACTGTCAACCTCCTAGCTTGAACCTGCAGCTTCAAGCTGCTCGTCACGTAACTGATCTCCAAAACAGCAACATTACAATCACCACTACATCGATGCTAGACGGACCGAACGATTGATTTTGCCACAAGCACAAGTCCCGGAGATACAGCATCGATTCTGTCGCTACTCCAGCAGCACAGGAAAAGAGAATACATGCACAATACAATACAATACAATAGATACAATTAATCTCGCACAGATTTCAGTGCAGACTGCCGCACGGTGTGTGTGTTTTTGAAACTTTGCTTAATGAACATCTCAGACATGGAGCATCTTTCGCCTACCAGAATTCCACATCTCAGACATGGAGCATCTTTCGCCTACCAGAATTCCACGTCCTACCAGAATTCCACGTCTTGATTTTGTACAAACCTGAGAAAAATCACACTCGTCCCCGAAGATTGACCCGATAAATGTATGTGTGTTGAATCTTCGTTCTTATATGCTCAAAATGATCAATGGTGTTGTCTTTTCGTTTTGTGTTCAATGTACCTATATCCTGAATGAGGTGAAGAGCAGTAATCTTCAAATTACAAAAACAAAACAATTCCCGATGGTGTAGTTTGTACGATTATAGATAGTTATAGTATGGACGATAGTCGGAGTCTGTGTTTCCACATTGCTATAACATCCAACGTCCAGAGAACCCAGACAAATAATCTTTTTAGTGCATATTAAACAGTCTGACTCCTTGTTGTCCTTGTCCTACGGAACTTATGGAACTTATAAAGAGCCAGGCCACGAAGTTCTTGGGACGCTCAGAATGGGTCCTACTATTCTCATGTTTGCTGTCACAGCACTACCTGGGTTCCGTTCCTCTCCTTCTCTGTTGTAGCTTCTTTGGTGTTTGCTTCTTTGGTGTAGTATCTTTGGTGTACTACTTTTCTGATGATAGACGCCTGTATCCTGATGATGATGTTTGACGATTCTATCCTACAACGTCATAAATAGATCCTAGTTAGATGGTGATGAATGAGCTACCATAGACATTGGTATGATTTAGTAGCATGGCCTCGATCATGCTGCTTTGATTAATTTTGTTGATAATTGGGTTCCCGATGAGTAAGATTTGCTTTTGTTTTGTCGATGAATTGTAACTGAGTTTGTCATACTGTTCCTGATACAAAATTTAGCTTGTATCGCTGGAAAACCTGAATCATTTTTGAGATCTTTTGTTGACCTACTGCAATATTCACTAGCATTTGCCTTTCTTAATGCAGTCTAGCCTGTTAATTCTGTTTCTGACAATCTGTATGTGTGTGAACTAAATCAATGGTGAATACGAGCTTCGGCATTTTCGATGTTGATCGCATTTTCGTTGTTCAATCAGTGATGTCTTTGCTCTTGTTCAAATAAAATCTGTACTATTTACTAGTATAATACACGCAATGATCCTTTTCATATCATCCACATGAATTTGTAGTTATCAGCTTTCCAGTAATGGAGTTACTAGTATTAATGGAGTGTAACCTCTAGTCTAATAGTAAAAGAAGTATGAGAACAATCTATCGTCTAACCCGATCCACCAAGTGCCTTCCTCAACTCGTAAAGCGGCACGCATCCGATCTGTCTTCGCAGCTCCTCCTCCAACGCTTCGTCATCGTGATGTGGTCCGAAGCACTCGTTGTTCACGATCTTTTCACATCCCCAGGCAACATGCTCTTAGAGAGTTTCGATTTTTGCCTACAGACTGACATAAGAGTCCCCATCTTGAAGTGGAGACTCTTATTTGGGTGGAACTCTCTTTTGCACCCTTGGGTTTGACACTTGGGAACAACTCTGTTGTGCATCCTTGGGTGGGAACAACTCTGTTTTGCATGCTTGGGTGGGAACAACTCTGTCTTGCATCCTTGGGTAGAACTTTGTCTTGCATCCTTGGGTAGAACTTTGTTTTGACGCTTGGGAACAACTCTGTTTTCAGGATGCACAAGATTGCATCCTGGAGCTTTTTTCCCCGACGGACCTGGAGCTGGAAACATGATACTTCTTAGGATGCTTTCAGATAAAGTAGATGGCACCAGTAATGAACGATTTTTATTATAGAAGCCTTAATAAGCCATGTGGGCGGTCATGATCGCACGGAACAGCCAGAGCCCCTGATAGTTCACGCATCGGTGATAGCACAAAAACTGATCGACCTCGTCATCCGGCTCATTTGCCTTCACCGGTCGACCCATGTAACCGCGCTTCGACTTCTCGTGTCAGGTATGAAAGAGGAACAAAGAGGTTGCTATTTGGTTCAGGAAAGTGGAGGACGAGCTGAAGGTTCCTAAAATCATCATCATTTGGTGTATACTTTTTTCCTTTTGTCGTTGTCTGTATACTCTGTCGGGGGCAGCTTAAAAATCGCATGTATATAATCTTAAGAAACATCTCCTGAAGGAGTGTTCTTTCAAAAGAAGATGAAAAGAGGACCGACACATGTTTCATTATTTTGCATAAAAAAAGTTAAAGTTTATAAGGTTATTCAGTTTAATATTCAGAGGAGCCATAATCTTTGAGCTTTCGGAACCCGAACTTCCAGGTCGACTCGCAAACTGGGATCTTGATACCAATTTCCGTCAAAAATGGAATGTTGTGGATAAACCGCTCGTAACGGCAGAAGTCGATGAGCTTGCCATCATCATCCTCCTCTCGGAAAATCTCGAAGCCAACATCCATACCCACGTAGTGGACCTGGAGATATTAATAAATGGTTGTTGTTTCTTTGCAACAAGAAGATACAAGGTGCAAGTACGTGGTAAATATAAATCTTTCTTCTATAAAAAAATGTATTGAAGAACTCTTGCTGTCTACTTCTTTCGTACATTTACCTGCTGAGACTAAGAAAAACCGTTGTAGAAGTAGTGATGGAGCTGGCCTTTCGAGAAATGACGATGACCACATATAGAACAATTTAAGATAAAGAAACTGTTCTAAAAAAAGTACAAAGCATCTGCTTTCTTCCATAGTTAAGAGACAGGGTTTTGTCTCCGATGGTGGTTCGCCGTCCCAGGACACGAGATCCATCACGATGTGAAACAGTGCCGGACACGGCATCATCACTTCCAACAAGTCGTGATTAGAGACCTATTAAGCTCATCTTGGGAGTCACCGTAGACAACATGTTTTCTTGAGTTGAAAACGTGTCAGAGGCGCCTCTTAAAAAGATGTTGAATTACAGCAAGCCTTAACGTGGGCTTCGTAGAACTCTGCCAGGTCATCAGGGTCTTTTGCGCACCAATAGCTGGAGTTGATGATTTCACCGTCTGCGGAACCAAAGAGAACTTGTAACAGGACGTTGCCTGCAATGAAAGCGGAGATCGTTTTAGGATCCATCAGGATGCTGCGCAGCCGCGCGGCGCGCACACCGGCGGTAGCCGCGGAAGCTAAGCCCCGACGCTGTCCGGCATTCTGGAGCACCCTTTGAAGGGCCTTGTTGCTCTGCAACGGACGATAATTACGAAACAGGCTTGGAGCTTCATTGGTCAAAAACTTCCGTTGTTGCTGGTGCGGGACCAGCGCGCGCCGGCCCAGCCCGGAACCCACACTGCGCGCCGCACTGAACATGATTTTATTCTCTACTACGTGACAACGTAAATTGTAATGCGTCTAGAACGCTTTATGGTGCTTGTTCGAGTTGCGATTTTGGTAGAACTATAATGTTGACAACTGAAAATTCGGATCACAACAGGAGAAATCGATTTTCGTTTGGGATGATTTCGTTTGGACACTGCAATTTTTGAATCACCCTACTAAGACTTGAAAATCTTGGTGCTACTTTACACGCAATCGGACTGTTGCATTAAAAAACGATTTTGTCCACGATCAAATCATCAGTATCAAGAACTTGTCGTGAGATGTATAAACTTGAACTAATAAATGTTGAAAAAAATTCGTCGATCAAAAAAAATATTTGCATACACCAGAGCCTTTTTTTCCGCCAAAGATGGAACTCCTTCCAGCGGCCTCAAGGAAAAAACACGAAATCCTGCCAAAAGAGTTTGTAGTACAGATGAACACTTGAGAAAAAGAAAAGCACTTTGCTTATCAATCTACTTGAAAAAAACAGTAGACACTCGTCCAATGAGCTGCATGATAAAAAAACCGGAATCTTCAAGCGTTCTTGTGAAAACTCGGGTCGAAAAGAAATCGGGGAAAGCGTGAAAGCTCAGTCAATGGGGTTTTTCTCTCTCTCGCTCGTTGTGTAAGAATATCACTCCTTTCACGCTACGAAACTCTGATTATTTATGAACACGAGTTGTAGAAGAGAAAACCGAAGATACAGCGAGATACTTTGGTAAATTCCTCTGGCACACATTTACTTTCATCTACTCTGTCCTCTCGTGCTCATTTGTTTTCATCTACGGAGACGGGGTGTTTGTCTCTCGTCTTTCATCTTCTTAGAGCAAGGATGTATCTTTCGTTAGCTACTAGCTACGATTCATCACTCCCAGATAGAAAAAAACATCTACATTCAAAAAACAAGAATAACCGCAAATACCACTGCAAACTGAAAACGATATAATACATTAGATCTGCTAATCTTCATCACGTCGCTTTTCACAATTCTTGGAAAGTAATCATCACAGAGGACATATTTCTTTTACACTATACAACAGCGAGTATTCATCACCGAGGCCAGGTTAATGGGACGCTATACAGACCTGTACAACATCAGATAGCTGCTAATCGTTAGACTCAAATGGTTCATTATGTGTTTATTTGCAAAAATAGTTCTTTAGTCAGAGTTGCCTAAACCTGGACTTCCTTTGCCATCTTCACGTCTATCTTCGCATGTATCTTCTGTTCTACATGCACTTTACCAGCTATAATTGTGGTGGAGCAGACCTAACTAGAAAAAGGAAGACCACCAGAGAAAGCTCTAATCTTTTTAGATAAATAGTTAGACATTTACCTTCTTCGAGACAGCGGTAGCGGTTCTAGATCCACGTGAATCGATTACATAGTTTTTTCGGCATGTAGTTGTCCAAAAAGTAGTTCTTCTTAGAGCTCAAAACAATTCATTTCTTGCCCACATTTCTCCCAATCCTAAGAAGGAAATAGGGAGAAATGACTCGTAGAAATGAAATATATTAAGCCTTAATCTTCCTGCCAGCACCGTTCGCTGATTCGTCCTCATTGATGTCCAAGTCCAGTAATGCTTCCACTTCAAACTTGAGACCTGCTTGCAACATTCGATCCACTTCTCGATGAAGGGCGTTGTTGTTCAGCACTGCATTTTCCTCCTTTAGGTTGCGCAGAATCTTCTTCTCTTTCGCAGATAGTTTCATGCCCTGTTGAATCCTAGTATAGCCGCCCGAAGGTGGTCCTCCTAGAGAGGACTTGCCACCAATTATAGGATTGTTAGTAGAAGCGTCAGCGGCCAGCATGTCGGAGACGTGCAATCCCAAATAATTTAGTGACGGCAAGACGCGTTTGTAGCTCAGAAAGATATGTATCCCATGAGGGTCCGCATCGCCGAGGTAGCAGAAGGGCAGCAGAGGATAAATGCGTTCGAGCTTGCACAATAAACGCCGGGTTTGGATTAGAGACCAGAAGGTGGAAGATGTAAAAAAAAGTAGTGTGGAGTGATACCACTTACATCTAAGTTAAACCGTGTTAAAAAATGTTAGGAAAGTCAACTGCTAACCCCATTGTTCTTCCAGAATATATAAACATGTCGAACCGCAGATGCGTGAAAATGCTTTTCTTTTTATTCGAAAAACTGAAATAAGCGAGCAACTACTGAAAATGAGCGAGATACTGAACAAGGAAGAGTAGCCCTGTCAAAGCTACTTATACCTCCCTTATTTCACTCAGCAACTCGGTTATTTTCAGTTTTCGTGTAGTCTTCATCCTTGAGTACTATCGTGCGGCGGTTGATCTCTCTCTCACCGTAAGAGCACATCCGGAAAGCCTTTCCCCGTGACGAGGAGAATGTCAAAGCGTTTACAGAGTTCCGCATCTAGAAGCGTGAAGAAAACCGTCTCCTTTTCAACAATGAGCACCAAACGAGGATGATAGCCCAGATCGATGTTCTTCTTGAGGATGTCCTCCCCAATCGGCACGCCCCTTGGAAAGCCCACGTCAAACGATCGGCCGTCAAAAGTCAGTCTCGCACCAGCTAGTAAACCTTTTTGCGTCGTAACTACGCCTAAGCTGGCACGCGGTGCACGCAGAAGAAGGACCAAGTCTTCCAGAGTTTTGTTCATCTGCAATTGCTGTGTAAACAACCCGTTCTGCAGATCCTTCGCTTTTAAGCGGTAGAAGAGTTCACGTTGCGTGCAAACCCGATTCTCGAGAATCATCTCGTGAACGAGGTTCAGCACTGCGAAGATCCGCGCAATGCGCAGTAGCGTTGTAGACATGTTGGACACCGACATCTGGCAGGTCGTCGTGGCAGAAATTTCAGGAGCTGTTGTAACTCCCTTATTTCGATCATGTGGCGACGCTTGTTGTTAGAACTAATGGATGCCCATCTTCAGCGGCATCTTGGGTCTCCTTTTCCGTTGAAAAACGGGACCAAGATGACAGTGAAGATGGATTTCTTTTACCCTTAATGTTGATCACCAACGAGTTGCACGAGGGCATCTTCCCCGTTCGTAGCCTTTTCGGAATTGTTCACACTAGAAGTGGTTATCTTCTTATCGTCTCCCTGCTGTACCAACACCATATCTGAGCACGTGGCCGAAGATGATTCCACGTCCATCAAAGGAAACATCGCGGGTGCCAGTTTGCTAGTAGTCCCATTGCCCATATTGTTTCTACTATTAGCACGACCACTACTAGAAGTAGCATTATTGTTCTGCACTCGGTGCGACAAAGGTGGTCGAATTACTGTCTTATCGAGGTTGACGTTCAATCGCACAGCATGCACATACCAATGATCTACAGACATATCATCTTCGCCTTCGGACCAACACGATGACATCGATTCCTGACTGTCCGCAGGCTGCTCAAGGTTGGTGTGCTGATCTCCCCCGATTTGCCCATCGCTGCCTTCATTCGAATAGACTACAATGCACTCGTCGTCGTCTGCACCGTTCGCAGCAGGAGTTGTTTCTGATCCGTTTCCTGCTCTGGATACCACCTTACTACTAGAGTTCTTCGTCATCTGTCCGCCTCTTGAAATTCCCGAAGACGAAGAAGAGCTAGATGATGAAGATGAGTGCTGTCCTTCGGCTTCATCCACTGCGACTTGGATGGCGGGGCTCTTGCGTAGCAAACGCTCCATCCACTTCTCGATGGCCAAGTCAGCGTGCGCGCAAGCGTCTAATTTCAGCAGAGCCACCCAGGGCAAAGCGCCCTCACGCAGTCGGGCTAAAGTCGCAACTACCAGGCCCTCAATCATGTCGAGGAGTCGCTCACGTGTTACGTCGCTGAACAGAGGCTTATCAAGTTGTTGTTGATGTTGTTCGGGCACCTTCTGGTCGGTCTCGGCAGTAGTCGTAGTCTTCTTCTCATTACTAGCGCACCCAGGCTCTTTGACGTCCTTATTCATCCCAGTTTGTTCACTACTTGCTGTTGTCTCGGCGGCTGCGCCACTAGCTGTCGTCGTAGGAGCTCCCTTCACGCTACTAGACACAGTGTCGCGTTTTTCGGCTCCATCAGAAGTTGCAGCAGGTGTGCGTGTATCTTGAGCTACTGTCGGGGGCACTGGCGCAGAAGTTTCAGCCTGAAGCACCAGGTCTTGACACTGTGGTAGAGCAGCCTCTTCAGGTTCTGTGAACATTGGATTTGTGATAACCTCTTGATTCGGATGAAAACTGGGTTTCCATTTAGCCGCATCGCCTAGCCACTTCAGGTCTACTTCTTCAAGTGGCTCATCTTCGTCTTTAGGACCATCTTTCAGTACAGAAGAAGTGCTGGAACTCTTACCTTGTTCAGAAGAGGTTTTGCTTTTATTCTTCTTGGAAGTTGCTTTATCGTCCTTTTTAGAGCTCTTCTCATTCTCATCGCTTTTCTTCGCTTCTTGTTTCTGCGCTTTTCCTGCTTTGTCATAATCTCCTTTATTTGTTGGCGCAGTTTTAGAAGTTTTCTTCAAATCATCCTTTGTTTTTATGAATGCCGAGTCTGGTTTAGTAGGCACGTTTTCCGCTGACAGGTCCGCTTTTGGCGCTCGCGAGAAGTGCAATTCCTCTTTTCGAGCACGTGCAAAGACCGACAGACGCTGTGCTGACTTAGACTCATCTTCGCCGGGTCGTTTTGTAGAAGCAATAATGTCCCTACAACTATGTTCGCCCATATTGTCCGGGACAGACACTACCTCGGCATCGAAGTCGACAACTCCTTGCGCAAGAACAAGAGCTCTACTTTTCTCTGCGTGTAGTTCTTCTTGAGCTTTTTTTCGTTTTGTTGAGGCGCGCACCGGAAAATGTTCTTTCTCGGTTCTGCTAGTCACGCTCGCAGCTCCACCGAAAGCACTCTCGCCTGCATCACATGACTGTTTGTCATTGTCTTCTTTTTTCGAAGTCATCTTCTCATCTAGTACAGCTCTCGTGCTACTGTTCGTCTCCCTTACCAGTCCGCTGCCATCGAACTTCGCTTGATAGACAGCGACGTCCACGCTTCGTGAGAAGCGAAAATCGCGCCGTGCGTTCTCGAATAGCGTTCGCGCGAAGTCGCTCTTCAGTTTGTAGTAGGCGTCTTGTTCCGTTTTCTTGAGCTTCCGAATGTGAGCGCTGCGCCGAAATTCCGCCGTCCAGCGTTGGGCGCACAACTCGTTGAATGCCTCAAACGAATGAAAAATCACTCCTTTGGGCAGAAAGACTGCTTTCTGTCGCGCCGTCAGTACACCGTTGTTTGCGGACTGTAGTTGTGGATTCGGCATACTGTATCCTCCGAAACCACTGAATTGAGCCACGTCTTTAGCATGATTCGGATGGAGCGGCACTGCAGGCTTGGTTGAAAGAGAAGCGGAAGTATTTGACATATCATCGGCCTTTTGCGCTAAGACTAATGATTGATCGTCTCCACCGAGCATGAGGTCTCCCAGCGCGTCATCCCCGTCGGCTGCATCACGCATATCGCTCTCGAAAACCAAACTCCAGTCTGCTATTGGCGCGCTCTGGATAGATTCTGCAACTGATGCATTCTGGTTACATTCTTGCCGGGGCGGAATCTGATTAGGCCCCAGCGCGGGTCGTGTGGCATCCACGACCGGAGCGTCTGCATGCTGTTGCTGCTGCTGCTGCTGCTCCGCAGGCTTTCTATCTGACGCTTCTGCCTGAGGCAAATCGCTGGCCAAAGGCGCTTCTTGTTGCCCTGCTTCCGCTACCACCGCGGAAGTGGAGCCATCTCCCGTCTCACTTTTCACTCGCTTCTTCTCTGGAGACCATCTCTCGTCTTTCCGCTTCAATAGCGTGGCTGCAGACGTAAAGAGACCTCCTGAACTGCTCATATTTTCTCACTTCTCGTACTTAGTTTAGTGTTTACCAATAAAATTAGTTTGTTATAATAGATTCAAAGAAATGCCGCAGCATTATTGAGTCATCGTTCTACTACTGCTCGGTGAACATATTTATGTTGGAACCGAGATCTCCAGGAAGAAGCATACTTACATGACTCGATTCGCCACTGTTCCTTTTTTCGAATTCTCTTCTCGCGAGTGCGTCGATTATAGCTCGAAGCTTTTCTTCAACATTTGACGTCGTGTGCGCCTTTTCTAAGCCGATCTACGAAGCGGAAACAATAGCTCCAGCAGCCCAACACGAACAACTTGCAAAAGAGGACTTCCTTCGACCTACGACGATTTACCATGGTGATGTCTCCCGATTTTCGAATCATATTACCAATACGGATGAAACCTTCTAGGAAAATGATCATCGAGTGTAGCGATATCTGTATGGTCTTATTCCCGAGATTCTGAGAGCGAGGACGATGCGTAAAATATGCTGAGGTGGTGAAAGGGGAAAAATTATTGAAGCGGCCGCACTTCTTCCCATGGGAAGGCTTTCACATCTCCTTGCCCTAGATGGCCGAACGTGGAGAGTGACTTGTAATTAACAGTTGTCAGGTTAAGTGCTCGGACGACTGACCCTATCCGCAAATCGAAATTCCGCTGCACTAGCGCGACAAGGTTCGATTATGAAGAAAGGCGAGGAAAAGTAGCAATGGGAGATAGAACTGGAAGTCGGGTTACGGAGTCAGAAGAATATCGAAATACTTTGGCCACTCTGAAGTTGATCCTGAAGAGAAATCAATTAACCTCTCTATCAAGAAAAAGACCAAGCTCTTCACTATTAGAAGGGAGATCTCATTTTCATCATAAGCCTTTCTCTGCGGCCGCTGCAGTACCGGTTCCAAGGAGGTCAATTTCGATACCACATGGCTCTGCGTAGTTACTGGCGTAGCTAAGGGTCACCTGCGCACGGGCTGCAAGCTTTGAGGACACTATCGATTTCGCTATCCATCTGGCCGCATAAGATCCAAACCTCTGTACTTTCCATGGGTCACGGCCTGAAACACGCGTACTCACTGTGGAGAAGCCGCCATAGAAGTCGCCACCTGATCGGAGGACGATGAGTACATCTTTTACTAGTTAGATCAGTTGCGATTGGCATTGCGACAGAACCAATCCAATCATACAATACTCTTACATTTAACTAATGATAATCCTGGGATAGACCCTACGACGCGGATGCATAGCGAAGTAAACAAAAATAAACTGAGAAAAGTTATAATACTCGGTTTCTGTCCTGCGCTGCCGCTTCCCTGGTACTCGTCACTATTTGTACCAACGAAAGTCCGGTTACTTTTATGCGTCGTCTGATTTACATGAATCGTTGTGTCTGCTGTGATCAACCGCGTGAACTCATTCGGTACTACGGCCGGCACTGCAATAAGGAGGAGTCAAGATGACGAAGGAGAATGGAATTCTTGAAGTGGATATCTAGAGTATATCTATGATTCTTGTTCAATAATCCTAGCTATAATACCTCCAGGGGAGCAAGAGTTGATGAAGTATCATGAATTCTAGATGGTAATAAATACTTGATGGTAACAAATGTACCTTTTTCCGCGGACCCAGCATCAGCTGAGCTTTCTGCCATCGCTGGCGGTCCCGTCTTGGTACCAACTACGACGTCGACTACCTGAAACAAGTTCAATATCTGTCATCAAAGAAACAAGAAATGTAAGAGTAGAAACAAGCACTGAATAAGAAAGATAAGCGATCATCGAGTAACATCCCACTCCTATAACGAAAGGAGTTCTACCTTTTGCCTCAAGTCCTCCTGCATCTTGGGGAGTGAGGTTGCTGGATCCCAACCGCTATTGTGAACTGCAATCCGGAAAACGTCAACAGGGTTCATTAGAGCAGCTACTTACGAAATCTTTATACTTACTTCATCTCCTATAAGATCATTTCCTCAGAAGGGTGCTATTTTTCAAGAAATAACTGAGAATCAAAGTAATTTTGTGAAGATGGCAACACAAAATAACTTTCTTCTTGTGAAGCTGAAGATCTAACTGCGAACCAAAGCATCTCTCCTGTCTGTGAAGGTGAATTACCAAACGCCTTAATTCTAGACCACCATCTTTTCGTTTTCTGTACCGCATAGTTACTTGGACTTTTCCGTTTGGCTTGAGCCAGCCTATTGACCCACCCCTTCGCGACGCACTTAGTTGCCGTGCCTACAGTTCATGTGAAGGATCACGGCTATGTGAATGTGCCAGATTGTAGCAAGATAGACTATGAAAAACCTCAAGCTTACACAGAATCTTCAAGACAGTCACAGGAGTCGCACTTGCATGCCAGCTACAGAAAGCGTATTGTAATTTCAAACAGCCATCATCAATATCAGTACCACATCTCTTCAAGTAGGACTATCGTCATCCAGAATTTCATCACCACATCTTGCTTGCAAGTGTGTAAGTATAACCTGAAGGATAAGCTCTAGTACCAAGGCAGTCGCTAACTTCCACGAAGCAGGCATGAAATCCGGAGTCTCATCTGTCGCATAGCCGGTTGCTGAAGCGAACTCGCCATTTGGCATCGCTATGCTTTCCTCAGAAAACTTCGTGCCACCACTTCCGCCGTAGTAGAAAGAAATGAAAGGATAAGGAAATAAAGGAGATGATGGTGAATCAATAAGCGTGTGATTGTAATGGAGGCTCGGATTCTCGGTATTTTGTGTACACCAGACTTGGAGAGCAGCCACGACAGTTCCAGCACTGCAGAGCAGCCACGACAGCTCCAGCAGTGCCATGTATGAATATTAACTACAACGAATTTACTATGCTACCGAACTTCAATATCAATGTAGCCTCTGTCGCTGCGTATTCCATCTTTGACTCGCCAATACATAGACAATGTAGTTGTAGACCGTAAAAAACCTTCATCATAAGATTGAGTGCCGAAGTGAGATCGGGTGATTGCTCCGAAATCGCTATCACTACATTCACCGACCGGAAGTCGATTCCGGTCTTCTCCTCGGAATCATATCCGCAATCTTGCAGGGTCTTCCGCACTAACATGTCATAGTCGAGCGTTGCCTTGATTGCGACCTCACCCGATACTACGACCATTCTCGCCTTCACGATAGCAGTGATGTTCACACGCGCGTGCGCGTCCAAGAAGAGGCATGCCTGCAGAAGGAGATGGGCCAATTAAGTAAACAATCTGTTCGAAAAGATGTGACGGACTCAACAACAACGAAACGGATAAGGGCGAAGGAAAGCAGCGAAGCCGCGGTCAGCTGGCAGGGATGCACACTGACAGGAACCCAGCCCCGCAGCCAGGCCACCAATGGAAAGAAGAACGGCCGACCACTACCATCTGAGCACCACACAGCCCCCCACGCGGCTATGTATCACAAAGCAACCACGGCGCGGGGGGCCTGCCTTCGCGATCGCCATGACCAACAAAACGAGGAAAGAAACCAAGCCACGCGAAAGATTAAGCCAGCGGCTTGAGCAGGCCAGCCACTGGAGGCGCAGCACTACTGGACGAAGATGGCGCGGGGGCTACTCCAGCCGTCCGGCCACGGCAGTTCTTCTCCTGTGTAGGCGAGAGGTCCGACGGGAGCGCGCGGAGCCAACCGCCCAAGCCTTCGGACCTTTTTGCTGCTCATTGATTCACTTGGCCCCTACGAAGGTGGCGAGCTGTTCATCTACGACCCTAAGGGAGTGCAGCACTGGGCTCCGAACTGTGTCCCTTTTTTCCAAATCACCACTAAGAAAGAAGCCGCACGCAGCTGTTGGAGCCGCCGCACCATGCACCCCGGAGGCCTACCGAGACCGAGAAAGCCCAACAAGGTGGCCAGCGCCCCATCTGTCAGAGTCAGCCGAGCTGCCCCACTGAGGGAGGCCGTCAGCGTAATCATGGAGGCCATCCGGAAGCAAGCCGCTCACGCTCGAAGTTCGCCCACCAGCTTGCGCGCCAAGGTTATCACCAGCCTGCGCACCAAGTTGCGCACCAAGTCCAGCACCGTCTCGCCCCCTGCTGAGCTACCCAGCGGCAGACTTGGCGCATACCTTTGGCGGCGCACCTGCGTGCGCCGGCGTCTGTCGCCTGCGCCCTGCCTTTCTCCCTCGTGAAATTCCGGGGCCCGCTTGTCTGGCAAAGCGGCAAAGTTTGCCCCAGCAGGTGGGCGCGTGGCCCAGTTTTCAAGCCTGTGGGGCCCCGCCCAAAGGTGCCGACAAGGTCCGGGGTTCCTGCTTTGCTGGTGAGTGTATGCGCTGAGGGTTTGACTCTGAGTAGGTCCCTGCTCCGTAGATAGAGGCGCGGGCGCCAGTCGTTCTTTCATCCAGCTGCCTGCCTCGTTCATTTTCTAGCCAAGACACTCCGCCCCTTTGCTGTCCCCTGGCCCGCTTGGCAGCCACGGAGCGTTCTCCGGTGGCGCGGCGCTTCCTGTCCTTCCGGTCCCGCCAGTTTTCCACCTCTTGGCACGCCACACCATGCGCGTGGCTGTGCGCTGCACCAGGGGCGCCGGTCGTTCTTTCATCCAGCTGCCTGCTGCGTTCATTTTCTAGCCAAGACGCCCCGCCCCTTTGCTGTCCCCTGGCGCGCCCCGCCGCTGTTATCAAGAAACAAGGCGCGCGGCAACCTGGGACGAGGCTGACGATCATGAGATGCGAGGTTGGCGGTCTTGCCATCGGTGATGGTTGCGCGACGAGCTCGCAGGCATATCTTGGCCTGTCGCCAATGCGCGGCGCCCGCGTGGACACGGTGCGACGATTGCCGATTTGTCTGCAAATGCAAACAAATGCGCATACGTGAACGATTCTTCGTCGTGGCGGAGCTCGTGCCTCGCCACTACGCGGGCCGTCTGTGTTGTCCCATCTGGCCCATACGTAGCTGCGCCCCCGTTTGTGCCGGGACTGTGTCAGTCGATGCTCGCACGGTGGCGCAGCGCTTCCTGTCCTTCCGGTCCCGCCAGTTTTCCATCTCTTGGCACGCCACGCCCTGCGCGTGGCCGTGCGCTGCACCAGCGGCGCGCTCCCGTGTAGCATGTTGCGCCGGCCTGCCTCTGGTGTTTCCTCTTCAGCTGTCCCGGCGCTAGCTTCCAGCACCTCGGTGCGCCCCAATGTCTTCTCGGCTCAAGTACTCTATACGCAAATGTCTCTAGTACCTGCAGGATATCGTCGCAAATCACATCGCAGAGCTTATCAAGCTGCCCCTCTGTGCAAGCTTCCGAGGTGTGCAAAAACTCATCCGCAGCCAACTTTGGAAATGGCGGGAAAGCCTTCACCTTCGACGCTTTTCCGTCCTTTTCGGCTGAAGGAGCTTCCACTGCAACAGGAGCAGGACTCTCAGGAACGACCGACATTTTTGCTACGCGAATACTCGATCAAACTATATGATTACCTTGTAGAAAATAAAACGACTTGTAGTAAGATCATAGAAGAACTTGTATGAGTCACATACCCATCCTGGAAAAAAGTGTTGGCCTATCATGAATTCATCTATTTATTGGAGATTTAAAAAATCTAGCAAGATTGTTTAGTAAAAAACCGCACAGAATCAAATGGATTTCAAGGGAATACTATCTTGAAGAAACAGCATATTCTTGGAAGGCTCGGCAACCGAATAATTTACAGTAAAACTATCTTCGCTGCAGCGCGATCTTTCACTTATTTCTTGGCATACAAGCCTCAGTATACACATTTCCGCTGAAGCCGCACGCTGATCATTCGCTGCATTGCAGACTCATGTGGTCATGATCATGCTTAGTGTTGTTTATAACATGTCTATATTTGTTCATATCACAAAGGCATTAGGAAGGGTTTGTCGAACGCAATCAGAGGTCAGGGCTTTTTGGGAAGCTCCCCAAAAATGCCTTTATCTGCGATGGGGAGACAAGCCAGTATCCTCTTGAAGATTATTCGACAAGGTCGGCGTATCAAGCGACCAGTACAGCCTACCAATATTATACAGCAATCGACATCAACCTGCAACTTGTAATAACCTTCGTCAACATGATTCGAACCTGCCAACACCAAAAAGGAAATATAGGTCACCGCAGCAGCGCGAAGGCCTCTTTCCAAAAGCCTCTTCTGAATCAGAGAAACAATCAAATTCGATTCGAAGCAGCCGTGCTCCGTAGCATATCTACTGACAAGCGCACTCCATCAAGGCATGCTCCGCAGCATATCTCGTAGACCTGTCCTGGATGATCCCCCACCTTGGCCCATCATCGGAGGTCCTCCCATGCCGTGGTGTCCACCTCCCGCGCCGCCAGCACTGCTACTCCCACATAATGAAAAAGAGTGAGGAAAAGGAAGAATCAATCAAAAGCCACTTGTTGTAGCATTCTTTTTAGTAGATGACTACATATGTGCTGCGTACAATCATGACCAACGTACGATGACTCGACGGGCTAGATTCATTCATTTACATCCCGAGCAGTAGTTCTCCTAGTTTACGGAGTTTTCCATTTCCTGAACATAATGATATGTGATTAATATTTGGTGCTTGCTGTGTCGCGTGGTGCATCACTCCACCGCCACCTCCTCCCATGCCACCCGCGCCGAGGATGGTCGCTGACGAGTTCATGTGGCTGCCACTGCTCATGTGGCTACTATTCGTTCCAGTCCGATGCAAGTGCTGACCGCCTCCTGCATGGCCGTGGCTACTGGTCTTAGAGGTAAAAGAACTAGGGTTCGCGGAGTTCGAGTTCTCAAAGTAAAAGACATTTCTGCCTAATGACATTCTAATCTGTCCTGATGAACGCACATCAAAAACAAGAGCCTAGTGCTTATACGCCCTAATATTTCCGTTTGCTACTGCAGCTGATGCATGCGCTGACGCGTGGGCTGACGCGTGCGCCGATGCGTGCGCTGGTGCGTGCGCTGACGTGTGCGCTGACGAATGCATAGACGAATGGGATGAACCATGGCTGTGGCTGTGGCCATGGCTTCCTCCAGTATGATGGATTTCCTTCGGTAGGATGTCCGCTAAGTGTAGAATCAACAGCATGGCCATGCGTCGAGCTGCGTCGTTATGCCCTTCGATCCGGACGGCTTTCCACTCTGCTCCACTACGGTTTTCAGCACCCAGGGATTAGAGGATGCTCAGAACAACACGTAGTATCTTCATGTTGGATTTGAAGATTCGAGTTCACAGATCATCCGAAGAGTCTGTCATACGAATTGAACTTCACGTATAATCTCACGATCTACGCAAGTCACACTAACAACAAAGAAGCAAAGCCGTAAATGTAGTTGTTATATTTCGGTCCGTCGATCCAGATTCTTGGTGCTGCATGGCACGTTCGTTTGAGGCGCTCGATGTCGACGTTAATGGTGCGTGGTACTAGAACACCCAAGGCTTGTGACTTCCCCTGAAACTTTTCGCACACTCGGACGGGAATTAGAGAGGTGCCGACTATCTAAAACTTTTCGGATGCGGGGAAGGAAAAGTCAAAGCCCTTAACCAACATCGCGATTTACGAACAATACACAAAGAATTCCCGAAGCTACTTACATATCTTGCTGTGTCGATTAAATTTCCAGCCATGCTCATAATATCAACTCTACGCAGGATAATGTCGCCTCCAATCGGCCTTGGATTTCCGTTACTCGACTTCCGTGAGTATCCGTCATGCAGCGGTAGGTTTGATCGCCCTCCTCTCTAACCCAGGCACTTGCTCCTGAAGCGCGCCTGATGTCTCGGAGCACCTTGCCTCCCCGTCCGATAATCCAGCTTACCTCGTCTCGGCCAAGAAAAGTTAGAGTCTTGATTTTTCATGGCTAAAATCCTGGTTCGTTTATTTTTCCTGCTATTGATTCGTCGAGGTGCCCACGCTGTTCAAGAATTTCATTCAGCAATGGATTTCAAGAATTTCATTCAACTGTGTATTCTTCAAGGGCGTGTTAGTTCTCCATGGACATCAAGCAGCAACTAGTATTACAGATGTAGGCATCGCATTGTATCTATGCTACGTATATTGCGCTTATTAGAGGTAGCTTCTTCCTATTCGCTTATCCCCCGCTTATTATGGCTGTCCCCACCTAAGGGAGAGAGCCATAACAAACGGTAACAAAAGCACCTTTAACCTACTTACCCTTGATAGACCTTCATCAGGACGAGGTGAGTCCACCCGCGGTGAAGGAGAAAGCTCAAAAGACGTATTAACGCAAGGTCGTATTGTATCTATGCTACTAACCTACCCTATGCTACGCATTAACGCAAGTTCGTATTGTATCTATGCTACATGTATTTAAATAACGACGTATCATGTCCCCTTTTTACATGTTCCTATGTGTTAAACGCTCTTTAAAGCCTGCTGCATAACAGCAACCTCAGTGAGTTCGGCTGTTCTGGATCTAGACTGGTTCCCAGGTGTTCCTTCGGCAAAGTGATTGCCTCTTCTACCTTCTGGCAGAGCATTTGTGACGCTACTCGCAGTTGCTCATAGCTACCGGAAATTGTCACTCGCCTACAGGCCATGTGCGCCTCGTGTCCGTGGAAGGATGAAAACAGGTGGTATTGACTTATTCTGTAGAAGTGGGGATTGCTCCGGAGGCTGTGCTCGTGCGCACAACTAGGTTAGGTAACGCATACAGTGCATGTGGACGAGGCTACTAGAGTATGAATATGATGACGATGATGATGATATGCCCAGTCATGTATATTGACGGGCGTGCAATTCAATTATATTTGTCCTCCTCGACATCTTTCTTCATAACGACGTAATGACGCAACAAGTCGCCAATCCAACAATTTCATTGGCCTTAGAATTCAAGAAACTCTTTCTCTTCTTGAGAAAAAAGACATTATGTATCTTGCAATCCAACAAACTTTTTCGACAAATTACACTATGTGCAGTGCCATACAACTTCAGAATTCAGGAAGTTTTTGTCGATTCGCGCTATAGCTGGCGACACAGGAAGTGTAGTAATAGTTACGCCGACAGCTTTACTAATTTCGGCGACAACGGACTTAGTCGTGTCAAGAAACCGCGGCGATGTACAGGGTGGAGGAATCTGTTGAAGGAGATTCTTTTTTTGATAGTAGATTAAGAAAAAAGATATTGATATTGATTCGATCTTATTTACAACTTTGACTTTCTTAAAGAAATCATCAGGTTGCGGTCACGATAGTTGTACAACACTTTCAATTTGTTACAAGGTCACGATAGTTGTGCATCACTTTCAATATTGTTACAAAATTAACTGATGCCGTTGTCGCACACTCAAGCAAGCAACCATTTTATTTGGTACAACAAAGGTGACTTTTCCACTACGTTGCGCGCACGTTTCGAGGCATTTGATGAGGAGTTCTACGCCAGTAAGCTTGAATTGATACAGTCCGCCGATGTCAACGACCCTCTCTTGGCCTATAAATTGCTCTTTCACATCAAACGTCGCACCTGACAACTTCCGCAAATCCAGAATCACGTTTCCACAACATGAACAAGGGTTAACTCACTTGTAAAACATAAATTCGCTGCCTTACCTTGTCAGTCTATGATATGAACATCTTGGTAAATTTGTTGCTCTACCCTAACCCTCTGATGTTGATGTAAAGATAGTAATATGATTACGCTGACCCTCCACCAACCCTGACCAACCCAGAGCAGGAACAACAATCACATTTGTATTCGTTGCTTTACCCAAACCTTACGACGTGAAGATATGATTGTCACTATTGTTCAACTGTTTCATCATAAATTTCTCCCGATGAGCCAGCTGGCCTCTGGTATAATCATGAGCATCCGAATGTTTTGCGTCACTTGTAAGGGTGAAAGCTGCACGTTGAGGAAATTGGGCATCAACTGTGCATCCTTTACTGGCTGCAAATTGCTATACATTCGCGGCTTCACCGTAAAATCTCGCTCGGAAAGCTTTCCTTCGTTTGCCATAGTCGTTACAATCTATAGTGGTTTGGAAAAAGACGTTTGAGTCACTGTCCCCTACGCAGGACTAACAGAAAACTGGGCGATGGAACAGCTTTCCTGCTCAATGAGTATTAGATTTACAGATTCAGTCGAGGAGTGGATCGCCGAGGAACCACGTAGACATCATTCAGTACATCAAGTTGTGCGAGGCTACAAAAAAAAAGTGTACAAAGTAAGAATTTCGAATGGACATAAGCGGTACCTCGTATATGAGGCTGGTTGCTTTCAGAATGCATTCGAGATCGCCCACTAGTCGTAGCACAAAGTCCGTTGCGAAGGATGCTGACTTGGGTACGTCCACTTTCTGGACACCGCTCAGCCGAATAATCTCTTTGATGCGAGAGCCCTGGTAGCCAACCACGCTAGCAACGACGAGCTGCGGAATGCATAGGCAAAAACAAGTTATGAGAAAGAAAACAGTCTGAGGAATTTTGGATAGATGGCTCAAGCGAAAAAAGGGAAAACAACAACGCCCGGCCGCCTGAGCCCGCCGCTTTGGCTGCTACTCCGCAGGTCGCCCCGGACTAGCAAGCGTGACGCGTAGGCCCTTGCCTGCGCCTCCCTGTCAGCCACTGCCCCCAACACGGGGACAACCCAAGAGCGCCCCGGGCTCCGTTGGTCGTGGCGAGGGGCTGCAGCCGGTCCCCATCGACTGCCGGAGACCGGCCGCCCCGCCTTCGTTTGCTGGCGTGGCATCCTGATCCCCCGCGCGTCATCTATTTCCGGGGCGCGTGGTAGAAGCTTGCTCTTCCACCACTGCAGTCAAGAGGCCACACACATGGGCCCCACCGAAGAAGCAACACCAAGTCGAAACCTACGAGAGCAAACATCGCACCCCGTCCACCAAAAATGAGGGAAGTTGCTGATCACTCAAGTAGCAACGGGCTGCGCCGTAGTTGCTTTGCCTCAAAGTTCCGGGCTGTGCCCAGCAGGCGCAGCGTGTGGCCCTGTCTTCTCCTGAGTAGCATTCGCCGGCAACTAACACGAAGCGCATAGCGGTCCGCAGTCCACTGCCGCAACGTTTCCAAAGAAGGCGCTCAGCTTCGTGTTCGTTCTTGGTTCCTCTCTGCTTTCACTGTCGTGACGGAGCGCGGGCCTGTTCGGTGAGGCGCGCCCCCCTTGGACCTGCTTCCGCGAGGATGCTTATGCTTCAGGTGTGAGCCCTTTGGCACTGCTTCGAAGACAACCCAACTCGCCAAACGGCGGAAAGTGGACCGCTGCCGGCGCCCTGCTTGACACCTCAAACAATGCCGCCATACGAAGCAAATCCCCAAGCCCCGCCGCCGTGCTTCCGAAAAAACCGCCAGCACGCGACGCCATGAGCACCCCACAAGCCCCCCCGGGTGCAGCGCTCACACACTGGCCGCGGAGGTCTGTGAGCTGCTTGCAACAAACTCAGACGCCCTAGCCGAGCGCCATGCAAGGCCGTCGCGCTCGTTCACTGTGAGGACAAACGAAGAACCAGCACCGTGAAAGTCAGGAAAGTAATGGGTCACGTCCAGCACTGGATGAGTGCGCCCCTGCCTTAGTAAGTTGCTTGGGTGTTGGGGCTTCGGCCATGGCTGTTACGCTTACGGCGTACCCCGGGGAAACATCCCCGAGCGCGTCGGCGAACATCTTCAACGGAAAGGCGCCCGCCCAGAAAAAAGGCCACGCGATACACAGCAAACGCAAGCCGCGCCACCTCCTGGGGCTGGGCCTGCCGAGATGGCACGAAGCGCATCGCAGTAAACGGCAAGGCGTTTCGCGTCGCGTCGTCCGGCCAGCTGTCTCCGTGGGTGTTTCATCGTGCAGACCTTCTTGCTGCACGCAAATACTGACGCCCCACACGCTGGCACTAGAGGCGCGCCGCGTTGCCTTTCAGGGACGTGCGGATCATCTGCGCTTGTCTGGCTTGCCGTCGTTGCTCTCGCCACTACGGGGCAAACGCCCCGCCCGTCGCTTGATGTGCTCCGAGGCCGCTCCGGCTCAGAGTGCCCCCGCCCGTTGAAGTGAAGGGCGATAAAACAAGAGACAAAGCATCATGAGAACGAGCTATCCCTCCATAAACAATGTTATCGGCTCCTTGTTCGATCCGAGATTGACGTGCTCCAATTTGTGCTCTGCCGTTTGATTCAAACACGCCTCCACTTTATGTAGCACATAACGGCACATTTCGGCTTTCTTTTCGTGAGAACTCGCTCGAATAATGAGCATCTTGTCCTCTAAATATTGCAGCTCGCCTTCCTTCGTGACTTCATTAGAGCTTACTATTCTACAACGACCTAACTTGATACTACACAAAATCAACAAAGCCCGTGCTAGTCCATGTTTTTCTAGTACGGATGCAACTGAGCCCTTGTAGTTATCTCTTCACCGGCGAAAAAATCCAGAAGACAACCATCCACCTTTCACCTTGTCTCGAAGGAAAAGGCCCCGAGTCAACAGCATTTACTTAACAACGAAGACGCATCTATCATCATGACGCATCAATCATGGTTTACTTAAGAACGATGATCACATAACATCAATTCGAGCAGTAGGATCTTCGATCTGCAGGATGTACTTCTTGAGGTTTTCTCCTGCTTTGCCCACGATAGGTCCTGCTGCCGGTGCTGGAACTAAGCATCTCCAGGGTATCGAAACTGAGGGGCCACTTCCTGCATGCTGCAGACTCGGTGGAGACGGATTGTAACTCCCGCTAGCCCCCGCGTTCGCAGAGTTTGACCCACCTACACCGTGACCGCCAGCACTCCCGCAAGCAGAACTACTAGTACCCATATCTTAGAACTACCGCGTTTTTGCATCCCTCAGCGTAACCTACTTGGTTTCCTTTTCAAGTAGAACTATGGCTCTCTTGAGGATGTTGCCTCAGCGGCAGCCTTAAATATACGGAGCTCCTCCGCTACCCTGATGCATGCTGGAATTACTACCAGTCGACGGTCCGTTATTTTGCATATGCTGGCCTTGAACACCTCCTAGTGCTCCTGCTCCTCCTCCTCCCATATTGTTGTTGATATTACCGCTCAGGTTCATGGTACTACATGAATGGTCGCCCGGCACAGGTCCGCTTCCATCCCGGCCACCCATGTCCTTCTGGTAGTGCTGCGCATTGTCGGTGTGCGAAGGACCAAGCATCTTATCCTACACAACCTGCGACGGGGTCATATACTTTGACTGATCTTTCTCACTAAATTTTGTTTCTAGGGATGAACACTTTGGAGTTCTCATGAGATGAACTTGATCATCCTCAGATTTTATACTTCACCAGAGAGAATGGAAACGAAAAGGTAGATTAGAATCACCAACACACTAGAATACTAAATCTCTACCACGACTATCAGGCTTTTACTGGTTCTTCTGTGGATCGTGTAGGCTACTGCTAGCGTATCGACGACACTTCTCGTGGTTGATCCCCGGATCTTCCTCCTCACAGCATCCTTGGCGCATCAAAGATCGTCATTATCCTACATCAACTACACGTCTGAGAACTCACACTCTCTCATGTAGGAGTATGGAGTAAGTAATTATCGACTCAGAAACCCCAATCTTCAAAAATTCCCGAGACCTCCTTTTCGACCGATTTCTCTCTTGTATAAGCAGCACAAGAACTACTTCCAGCGGAACAAAGACAGTCAGTGTTCTGAGCAAATATTACCATCCCATCATCAGGGCGTAGGTCGTGTCTTCGTCTTATCTTCGTCTCCTCCTAGTAGAAGTTATAGGCCTTCATATTGCAGATGACCCGTTCAAATTCAGCTAATATCATATTTTATTAGTGCTACGACAGTACAGTTTCTCATCGGAGTCGTTCGGTCTTTGTTCCGTACACGATGGAAGAGCCTGGAATTGAATGCGCAAAAAAAACATGGATGACGACCACTCAAGAATCAAAAATCAAGAGCAAGTTCAACTAGCTGCTATAGTGTGAGAGCTAGTTAACAGACTCACTTCTTCCGCAAACATCAGAGTTCTCACTTGAGAACAAACGAAGTTTCTTGAACCTGTTCCTGAATCTAGCTCTAAAAATAGCTTAGGCTTTGCGATTATACCAGCTTAGTTTGTCTAAATCCAATGGAATACGAACCTTCAGTCTGTCAAACATTTGTGTAGCTTACTTCGCCTTTTTACGTACGTCGAAATCACCATGACCACTACCACCTAGGACTGAATTTCGTAGTAGCGGCTGTGAGAACGAAACTTCGTTCTTCGCTTGTAGCGTCCGCAGACACCTCGACAAAACTCGCCGGCGTTGATAAGCCCTGCACGAGTCATTTGGCGCTTCATATGGTGCTCCTCATGTGGCTCTAACATTCGTCCCATAGCACCGCACTAGAAGGCTCTACCTACACTGTGGTCGTCTTTCTCCTTCGCCACTCCTTCATTGACTTAGTAACTCACTTCTCAACAATATCCTTTTTCTAAAAATACAGCTGATTACAAAGATTCATCTAGTTTCAGATTCAATACGCGCAAAGTTGAATATTAAATAATTCAGGATAAGGATTGGTACTGCGACATAAACATATTCGAGTTCGATCTCAATAGGTTGGTTTCATTGCTTTGGTTGGTTTGATTGGTTTAGTTGCTTTTCCAGCTCTGATCGGCTTGTTTGGCTTTCTTGCTGATTGGTTTAGTTAGTAGATAAAAGCATAATTGGTTTGCTAGGTATAATTGGTTAGATATATTAATCTTCACTAAGAAGTAGGTTGTACATCTTTTTTTACAAGGTTGATATAGAGGTTAGATGATAATGACGAGCTTGATATTCTTATATTTATGAATTTGATGGTAGACTGATATTAGGCTCAAGGTTACGAAACAAACTGGGTTACAGTAGTTCAACATTATACCATGAATGTAGTTGTAAGAATATGTGGGTAATAGACCAAAAAAGTATCCATGCTGTGATTGGTCGTTCTGTAAGGGCTACTCAGAATCATTTTTTTCCCAATTTCAAATCAATGTTGGTCAAAATCAATGGTGCTCTCCTTCTCTTTCGTGTTGACCTGCTTTTGTATTGCTCCCTGCTAAGCGACGACGACAGGCGTTTCCATCACTTCTTGCATATCTCTGCAGCTTACATCGTCTCCCACGACTTTGTAGTCGTCACACTGTGTACTACTAGTCGTCTCACTCTCGTTTGGCATGATCCCCACTTTTCCTAGTAAGACTGCGCATGGTCCTACGGGAAATGATTTCGCCACCGGCAATGATCTTGGTGCCGTCTCGCACCGCCACGACCTGCAATCCGGGAAGACAAACGTCTTTCCTTCGCAACAGTACCAGACCACAGCAATATTCTCCAACATGATTCTGTTTGGCAGCGCTAGTATTCTGATCTCCTAGGTGCTCAGCATTAGCTGTGACAACTGGAGTCGCCCAAGCGACCCTGACGATTTGACGACTGGAGTGCAGGTAGAGAAGTAAGTGCTCGTCCTTGAAAATGCTGGAGCATCCTGTGAGGCATCGCAGTCTTACGAGACAATAACGGCGAAAATAGGTGTCCACAGAGGATGATACGTCGTACAGCCACATGCCAGACCTGAAGATTTTCACGGTTATGATTGTTGTTCTTTTACACTTATATAAGTACTTATTTTGGGAGGTGTATTCATAGACGGGATAAAATTGCAGCTACGTGCTTGCTAAAAATCAATTTAGATTTACCGCATGTTCGTTCTCAACATTCGCCAAGGTCATCCAAGTGATGATATCACCACCTTCATCTACATTCAATCCTCGTTGATGATGTGAGTCGATTCATCTACATTCAATCCTCGTGAATACTTTAAATGTACCTGATCTGTCGCTGATAGTGCTTGAAGCTGCTGCCTTGTCTGCGTAAGATCCGTGCTGAGTTATGCTGGTCCGAATCGCTTGCGAAGCGACTTCCCGCGTAAGCTCGCAGCCGCTTCACTAGAATAGTATCATCACTCGTCTCGCCAGCTGTGGTGCTCATTTGAGACATGCTTCCTCCGGCTCTCCCTAGCTTCCCTGCTGGTGTCACGAGACCTCGACTCGCTACACTTGAGGGAGTGGGCGAGCTCTTGGCTGCTGTCTGACATAGAGGCAGTTGACTGTGGCTCTGTTTGTTGTTCTCAGCAACGTGTAATTCCGAAATACTGCTCGACAGCGTAGTAGACGAAACAAGTTGGCCCTGTTCTTGATTACCGCCTCCTTCGTCGACGCTTTTAGTCCTCTTTTCTTTTACAACTTCGCTCATCTTCATGACTTCTTTACTTGGAATTGTGCTGTGATAAGGCACCAGTTTCAGCTGCACCGTACAGCTCTGCCCACCCGCCAGTTCGGAAACTGGTTGTCGTCGTACGTGGATGCTGCAGACTTTCACTCGCAACTGTTCTTCTATACCTGCAACCGGACCCAAGTAGAACTCATCGCCGATGCGTAGGGTCGTCACCGTGTTGCCACCAACAACTAAAAACTGCGAACTATGGTCAACAGCACGGCTGAAATTAGTAGGCCCAACACTTGTTCCAGCTGGTGATGCTGAGGAAGCTGCTGCTTGTGCGCCTCCGGCTGTTGATGACACCCCCCCTAAGGCCGCAGATCCCGAAGACCCCAGAGGAGGTTGCGGAGGTGCTGCCATGATAGACGTAGTACCACGACTGGTGCCGCTCTTGCACACGTAGTCGACGACGAAGCGCACACCGTGAAAGGACAGGAAACTGCTTTGAATCGGAAAGAAGTTCGAGTGCGTCAGTAGGTACTCCAATAGAGGAAAATTGTATCGCGTGACGCAACTGACGGCGAGCACTGGAATCTTGCGTTCCTTCTTTCGCAAAAACAGATTCACGTCTTTCTCTTTTTGCACGATGGAGAAATTCTGCTTGAAGTAGTCAGTATCCGCAAAATTACGCCGAAAAACGCGTGAATTCTCCACAAGCCGATTGCTGCGAATTGACGACAACCGCTTGGAATTCCCCTCGCCGGTGGGGCTCATAGGTGGGGAAGATGAGGAAGTGGTCATCACATGATGCTGATGAGCAGCGCCTAGAAGTTCTACTCCTGAAGGTGCCTTTCGAACTACTTCTGATGCGCTCTTTTGGATTTCCAGACTCGTTTGCGTTCGCGCAGGTGGGGCAAAAGCCGCAGAGGAAGAGGCACCAGGAGTAGAACTAGTACCTTCCTCCTGTTTCTCTCCAATCGCAAGATCGGCACTAGAACCGCGACTCTTCCCATATCCACCCGACGTCTTCCGTGTCCATAACTCTCTTCGAGCACGCTTGCTCTCAAGCCACGAGTGCCGACTATCCGGAACTAGCGCTCCGAGCTCGACATCACCATACTGAGTAGCCCAGCAAGCCGCAAGGCAATCACTAGAAGCTGGTGTAAGCAGACAAGATGGCGAGTCTGGTGCTGCAGCGGCAGTTGTACTATTGAGCACTATTTTTGTGTTTGCTGGAGTAGAAGAGCCCTGCTCCTGGTCCTCTGTTGTGTTTAGAGTCCTGGTCTTGACTGATGCAGCAGTTGTATTAGGCACAAGTGGTAGTGGAAGAGAGTCTGAAATGGTTCGTATTCTAAAGTCGTCCTCAGCCGCAGGCTGTGCGCATGGACCAGTATGCGTTTTCACCGCGGCTTTGGACGTGGCATCCTGACTAGTGCTGTGCAGAAACGCTGCTGGTGCACTGCCAACACCGTCATTGCTGAAATGAGCAACCTCTTGACTGTTCTGAGCTGCTGTTGTACTTGAAGAAAGCGGGGTCACACTACTAGCAAAGGTGAGGGCTTTCGCATGGCGCGAGCGTTGTCTGGGCTTGCTCGGGCGAGCATTCATCTTAGAGGAGGAGGTAGTGGGTTCACCTTCTCTGCGTTTTCTCTGCTGCTCTCCCTGTGTCGACGCGCTTGGCGAGCGGTCTCCGGAAGAACCTATTCCCCCGTCTTGATCTTCATCGAAGTCGCTCTCATCCATCTCGCCGTCGTCCTCCTCATCATGAAGCAGAGGCTCGCCACGCCATTGCGGTGGTGTGTTCGACCCCACCATAGGCGACTCGGGGAGTTCACCTCCTGCCGGGACCAGTTGCAAGTGTGCTGGTGCGGAAGTTCCAGCCGTCTTGCTGCCGCTTCGATGCAGGACCGCAGAGCGCCATGATGGACATTTGGACGCTGCTGCACAAGCAGAGTTTGTGGCCTCCTTGTTCTTCTCCTTGTTCTTCGGGAATGGCGTCATGCAGGCAGCTGTTGCATCGCCAGGACCAGGAGTCTTCTGGTGCAGGTTTAGAGTCAAGGAGCCTTGTTCTTCCTTTCCCGAGGAGCACTGCTGGTCATTATTTCTGTTGCTCTGATTCTCCTCATCTGGTGCTTCGCCATCCTTACAGTCTGGACTTCCTGCAGCGGTCCTCGGAGATTCTCCTGCTTCGCCGTCCTCCTCATCATCTTTTTCCGCCGATCCACCTCCGGGAGAAAAGAACTCAGCTACTTTTTTGCCATTCATTTTCGCTAATTGCTCTAAGCGTTCTCTCCTCACACGCTTCCTCCCTCGTCTGCTCAAAGACTTGAAAGTCTCCTCGTCGACGCAGTCCGCTCCCGTCTCTGCGAGGTGCTCCAGCAAACGTCTGTTTTCCTCTGCCTTCGACACTTGCAAATCCCGCATTTGCTCTCGCTTTCTCCGCTTTCGCTCGATCACCGTCATGTCCGCTGGCGGCTCAGCGTACAGACCAGGAGTACTGATAAAAAGAGCGTTCTGATCGCTGTGAAACGTGCCGCTTGACTGGGGTACTAATCCATTTTTCACGTTGTCAGGAGACGCACTGCTGCCAGGTGGAACACGACTGGCTGACATTGTGGCTAACAGTGTCGACGCGTCGGTCATCACCGTCGGATTAGGATACCTCGTCACAGCGTTAGCCGGGCTGCCCGCTGGATGTAGATCTTCTCCTACTTGTGAACAAGATGACCCAAAAAGATCGTGGTATGCACTTATTTGCGTTCCGTTGCCGATCGCTATCCCTGCCAGAGGGTCCGCGTTTCCTAGCTTGGCACAGCTGTCAAGGTGGAACGGCTGCTCGCCCGCAGTGAGCTGTACTGCGTCATGCTCCCCGTGCTGACCCCCAAAGAGTGATCCCAAGTCGCAATCGTCGAAGAACCCGTCAGGCGTCGTCAACTGGAAACCGCCATCCTGATCGGCCGCCCACTTCCCACTACTGCACATGCTGTCGTCTAACCGGGTTGGCATCGAGACTCCGCGTGCCGTAGGGACAAACGGACCTGAGTGTTGAGCTCCACAAATGGAGGGGCTCGAGACCTGCGGGTCCTGGTATCTTCCACATTTGAAGTCGTCGGTTACGGAGACTCCGCTCGTGGTCGTGTCTGCGCTGCACGTGCGACGATGTTGCCGCCTATTCAACTGCCGAGCAGTCGTGGATCCGAGATACTGCGGAACCGCTGTACCTGGATCATTACCGGTCAGACTCACTGAAGAGGTCTTTGCGGGCAGGCCAGGCCCATGTGGATTTTCGACTTCGGAATTCATCTCGTGGCCCTTCGGATTTTCCACTTCTCCGGTACTATTCAAGCGTGGTCCTCTGCTAGATGAGGACGTTGTGGAACTACCTATTGGAAGAACAGTAGATGTAGCATCAACGCCACCTAATGTCGAAGCCACCCGCTCCGTCGGTCTCGATGTCGTGATTGGCGAATCATGAGCAGCAAGTTGCTCGTTTTCAACAGTGTCAACATCTTCTAGTTCCTGCAATTGGTCGCACTTTGTCAGCAAGACCATAAGCCGTCGATTCAATGCTTTCGCCAGGTCCACGAAAAGCCGAAACTCTGGCCCAAGCGGTTCCCGCGCGTCGTGCACAAGCAACAAGGGCGTGAAGTTGTTGCAACCGAGAATGCCTCGTAGGGTGGTTTTCACGTACCTCGGATCCCCAGGCACGTCAACAATCTCCAAATCGCTTCGGTAGACGTGCTTCGTGATGCTACTCGTGATTCCTCCGGACAAAATTTCGTGCGGAAACTGCAAGACGAGACTTCGGGCTAATCCACTGCCGTTGTCGTTCTTCAGATTCTTCACGAGACAGCCGACTAAGCTACTCTTGCCGCCGCTCGGCGCTCCGCAGAGAACTACGCGGCTCTTGATACGTTCAAGATGACCATGCAAAAGTCCTCCCGACATCAAACCACCGCCTACGCCGGCTACGCTTCCGCCGCCATAACTAGCCATATTGACACCTGCCGTCCCGACGAGCTTGGGCGCTAACTGCAACGTGACTTGCCCAATCACTAGTGCAGATCCCTCCAGCTGAATCTTCTCAGTCGCTATCCCGATGTGTGGATCGATCGTGCACGCACAAGTGTCTGTTGAGTTTCAATTTCAAAGGGTATTCTTTAGGTCGTCATAGTAATTTGGGAGTCATGGATGATAAATGCTACTTCGTACTTCTGATGCAAAAGCAACAAACTTTACTAACCTCACAACCACAAGCACAACACAAATGGGAAATCATTATCATATTATTAGGAAAAAACAAAAAGTATAAGTACATAGATTCCGCAAGCTTTCCTCTAACTCCCTTTCCGTGAGACCACGAGGATAGCCGTCATCGTCGACGCCGATGCGGTAAACGCAAGTTCCAACGCCTTCGCGTAAACGATACTGCATCTGCGTCGTCAATTGCTGTAGCCTTTGGGGAGCGCAGGTACACAGCATCCGCTTGTACTCGACATTGCCGTCTTCGCGCTCCGGTCCAAAGTCTACCTCAGCTCGTGTTTTACGGGATGTCGTGAATGAAGTTGCACTCTCCGCACTCCGCACTAGCGCATTACCGGCTAAGGGCTTCCCGCCAGAAACCGTCTTCTGCGTAACAGTTGTGCCTTGCGTTGTGCCTTGCTGGTGGTGCCCTTGGCCTTGCTGCTCTACTGCTATTCTTCTAGTACAACCATCTTGTTCTTCTGGAAGCAGATTTTCATGATTGACGTTCTCCTGGAGATCCTCCTCTCCTATGACTAAAGAACTTCCTGCCGGCTCTTGTCGTGCACGACCACCAGAGGATGTTGTTCGTATCGTGTCGTAGACCTGCTGAGCGAATAGCTGGCAGAAGTCGTCACGCCGCATGCGATTGTGGTGCACATCCGCTGGCGACACACCGAGCTTCTTGGCTTCGCGGTACTCCCGCTTCATCCGCATTCGCTCTTGAGTACGGTACTCCTTGTAACTCAATCGTTGTGGATAACTCGTGGTCGGAGCAGGGACGGCGTCCACGACTTGCGATGTCCCCGCACTACTGGAGGAGGCAACGGAGGAGGCGCCCGCTCCTGATGTGCTAGAAGAATTTTCAGCTATGTTGTTTGCTCCTGCAGTTGTACTAGCTTTACCGCCTATGACAGCTGTAATGGTGTTCGGATTTCCTCCTGCATCAGCTCCCCCAGAAGACGATTGTGCGAAAGACACTCCTGCATTGACTCCTGCCGAAGACCCTGCGTTACTACCTTTGCGGGCCCGGTGCACACCCGGGTACGGTGGTAAGCCGTTCTTTTCGCGCCACTCTCGCTTTGCTTGTCGCTGCCGCTCGCGGCGCGCACCGCGGCCCCCGCGAACGCCTACGGAGAGTGCTGCGGCGTCTGGCACTGATCCTTCGTCCGTAACACCATTGAACAATTCGTCGGGACAACTGAAAATGCTCAAAGGTGTCTGCTCCTCCGCATCTCCGTCATCACCGAATAAGGAAAAATCACCACAGAAGAGGTCCGAAACGCAACGTTGACCGCGTCCTCCTTCGGACGAACCGCAGGCCTGCGAGGACATTCCAAAGCGGTAGAACCTCCTCTAGGAGTCTTCGTGCTTCGTCTACTTCCTACTTCGTGTTTGACGACAAAGAGATGATGGCCAACTCTGCGTGTTCGTTCTTGTACGCAGCAAGTTAACACACAAGACTCCGCGCCATTTTAATGCTCTTGAAGAAAAACACAGTGAAAAACTTCGTGAGGAGTTCAAAGTCAAATTATTTCAAAAAGCAATAACAACTGCTCACTGAGTCAACAGAAAGATGTTATGGACCACGTAACATCAATCTGTCATTTCTAAAAAAAAGGATTGTCTTCTTCACAACTCTACTATGAATCAGGTTATTTTAAACTGCACAAGAAGCTAGAGGGTCTTTGCGCTAGTTCTACCCCAAAATAGAGCCCAAAAATTCAGAAACTCGCTTTCTCAGCGTAACGCCTGCTGGTTGTACCGTGTCGTTGAAAAACACCTTGACCACCATCAGACGACGTCTACATTCAAGTACAAAGGATTCATGCTCATTTGAATGACGAATACATACACAGTAGTAGTTAAGCTCAGAACAGGACTCGTAGGACTAAGTTGTCGAAGTATAGTAGATTGTCAGAGTCAGAAGGGATAAGCCTAAGAATGGAGGGAAAGCTAACCGGTTACTTTACTTATGTGCTTTGTACAGTAGATTGATTACATTGAAAGAAAAGTTTGCATAGTGCAGTGAGACGGTATAGTATCGCTGCAAGGCACTCCCAACGTGCTTAAGAAAACACCGAAGATGACTGAGTCCGTAGAATTTCGGACTGCCACACAACTACCACTCCTAGACTGGTAATACATCTAGAATTCACAGCTTTTGGACGAGTCAAAAAGACATTCTAGCTCTTTGTATTGGAAAATGATAGTTATTTCCTAAATCAAACTACTATCATACCTCTATGTATCATACTACTTCCAACTTCTACAATCGTCATTAGAAATCATTAAATTGAGTAGATCATATAATTCATTGACCGCACGACTAACTCGTGATTTTACCTGATTTTACCTACGTTCAAATAGACTGAAGAATCCGTATAAACAAGTTAAAACCCGAATACACAGTACTTCTACGGGAGAGGGTTGCGTGGGAGAAGACAACGGACTCTGTATGGAGTGAGCCGGAGAAGTGAGAGCCGTAAATGTTGGGAAAACAGATGTTGACGAGTTTCTCGGTGATGCAGTAGAAGACGATAATCTTCTCAGATATTCGTTCTCAGATGGTCACCAGGTGACCCGCAACTATCATGACAATTCAATGTCAAATAGTGCGGTAAACAGAGAAGACAGATGTCGTGACAAGGCAGATGAAAGCACAAGAAAACGTCATAATATTGGTCTCTTGATGTCTCTCGTTGCCTATCAAAAACTGTGATGTTCTTTCTCAAATATTACCGAACAAAAATGATACGCCCGCTCTTCTATCATAGTCTGTCGTTCTCAGGTCGATTGATCAAGGTCGGTGAAGTTTGAACACAATGTTGAGAGGTCATTCAAATTGTCTGCTGGACACCAACATGAATGTAGACTCACATCAACATCATTTCAGTAGAATATTCCACACTACAACAACGGACTGTAGGCCATTCACGTTTAGAAGCCATCTATAGATTGAAATCGACTCGTCGTTTACAGACTCCAACATCGACACCGAAGCGATAAACACTCACTCCTAATGGAAGAACTTGCGTACTAGATGTCGTTGATCCTAACGATCAAATCGATCGCCTCTCTTCAATCATGACGTGTGTCACTGTCCTCCATGCCTAGAAGAAAGCGAAATGCAAATCGTCTCCATATGATACGAGTTTACATCGATCTTCACTCGACAAGGGCAAAAAACCGAAAAAAACACTCGAAGAACGATTTTTCAACCTCACCTTACTCATAGATAGCCGCGCACACGAATCTTGTCGAAGACTGGAACAAGATTCACAACACATCACTGGGAGAATGTTTGATGATTGTGCTTGATGCACTGCTGCTCAAGCCAGAAGAAGAAAAATCTATCTTGGTTTTCATCTTCAGTTTCAGTCTGCGAAATGAAGAGTCTTGAGCAGTGGGAAAGGTATGGGAAACTCTTTCATCCTAATCCTCTAATGGGACGGCATTGTAATGATATAATTCCCCAGTCTTGTGGTAACTTGGGGTAAGCTGGGGTATTAAGTCCAGAGCAGGGGCTTCGGGTTTCACAAATTCTTGTCGGCGACGACCACGCGTTGGTCTAGTCTCTTTCTGGGTGTTTTGGGGTAATATTAAAAGGACGGGTATAATCAACAACATGCGTAACGTCATTCTTCTTAGACACACTGCAAAGCGTCAGACATATCATTATATTGGGTGTAATTATGGATTAGACCCACCCCCACCACCCATTCTCTCCATCAGATTTTTCTTGTGTAGGTCAGACAGTTTCTCGTGTTTCTCCAGTTGCGCTTCCGAAGCGAATTGTCGCTTGCACAACAAGCACAGCCACTTATCTCCCTGTCTGCCACGCGTCGGCTCTCGAGAAATGGCGATGTTGATCGTTGGTCCACCGCCAGTCGCTGCGTGTTGAGATCGGAGCGGGGCCGCTGGCCGACTCGCAAGGTCAGCCGTCGTGGGTAAAAAAGCTTTCGCTTCCAGTTCAGTGAATATGGAGGTTTGCCCCGTGGTGATTGGAGATGGCATAGCTGTTCTAGACAAAATACGTGGTTGCTCTCCTGTAGTTCTACTACTACCTCCCGCAGTTGTACGTTCTCTTTGACTTCCCGTTCCTGTTTGTTCTCCGTCACTACCACTCGTAGGCCGCTCAAATACTCCTGCCAGGGATGGCATTCCTCCTGAAGCCGTTCTTCCAATAGCTGCGCTCATCGCCGCATGTGCGGAGGCTTGCCGCAAGACCTGTGTCGCTTGCAATGCGAGATTCTCTGTCACCGCTGACAAAACCTTCACGTTCTTTTCGTATTGGGCTTGATCAAATACACTGGAAGTGGAAGTAGAGGATGTCGAAGTCGATGTAGCTGTAGATGTAGTAGATGGTTGTATCAACAAAGTTTTAGTACTAGAAGAGGAATTTGAATTTGTGACAGGATCGTCCACTGCTGCTGGTCCCTTGGTGCTAGAAGATGAGTTGATGGCTGAGGAAACGGCGGAAGCTGCCGTAGTACTAGATGAATTTGTGTTGTTTCTGCTCTTGTCGCGGTCTCGTGAGTCTCGACGACCACGATCGGAGCGACGTCTAGACCGACGCCCGCTTGACCTACGGTCATCCCGCCCACGGAATCTCGATCGCCCTCTCGAGTTGTTGTCCCGACCACGACGTCTCGAATTCGGCATTCTGGAAGCTAATCTGCCAGATGTACCACTGCGGTGAGACGAGTAGTTAGTACTATTGTTCGCATAGTTATTGTCATGTTGTGACGTGGAGGAATTTTGTTGCTGGAGGATGGTGCTCGACGCTGCTGCGGCTGCAGCGGCTACTGACTGATGAATCGCTGGGACAGCAGGTACAGCGAACTTCTGCAGAGGCCGTGTTTTCGCATTTGGTCCCAATACTAATTTGCCCTGGCGATCGTACTCCACTAATAACTGCCGCTCGCCGTCGTATTTGTAATATACCCCGTCTCGTGAGAAAAAATACGCGGTATTGCTGTCGTAGTACAGCCCTTCTCTCGAGTTCCACAAATAACCCGTACTTGCGTCTCGCACGTACCCACTGGGCGTCCTCGCGATTTCGGTAGCAGGTTTTGGAGCCAGTCCACCTAGTACTTCAGCCCCTGCTCCACTGGAAGAGGTTCCTGTTTTTGAACCATCGCCTGCCGCTTTTTTCCCTTGTTGATTCGTGCCACCAGAAACCCACATTGACGCTAGCTTCTCCTGCATCTCCGTACTCGGTTGCACATTACCTGCCTTAGAGGAGGAGAACGCGGTCATCTTTCACTGTTATTGTAATCTACAGGACACCCTTCAAGGCAAGTATTTGTACTCTATGAAGAAAGGAGTTATCAAGTGAGCCTTAACTGCCAATTGCTTCCCTGAGTTTTCGGCTACTCGAGTTTTGATCGCGGTGCTAGCACGGCTTGCGGCTGCGTTGATTAGGGCACTCGTTTCATCCTGCTGTCTGGCGAAGTCTGCGACACTATTTGCGACCTTGAGACTCTGCGCCAATGTGCCGCCCAAGTAATTCGCCCACATATTTGCATTCGGGTTTACACTACCAGGAGTCGAGAACAAACTTAGAAGTAGACCAATCGTGGTAAAAACTACAAGCTGTGGAGAGTAGATGGTGACAACTACAATCAAAATGGGTAGCAGAGGAAGTAGGGATTTCACAATTACAATTGGTAGTAAAAGAAGAGATTTAGGCTTTTATCAACTTGAACAATCTTGAAATATATTACTGTGTCTAGTGGTCTTCTTGTCTGAGCAGAACTACTTCTAAAAATCAGATCTAATGCCCATCTAGTCCTCAACTCTAGTCTACTTACTATTCAACATAATGATTTCAGTGTCTCTGCAACTGAATCTGCTTCTTGTGTGTAAGACGCTGCTAGCGAAGCCATCACGTTGCCAGCCTCCTGCATAGCTCGCTCAGCCCCTGTGCGGGCGTGCACTGCCGCACTCGCGAAATCGTATTGCACCTTTCACGCGTTTAGAGTTTTTGTTTAGAGTTTTCCAAAGAAACCAATCTGTGCCTCCTGGTGTGGCTCCAATAACTCGCGATCATCATATATGTTTCATTACCTTCCGGGTCGCCCACCGAACGCTTTGGTTGCAGGGACTAAGACGAGGGAAAAGTAATCAGCTACTTTCTATTCATTGTAGTTCTTTCTATTCATACGTAGTCGGCTCATACGTAACCAGATGATGAAAATACCTCCTTACATGGTGAGAAACAAAGGTCGGTAGGCTTTACTGATCTGCCTTTCACGGTAGGCGTCGGCGTCCGATCCAAAAAATCAATGGCAATTTTCGCATCCTGCATGTCCTGGAACTCAACGAAAGCAAACCCCTTTTGAGAATAAAGGCGCACACACTTCACGACACTGGCACAGGGTGCAAACAGGTCCAAAACATCGGCGTCGACGGTTCGGTCTGTTTCGGTGGAAGGGTAGAAAAACATCGATTCACCTACAGAAGTATTAACTGAAAGCAGATTGTTCAAGAAGTGAGATTACACGAAGTGAAAACTGATAAAAGAGGCTACTTCTTCTAGGTTATTCTCTTTAGCACTGATCGGGATCAACTGAAGTAGTTTGAGCTGAAGCTCTTTAGCACTGATCTTTTTTGGGTACTTAGGTACTGGTAATTCCCTTGACGATGAGTGTGCTTGTTGGTGGGCTTCTTCCTTGCTTTTGGTCTCGATAATGCCCGCGTCCTCCCCATGCGCTGTCGTCCACTCCTCCCCTTCGACCGTCGTGACCGTCGTGATTGTTCTGGTAGCTTCTAGTAGTTCTATTGTTTCCACCTCCACTAGCAGTAGTACCATTTCCGGCATGTCCACTAGCAGTAGTACCATGGTAGCAGGACATCTCATAGAATCGAGATCTCTGCGAAAAGTTGCTTCCACTTGAAGACTTGGATGTGATCTTCAACTCGTGTTTAGAAGCCTCTAAAAATCGCGCTGCAAGGTCTGCTGAGGCAAATTCCAGTAATGCGCAGCAACCACGCTTAGCCTCTAGACCCTCAGCGCGCACTTCATCAGGCACAGAGAGTGCATTTTCGATGCAGAATTCATTTGCTGCTTGCTCGACGAGTGATGTGAGAAGGGCAGCGGCATCGCCATCCTCGCCAGAGGACGCTCCATTCGAGGTAGCAGCTAAAGATTGCCCCAAAGAATACAAATCGTGCACCTTCACAACGTTGCTCGGCTGACCAGTGGCGCGACGAGGCGAGCGGCGCTGTGAGCGGCGAGGTGAACGGCGCGTTGAGCGACGCGGAGAGCGACGCGGAGAGCGACGAGTGGACCGCTCGCGCTCGCGGTTATAACGAGCTATGGATGCCATATTCTTCACTAAAGATCGTCGTAACTGATATCTTCCTCGTTGCTTGAATATTTAGGCACTCACATCGGTTGAACTCACAAGAAGAAGCCAATCGGATTATACTACAGGCGACAAATCTAAACAGTAAAAATTGAGACCCTCTTTTAGAAAAGGAGGGGCTAACACTACCTTGTTGAGCTACTCATCAAAGGAGAAAAATACCAACACACATTGAAACAAAAAGATGTCGTAAAATTTTTGGTCGCCGCCACCGCTGGCTAAATGAAAATGTTTTGGAAAGATAACTCATGAGCTTGTTGTTGCTCAACGTAGAATACTGTCTGAGATTGATAAGTCGCAACCACGTCGATCCTAGGAAGGTAATACTGTCTTCTGTGATAGAATTTCGATTCTCATTGGCAAAAGTAGACCTGTTTGCAAGAGTGGACATAGCCATTCGCATAGGATAGGATAGGAATTAGCCCGCCTCAGGGAGGTGAGCGTTCACGACTGTGAAATGTGGGAGCTTCAACTTATTCCTTTCGCACAGCGTGTTTGCTACTTGCCGGGGACCTCCGCAGGCTGAATTCCATTCCTAGATCTTCTGGATCACGGGACGATGAATACCAGGAGACACAGCAACTTTATAAGGTTGTTGCCTTTCTTCACAAGGTTGGAACACCCTTGGTAGTTCCCAGGCATCCGAAAATTAAGATTCACGACAACATGTTCAACTCCGAATCGCAAAGAGTGCCTGCACTATGACATGTAGTGGCAGCTCCAGGATGGAGGACTATTTCAAGGTCCTGTGTCCCGGAAATCCAAATCAATTTTTATTCATGCAAACAGACAATTTAAGGCAAAGCTTACTTAGATAGAGAAATTACAGTCATAGTGTAGCCCTGAGTGTGAAATTGGCTCACTGGGGGCTGCTCTGTGTTCAAGATAAAAGGCCATCTGCAGACATGAAGAAATTGCAATTCTATATTCGCAAACCATAAACTCACGAGATTCAAGAATGAATGGGTCTTAAGGATTTTGCATTTTCAGTGAATAACCTCTACGACATCGAAGTTTTTTTTTTCAGTGAAGGGCAGCACATTCATCTCAGTGAAGGGCAGCACGACATCGAAGTGCCGTATGTACATTTTGTAAGAAATGTTTTGCGGCTGTACTTCCTTCCAATATGAATCGAGCAACGCCTCTTGGCAGGGTTCTGCGTGATATTTCCCGCGTGAGCAGTTCAGGGTGACCACTTAGCCTACAATCCGCAAAGGCCTCCATAAGGGACAAAAGCGCTGGATCATCTTCCTGGTCTAGTTTCGAATCGTCTTCGTCATGATTCTTTTTCGAATCGTTTCCTGGATGCGTAAAACAACACCCAGCTCCAATTTCCTCGTCATATTCTGCTCCTTCTTGCGGCTCAACATTTCGACGTTGTTTATTCTTTTCCTCATTAGCGCTACCGCGAATGATTCATCCCCGTGGGGATCTTCCTCCTTGAAGAAGTATGTTATCCTCTGTGTCTTATACGATACTTGAGGCGGGAATTTGTTCCCTATTCACTTATAGAAGCGATGGATTATGCTGAACACAGCTGCCTTAACGTTAGTCTTAGTACCTCCACTAGCATTTCCATTTCCATTTTCGTTATCCTCCCCTGCATCCCTCAGAATAGCGTCGGGAGACCTAGAGCTAGCTTTCGGTGGCCAGATTTCGTCTACGCGCAATATTCGATGATACTGAATACGCTGTTTGATGCAAGGGCATTCGAGACCCCGTCTCCAACAAGCGGCCAGGCACCAACAGTGACACGTACCACAGCAACGTGATTCTTCCCCTGCATCTCCGTCGTCTGCTGCTTCGACGTCGTTCTCATTATCGCTCTGCTTGTCCAGATCACGGAAGCAGCAACAGCAACAACAGTGTCTTCCTGCGAATGCGGCTGTCGATCTGGCACCCCGTCTGAGGAGACTTTCACGATCACGGAACTGCTTCTTTTAGAGACGGGAAAACGAAATCTATCCTTTTGATACCGGAAAACGAAATCTATCCTCTTGATACCGCTACCATCTTGGTTGGCTCCGCTTTCCCATTGAAAACGGCAGTTATACTCCACGAGAACATACTTTCGGTTTCCCATCCCGGAACGGAAGAACTTGCATACTTCGGTTATTTAAGAATGAAACTATTCAAGAACCTCCTACAACTGGGTCTTCTATTTATACTTGCATTTTTAGGGGGCCTTAATCCGCAGTCAAAAAGCAACAAGAGAGAGGACACTCAGCTAAAATGCACCAGGGCTCCACAAAGACGGTTTCCCAGAAAGAGACGCCACCGCTACGTCCCTCGATCCAATCCGCCGATGGCCCCCTGGCGGGCATCATCACAAAAGGCCGCAAGCAGCAACGATATTAGAAGGAATTATACAGATCATGCAAGTACTTATTACAACCGAAGTGAAATTCGTGCAGCAAAATAGATGCAAGTACAATTCGTAACAGTAGCACCCAGTAGGAAATCCGTTGCAGCAAGTGAAAAGGCATACCCTAGAAAGCCAGTCTGGAATGCCACAAAAGAGTTCCGTAGCGCTGATGAAAAGGTTGACGCACCCCGCATCCATGGCCACAACGATAATTAGAGCTACCGCGTTGGCATCCCTAAAAGTAGCGCCCTTGGCTCCTATTCCAAGTAGAAAAAGTACCAAGGATAACGTGGAGGATGCTTGAGCGGTGGTCTTAAGATGAGTGCGGGAAGAAGTTTTTCGATGCTGTATTGAGAACAGGAACCGACGGCCGCGCCGAAATCGAGACACGATTGCCCGATGCAGTCCTTGCGCCTTCTCCAGGCGTGGCTGAAATTCTCACTTGCGTCTAGGCAGCAGAAATTAGCAGTATTCAACTTACTTACTCAACTAGGTGGGCGAAGATGGTAGCGAAACTACGAAGTGATCGAAGCAGGAGTAAACAAGCCGACAGTGAAAGTTTTAGACAGTGAAAGTTTTAGAGGGCGGAAGCTCAAGATGAAGGAAGCTCAAGATGCAGTCCTGGCGCCTTCTTGAGGCGTCAAGTGGTTTCTGAAGTTTTCCAGCTCGTTTCCTCTTGAAATCAGGGGTGGAATCCCACCAGATTATAGTAATTGACTGGCCGTAAAACAACACCTGGCAGCACTCTCCAGCGTGGATTGCAGGTCGTCCACACAAGAATGCCAGGGCGTCTGAACAGTTGAAGTTGTGGCACTGCTATCTAAAGTACTAGAGTCAGTGTTGACAGGACCCCAAGCACTGTGTCTGATGGTAGCACTACTGCCACCACCTGCATGGTGCCGTCGCCCTCTACTAGTATCTCGTCCTCTACCAGGATGTATAGTGCCATCTCTCCTAGTACCACTAGAAGTCGTGCGGGCTCTGCTGGAAAGCTCATGATAGAGTGGCGCTTGAGGATGAGAAGGGCTGCCTGTCCTGTCGTCTAAGAGGAAAAAAGCGCGCCAAGCCGCTGATAGGCCACGAGGCTGCTCTACTGTAGCATCACGCGGCGTCTGCTCTGACGAGGTGGCACGATGAGCGAGCAGTCTATGGAGACGATTCTGTCGCGTCAGCATTGTGGGGTTCCTCCTCCTACTTCCTCCTTCGATGTCAGCAGCATCGAAAATGGACGATTGTCCTCTTTGTCGGTGTAAAAACTCGTGATCGCGGAATGGCATAGAAGCCGAGTTTGCGGCACGCCAGAAGTGGTCTAGCGTGTAAATCCGATCCCCATTCAGGACGTCTTCCCGCAACGCAGCGCACAAGCCCGCGAAACCTAGAGTGTCTAGGAGGTCTACGACCGCTCGAAACTGTAAAAATGCAACGACCGATCGCGCCTGCAGTACCTGCGGGCGCGCACTGCGCCCGACTTGTTGGCGACCTTGAGTATTTGCAGTAGGGGAAGAAGATCCAGCACCTCTCGTCGCAGGAGTAGTCGAATCAGAACTTAAGGCATGATCTTGATCACTGAACATAGAAGAGAATCGCCAGCAACACTGAGACAAGCACGAGTTCTCGTCGCTTTCTCCTGCTCGATAATGATCTCCACAAAGGAAACTTCTGAAGTTTTCATCACGAAACTCAGACGGATCTCTGCCTTCCACGGTGACCCAGTCGAAGAGTCGTCTCTCGCGTGCCACGTACGCCCATGCTCTCCGCCACAACACTGAACGGCGGTCGCTGGTCATAAGAACTTCTGCACTGCCAGATGAATCTGGACTCCTAGAGGCTTCGCGGCTCTTTTCAGAAGTTTCTCCGCCGTCAGGCTTCCTTGCATGTTCTTGATCGCCATCTTGGATAAACAGTCGAAGTATCGGCTCCAAATGTTCATGCACCGATAAAGGACGAGAAAAGCACAGCTGCCAGGGACACAACTCGTCGCGGCATCTGCACTTGTCTGCTCTGGCGTCAGCTACCTCACAACGGTTCAGGCGTCTCGACGATTGTGAGTTTCGATGGGTCCTGTCTCCACGTGACGAATGCTGGTGGCCTCCACGGCCATGTCTTTGGTGATGCTTCGTCAAAAAAGTTTCCCCTAATAGCATTCGGTAATCACGATCCGACTCTACTGCGGGAACATTGGGACGACACGCGTAGCACTGTACGCCTCTTGATTGTTGACGCTGGGTTTCGCCACAAGTCCGACACACCGTGTGCCCACAGCTCAACAGACAGATGCCGTCCGAGGGGGGCTCAGCCCTGTTGGGTTCGTCGAACGTCGAAACATCTGGCACCGAAACATCTGGCACAGTCGGCAAGGGATGCTCCCTACTAGTGTCTGCAGATTGTGGTTGTGGTCCCGCACTAGACGAGGGCTCTTCCGCTTGTGAGGCGGCAGCGGCAGCGGCAGCAGCAGCAGCAGCACCACCACCACCACCACTACATTCTAGCTGTGCCGTACTCCCAGATGGTTCTTCTGTGTCGAAATTTCCAGAACTAGCAGGCGCATCTGCACGCCGACAACTACTGCCACTGCTACTACCACGTTTCTGTCGTGTTAATCCGCTTTCAGAATCGCTTTCCACTGGCGCAGCATTGTTTGAACACATCGATGTTGAACAAGTAGAAGTGGGCCTCTTCTTCGACTTCGATTGGCCATCTTGTGTGTTGCTATTGTCACATGAAGATGAAGATGGAGGAACGGAAGATGCTGAGCGGCAAGAGACCGGGTTGACCATACAGACGAAGCACTCCTTCTCAGGTAAACTTGCTTCCCCATTGTAGGTGTCATGCATGAAGTAGACTGCCAGTATAATCCGCATCTCGCTAGACCGTAACCTTCGCTTCGGCTCAACTTAGAGCTGCTACCGCGTTCGCATCTCTGAGAGCCTCCTTGGCTTCTTCTTCAAGTAGGAAAAGAAGCAAGGATGATGCTGGGGATGCTTCAGCGGTAGCCTTAATCAACGGACACCACTGGCGTTGAGTCTACCATTCTCATCTGCGTTACCGGTGAAGCGGAAGCTAGCTGTATTCTTGCGGAAACAGGCAATGTGGTCAAGCACAAGGGGGCAATTGTCGAAAAGAAAAGCACGAGAAGACTTGTGAAGCAGCTTTCTCGGCGTTTTGGAAAATGAGCGGGACGCATCGTCGCGATTGTCTGAAGGGAAACCATTTTCGCGATTGTCGAAGAATTCCGCGGTCGAAAGCAACAGCATGGTAACAACGAAAGAAGCAACGACATTGTTGTGCATGATCTAGGTGTTGTACCAAGCTGTACTACATACTTTTGCAAAATTCAGAACGAGTGGTGGAGTACACACACTTACTTGCATTTTACCTGGATTTCAACTTTTCAATCACGTCTCGATCTTTCCTATTGTGCGGCACATGCTCCCACTATTCTTCACTTTCTCTGTCTCGCAACGGGCAGTAGTTATTTTACGTTTTACAATTGTAAAAATGTTGACCATGATATTGGTCTTCTATAGCATATTCTTCTATAGCATCCAGGCAGGCTCTCGCGTCATCATTGCATCTACGAAAGCTCAAGAGTCTTAGTTTAGAACAGAACCTTTAGTACAGTAGATCAACAAAAGAAATCATGGGAATTACCGTGTTTCTGGATCTTCTATCACGGTTGCAGAGGCGGGCGTCGCGACTGTCATTGCAGGTCGTGTGGCTGAAATTTCGCTTGCCGTATGAAACTTGAAACCCGCTGGCAACCCGATGCGCGGTTGCAAAAAGGGAACACCCGCATTGCCCGCGGAGGCTTGCTTTATTAATTTGGTGCACACGTGGAAGCGAGTCTGAGCAACCCACTACTTGTTCGCATAAAATCCATGACAAAAAGAACCTGCATAACTACCATCTAAAAACCATGTCTTCACCAACTTCTTCTATATCTCGGAAAACATCTCTAAATCAGAAAAATACCTGTTCTTGACTCGTTTCGCCCTGATTCACCGATGGTAGCCCGTATGTAGTGGTCCGCGCGGGCTGTATTCGCGGGACCGACAGCCCGATCTGCGGAACGGTCGTATTCAACATCATAATTACTGTCTGATTTAATTGGAAACCTGGCCAACACTCTAAGTGATATAATAACCGAAATCAATGTAGGTGAGAATGTGAGAAGTGCTTCTATTGAATGTAGTAGTTGATGTTCTCAACACCAAGTCATCTCCCGTTTTTTCCTTGTAGGTAGCAACAGCGATGCAGATAGATAGTCTTCTTTTTGGTAGTGTGTCACGGAAATTGATTTCCAGTATATCCCATTCCCACTTCTGTGCTTCTCCTGAGGATCGACGCTCATGCTCATGCAAATGTGTTCCCTCAACACCGCACATTTATCGAAGTCTCGTCGTCTATTGTTCACCTTACGGGGATCGTTATGACGTCAACATGATCAGTGCGTGTCTTATACTTTCTCGCTATATGGTTCTTTGTGTTTGAAGATGTCTGAAAAAAAGTGTCATGTCTCGAAAAAAGTTCTTTTCAAGCTCCCCTGCACGTGGCGAGACAAGCCGCAAAAGGTGACTTCTTCTTTGGTTTTTTCCTCTTTTGTATCCTCGGATCTTGCTGCTCAGGTAAGCCTCGTACCTTCACGAAGGTCGGGACTCGACCCGGGTCTTCGCTATCGTCGACTATCGCATCAGCTTCACCAGAAAATGAACGTCCTTGTTGCGCCTTCTATGGAAGTATAACGAACAATATCAGAAACTCTCTCATCCGAACTATCTATGTTGTTGTATCAAAACAAGATATTAATATTCAAGATTGAAGATGAAGTACTGTATGGTTTGCGAGAGACTACTCTACTAATCCACCACTGCTGCGGCGCGCCGGGATGAGGTGCCCTATTTCAATATTGGTGGACTCCATCTTCACAGAAAGATCTCATTGGCCTTAGAATTTAAGAAACGACTCTCCTTCTTAAAATGAAAAAAAAGTTTTGTATCATGTGCAAGCAGCACTGCAGCTTCAGCTCACGACGTTGGTCTCTCCATCTCTCTCTTAGTGATCAATGTCACTCATCCTCTACTAACGCATTCTAGAGTAATTACATCTGATTTAGTCTGATCCAAGTTAACTGAGTGGCTAACTAAGACCCAATCCAAGAACGAAAACAAAGTAGAAATTCCATAAGGATGCGAATCCATCGAAGTACAGGTCCCTTCGGTAGTCGTTAATCCCAGTGTAGTCGCCAATGCCGAGTTCTTGACTAGGCCTACCATTGCTAGCTGTACTAGCAGAGGATTCCCCACTAAGAAGACTTGATGTTCCCCCAGAGAAAAACGCACCTGACAGTAGCGTAGCCATCGGATTCCCAAGTGCTAGAAAGGAACCCGTGTTTTCCAATGCAGCTGGAGGGTCTGCAGGAACTGTTCGCTGTTCTGGTTCTGGTGCCATAACAACAGACACAGGAGATATCGACGCCGCAGTCCTGAGAAGGGGTTTTGAGTAGACTGTTTGAGTAGACTGTTTGAGTAGACTGTTTGAGTAGACTGTTTGAGTAGACTGTTTGAGTAGACTGTTTGAGTAGACTGTTTGCGTAGACTGGATTTGACTTCTGGCTGGATGTGGTCGTGTGAAAGCATAATTGTTTATGTTTATGTGATCGATGCAGCCCAAACTCTAAAGAATGTAGCTCTAAGTTGTTCAATACTGTTAGCGAGAGCCTGACCTGGATGATACACCTGTTTTTTGACTCCAATTTTGCATGAACATTTCCCGTACTTAATCACTGTCTACTTTTACAGCCTCTTCTTCGTGGTGGCATCGCTCTTTTTTTCTCTCTCTCTCTCTGGCTTCTCCGACTTCTTGCTTTCATCTGCCGGACAATGCCCACATCGGAAGACTCGACCTGACTCAGCCAATCGCCCGGCTCAGCCTGAGCCTACGTTCTCGATTGTTTGGTATATCTCAATGAATTTGAGTAAATACTTCTGGAACAAGTACTGAGTCTGAAGTTCATCTGGAAACCTACTTTCGTACATCATCATACATCGTAGATGTACAACCCAAAAGTAGAGAAGAAGACAATTCTTTCCAAGCCTATAGCAAATGCGATTTGAGCACGTTTTAATGTGAGCGCGTCAGCTTCCAACTATGTAGAGTTGTAGACCCCACATTTCAAAACAGCGACGACACAGAGCGGACAGTTCATTCTTTCATATCAATCGCGATACTTACAGTATACTTACTAGCTGACGGGAGAAGCGAGCATACTAGTACCGGGTAAGTAGCAACACGGCGGATAAGTTTCAAAGTAGTTACACTACCTAGGTCAAGATAGATTGATGATGGCGTCTTGATGATGATTTATCAAGACTCCGCATTGATGATGATGGCGTCAACACCAATCGGGAATGGCACCCTGAAATTGAAAAAAGTTTGCCCGCCTCAAGTAGGCCCTGTATCAAAAATATGCGGCCCTGCAAAGGTACATTAAACATAAGCTGGAAATATCCGACCTTCCCCCAGTATGGTGCCCTGGTATGCCAGTAGTTAAAATCTTCATCAACCTAGAAGACCTCCATAACCTGTTTAACTACATCTACTCCTTCTATCGCGAGGAAGAACGTTACCATTATCGTTTTTGTGAATTTTTCAGAAAAGCACGACATGGAGACACTGCGATCCCGGGGCTTTCCACCTTACGATGGGCAAGCTAGCCCTCCCTCCACGAGGTGCAGCAGACGCTGCGCTCCTCCTCCCATTGACGCGGCCCTTCAGTCATGGCCGGGCATCATGGTACCGCCAAGCTCAGAGGCCGCGGCCTCCGCTTACGCACGCCCATGGGGCAGCAGCGTGGCCTGGCCCTGCAAACTTATCCGCAAAAGTAGCCCACCGTGGGAACCAAGCCCGGCGCACTCAGAAAGCGACTGAGACCGAAACGAAGAGAGAGGAGGAAGGAACACACCGAAAAAGAGTTAAACCGAAAGGAGCGGAAACTATAGCAGGCCTCTGTAGTACTCATCGCCCACCGGCGCCGCGGTATGCTGACCCTCAAGAAACGCGCGCGCCGCAGCTTCGGGGCCAGCTTCTGCCTCAGCGTCCAGCCTCAAGCCCCTGCTGTGGTTTCGTATTCGTTGTTTTTCGAGGATAAAAAGCTACGAGAAGCGAAGTAACGACGTGAAATCTTCACCAAGAGAAAGGCGGGACCCCAAAACGCTTGACTTGACTTGACTTGATGTGCCCACCGATCGGGTGGGGCGGGATTCCATCTATCCCCTGTCTCCATAATCCTCAAGAGGGTGCCCCTCTTCAAAGGATGAAAAGACCCCAACTCGACCCCGCAAAGAGGGCGCGGAACTCCAACCGCCAACCCTCCGGGGGACCCCAGGAAAGTGCGGCGCCTGCCTCTGGCGCCCGCCTTCTCAACCTTCCCCATCAGGGGGCCTCCCCTAAAGCGGCCCCTTCATTTCGGCCCTTCTGGCCTCATTTCGTCCAGCCCTTTGCTTTCTTTGGCTGGGCTTGCCCTGGCTGCGATCCATGATCGTCGGCACACATGCTTTCCATCTCCATACCTAAGGAAAACAGGCCGCAAAATTCCCAATATGGTGGCTCGGAAACGCGCAAATGGCGCTCGTACAAACTTCGCACTTTTGCGACGTAGCCACTAGGATCAGCGGCGGCAGCAGACGAAGAAGACGAAGGCGGAGAAGCTGCGGCAGCTGGGACCAATACCATGCCACCGACCTCAGCAAGCCCCATTTGGTTGTTACTTCGAGGCGCCGAGGGCGTCACAGGATTTCGCAGGCATGGACGCCAGCACGATCGGCAAACAACACTCCTCAGAGCCTCGACGCCTCCACTTGGACATCGGAAAACGCCTACGCCTTTTCTGTACTGTATCCCAGTGGGGCATCAGGTGCCCTGTTGTGAAAACAGAGATCATGAGAAGAAAAGAGAGAGCACGAGGCAGCCGATGAAGATGGATGCTTTTTCTGGTCTTTGGTTGAACAGTAATAGCGGAAACGGCAGCGGTATTGATTGCCTTACTGGGGTGATTCAAGACACAAAAACAAGACGCACGCATATGACTCAAGGCCTACATTGGTGGGGTTCAATCGTTTGATTCGTATAAGGACGAGCAGAAACATGAAGAGTATTATTCACGATGTTCCTCGTTCTTGTTGGATACTCATGCGGTCCCAAGATGATGATTGATCATCTCAGCCCGCAGCACTAGACTGGATCGGTTTCACTTCTTTACTTCCACCATTAGACTCCCCTTCTTTTATCGACATTCGTACTCGCTACACCATTGAACTCCATCCGTTTCATCAACATTCATATTCGTAACAGCCTCCCCGTACTCGAAAGTTTCTGCGTATAGAGGGTTACCCTTTTTGCTCTGTTGTGGGAGAGGTAGTGAGGTTTTTTATTTTTTGGAAAGTGTTGCTGTAGTTTCCTGCTACTTAAAGTCTTCAGCTTTGTCCTAATGCTTGAAAGATAAGGAACACTAGTAGAGAATCCCAAATCTCAATCACTTGATTTAGCCTCAAGAAATCAAAGAAGTCAGAACCAGTAGTGACCTTAGTTAGTCCGTTTGACTTATTCAGTTTGGTACTGTGCCAAATTGGTTTTATGAGTCGTCTAGTACAGAAGTCCTTAGTCATAGCATCCCTGATGTCGATATATTTCAATCGACTAGCAACTCCGGTCTTGTTCTCTGAATATTTGATCGGTCCAGAGTTGTCACATCCTAACTCAACAGGTAGCACTATAGATGATTCGTCAAAGAATTGAATCCAGAATGGCCTCAAACTTGTCAAGACGTGGCGAAACCTCATAGCCATCTTCGCGGCTTCTGACATCCCACACAGCTCAGCTTCGCTGACACTACTAGCACCACTATGCTGACTAGCGCTTTTCCAGGCAATAAGGCTCCCGCTGAGATTGATCACTATGCCTGAAATTGGGCGTCTATCACCAAAGGACGCCCAGTCGCTGTCTGACCAAGCTGTAAGGATGAGCTTTCCTCTGAACTCATGCGAATGGTTTTTATACATCAAAGCTCTTCGGGTTCGCAAGTATCTGATAATCCTTCTCAAGCTTGTTAAGCTCTCTTCAGTGGCTTTCACTTTCGCGCACATCTTCAATGGCACTACGATGTCTAATCTTGTTAGACACAAGTATTGTAAACTTCCCGTAAGTTCCTGCTTAGCCTTCAACAAGCTAGGCGCTTCAGGTAAGCCAATACTTGGAGCGCTTTCCATTGGTGTGCTCACCTTCTTTCCACTATCCCCGCCAAAGCGCTCAAGTAGTTTGCTTACGTAGGCGTCTTGGGATAGTGTTACGTTACCACTTCGTTTGCACTCGTGCAACTCTATTCCGAGAATGTCAAAGATCCTATGAGTAGCAGTCTCCCGCACTGGCTCTGGTTGAAGCTTAAGCGCGGACTGCGTCTCATTATGTACGATCATGACTTCTTCCTTCTTTCCAAAGAAATAGAAGCTGTCCACAAAGGCACACAGTAAAACTCCTCGCTTAGTCCAAAGTGTGCTCTCTAGTGGGTTTTGTTTCCAGCCAAACTGCGTGAGAGTTTTATCTCGATGCGTTTCCCAGGCTTTAGAAGACAATCTCAGCCCGTTCATAGCATAACTGACTTCGCCTAACTTGTATCCACGCAGTTCTTCTAACCTGTGGTCTAGTTCGATGACAACTGGCACGGGATATGAAGCTTGGAGAAGTGCACCTGTGGCATCGGAAGGAAAGACGAAAATCGATGGACTTTGGCACTTCATAGCAACGAGCATGCGCAAGATCGCTAGATCAGGCACAGAGGCACACTTATCTTCGTCGCCGGACATTTTGCCCAAGAAACCAAGACACACGATCCGCGCTTTTTTCCTGCCGCATCTCTTCACACTTAGTAGCATCTTACGGGGGACGTCTCTGCTTCCTGTTTTCTTCCAGTTTCTCAGATCTTCGCCCGTTGCTCTTCCAAACGCATGGGAATGCGCCTTCAACTCTTTCATAATAGCTTCTTGCCATTCTGGTGTAGAAGTGTCAAAGCCGGGCTCATGGTCTGGGATAGCCACAGCTTTGAATACTTTCTCACCTGGCTCCCAATCATCACAAACGAGCGGGGCAACGACTGCAAGCAATCCAAGCCCGCTGCGGATTGTCTTCTTCAAGTCGTCACTGTTCTTCACTTTTTCACACACACTCGACGCTACTTTTTCGAGTTGTTGCTTCTTGAGATCCGAATACTCTGGCTGCGCCATGATGATATTCCGGATTTGCTCAAGAGCACTCTCTCGCGCTTCTTTCTTCTTCTTCCAAGCTCCTCTTACTCCTGATGGCACTTCCTCCTTCTCCCGCACTTCTCTTAGCTTTTTAGCTTCTTTCCCTTTCAAGTCCTCAGAGACTTTGTCTGTGTAGCTTTTCGCCAGCCTGAACCTTTTTGATGGCAAGACTTCATCTTGCTCGCGTTGCGAAGGAATAGCGCCCCTATCCCCGCCAGAATCGACATCCTCTGTCGACCCATCATGTGGAGTAGGATTCGGGTTCTCACCCGGCACCCGTTCGACATGATCTGCTTCTTCAAAAAACTCTAAGCCTTTTTCTTCATCGGGGCACACAGGTGAACGTGGCCCGTCTTTTCCGGTCTTCATCTGGATGGCTTGTTCAACAAACTCGCCACTTCTGGTTTCCTTCTGCTCACTTGGTGGACCATTGTGAGTCTTGTACAGTACGCGGAGAAGTTGCGGAGGAAGGCCCACCTCATCAAGCGTTAGGCGCTGTCTCAAATGAGATTCATGCACTCGCTTGAAGCATCCATCGTAGTCGACTATAAGTGTCAGCCTATCCTTGTTCACTTGTCTGAAGATCAACTTTGCAGGTCCCATCCATGCTTGCTTGTCTTTGTCGTAAATGTCTACCAGATGCCCAACTTCCAGAAAAGCCGACTCTGGATAGGCATTGCGCTGTCTTTCAGCCAGCTTCTTCATCTCTTCGATGGTCTTCTTGTCGTATTTCCAGGCTTCAACTTCTTGCCTTGCCTTCATCCTTATAATCTGACCTGCTTCGGGGTCTAGTTTATCTAACAGGGCCAGTTGCTGGGTCGTCATATCTTCAGGACAGTCTAACTCCATCTTCCAAGGGTTTATAGCCCACTGAACCATATAAGGACATAACCCCTGAAGTGACTTAGTAGGAGTAGCGTTAATCGCGTTGGCCGTCTGTTCAACTAGCCTCGGGATTATGCTGGCTCTCTGTCCATATATGTAGTAGAGCTTGTGCAAAACTCCGCGGAAGTATCTGTGTCGACGTTCACAGATACCGCTAACCCAACTAGATTTAGGGATTAGGAATAGGCCAATACTATTCAGTTGACAGTATTCCCTTACCTCATGATTGTCAAACTCCTTACCCTGGTCGCACAGAATGTTACGCCCTAAGAATCCTCGGGCTTTGCACGTCTCTAGGAACTCTACTGCGCCCTTTCCCTTGACACCACTTCTAGAAATGGTTTTAGTTACACTAGCCCGACTGAGCAAGTTAATACCGTGCAAGACAGCGTAATCCTTACCGAGGGGAAAGAACGTGCCAAAAGAGGTCCAATCGTGCAGACTTGCTGCGTCGGTTCCTCCTGACCTGTGGCGCGGAAGCGCGTGCGTTTTTAGCCTGTTAAGGTTATGTCTACAGAAGTGAACAGCCCAAGCTTTAGCTTGTGGAGAGTTATCGACTGTCCTGACGACTTCCCACAATTTCTGAAATGTCGGAAAGACTAAACTAGCCCCTATGTTGCAGATATACTCGTAGCCGATCTTCAGCTTAGGACAGACCGCAGGTGGGTCCAACTTTCGACGCTTCACCGCTGGCCGTATCCTTTTAGTATCCGAGTCACTACTCACGTTGGCTATTCTCTTTTTCTTTGGCTTCTTCTTCTTCTTCTTGTTACTTTTTCCTTCTTCATTTGAGCCTTCTTGCTCTTTAGTGCTCTCCAGCTCTATCCCTTCATAACCAGTGCCATCTGCCACTTCATCTTCTTCCTCTTCTTCTACTTCGTTTTCAGCTTCATCATCAAGATCGTAGTCTTCTTCTTCGCCTTCTTCTTTTTGAGCCACGCCGACACTACTGCAGTCTTTATCGTTTCCGAAGTTGACTGTATCCAGTAAGCCCGTACTCTTCTCTTCATCCATCAGTAGAGTTTTCTCTTTCGCTTCTTTTATCACGTCACCAGTTATCTCAAACGTCCTCCACAGAGGGTTCTCATCAGGTCCGTCTTGAAATGAGGCTCCTCCATCGAGATAAGTGGAGAGGATTCTCACTCTCCTTTCCACCTCATCTGAGAAGTTCGAGAACAGCAAGACGACCTTCTTTTTCCTATTATGGACTACTTCGTTTATAATCTCTTGCGCTGAGATTATCCAAGTCTACTTCATAGTAAGATAGTCTCTCTTCCAAGTTTAGTCCAACTTTACAACCAAATCTATCATAGGATAAGCACCAGAGATTTCCCAGGAACTCGGCTGCGGTTGTGACCAAGACAGCGTCCTGCGTCTCACTTGTCGTGTAGAACGGCAGCTGTACTTGTAGCACGCCTTCCCTTATCTCCATCCGATAGTTATTCATGAACTTATTGTGCGTAAGATCAATCAGAATCCCACTCATGAGGCATAGCGACATGCTGGCCAGGATCTTTGGCCCCAAGGATGGCACGTGGCAAACGTTCGAAAACTTGAAACACAGTCCACGCATCAAACCCTTTTGGCGAGATTCGACCGGATCCACGCCAGCCGTTTGAAACTGTCGTAGCTCGAACGCTTTGTCAAGCAACAAGCTAGAATCTCCACACATGTGCTTGCTTGCGCCTGAATCGATGATACACCATCAAAGTTGCGCGCCGTTTTCGGTCGTAGTTGTGGGCGTTCTGTTGTCGTTCACGTTGAAAGCACTACCAGCTAACGACGTAGTAGCACTAGGGGTGGCCAGTGGGTTGTCTGTCGTAGACTCGAAGATGAGACCACTGAAGGATTGCTGCCCCCCCCTGATCCCATATCGGGGCCTGCATGTTGACTCCAGTCGTATGCTTCACTCTGGTTCACATAGTTAGCATGCTGCTGCTGCTGGTGACCTTGTTGCTGTGCTACAGGTTGCTGTGCCTGTTGCTGTTGCTGAACACTTTGACGATGTTGCTGCTGCTGTTGATTTGCATAGAACACCGGGGGCAGATTCGCACTCATCATAGCGGGACTTTGGTGCGGCTGATTCCAGAGCGCTGGCTGCTGGAAGTGGTTGCTAGGTGGGTGCTGATTGTGCTAATTTCCACCTTTGCCACCATTCCACGGAGCACCGGCATAATTTTGAGAATTCGGATTCCGCCTGCAGTTGATCGAAATATGGCCTGACTTTTGGCAAATGTGACGTGTGCGGGTCTCCTTGCCTTTTCCACCCTTGTGGTTATGGTGGTCCTTGCTTGACTTGCCACCTTTCTGCTGATATGGCTGCTGATTTTTGCCACCACTAAAATACACACTAGATGATGCGAAGTTCGAATACGCATTGTGATCGTTGACGTCTAACGCGGTATCAGATGCTGCAGGAGGCTCTCCGGTGAACAGCTTCCCTGCTTTACTAACCGCTTCAGCCAATTTCGACACTGAAGATGGATTATCTTGGATGGTCATCGACTTCGCTACACCACAAGTTTGGCGCTGAGCCATACGACAAAGCTCGGCGTCACTGATCACGCCAGGCTGCGTTACGCGCTGTGCCCTTTGGAACCTCTTGAACCAGGCAGATGGTCGCTCGTTTCTGCCTTGTTTTGTCCCTTCGAGGTCCGTGCGCTGCATCTCCTCTGACTCGTTCTCACTACGGTAGAGATAGACGACTTTCGTCAGCTTGTCTTTGTGTGATCGTATACAAGTGGCTTCTTCTCGTTCCTTGATCTCCGTATATTTTTGGAGAATATCCGCTACTTCGATCTTGCCTTCGATACAATCCAAGACTTTGGAAGCGTGATACTTCTTGGCTGCTAGAGCTAAGTATCGCCCGAATGATAGTGCGGATGATTTGTGCGGTGGGATCTTGCTCATGTTGTTATCCTTGTTGCTAGAAGATGAACTTTTGCCCTTCTTCTTCTTGTGGCTTTTCTTCTTGGCCGTTCTCTTCATGAGTTGCCTCAACCAAGATCTTGGCGGATATGAGCACCTTCGTGCGAGATGAAGATGACTCTTTGCCCTTCTTTTTCTTGGAAGAAGTTTTGCTCTTCTTCTTGTTCTTCTTGCCTTTCAGGCTCTTCTTCGGATCCTCGTCGCCTTCTTCTGATTCGGAGGCAGATGATGAACCTTCTCCAGATGATGAACTAGAACTTTCACTATCAGAGTCCGAGTCGGATGATGAACTTTCGTCGGCGGACATGTCTTCAGATGTTGAAAGTAGGTCTGGAAGGTCTACTTCAGCATCTTTCTTCTTCTTGTTTTTCTTGGTGCTAGCAGGCTTTGACGCGCCTGCTTCGCTAGCGAACACTTGGCCACTCTGATGAAAATCGTCGCTGGCCTTCTTGTCTTCGAACACTGGGGCGCCTGCTGCTGACCCCTTCTTAACGTCCATCATATCGGATGCGGCTCCTACAGTAACCGAATCGGTATCAGGTGCAGCATCTGCAGGCCCATCGGCTTTCGCGGTTGAAGATGTTGCAACAACACTAGGGGTAGAATTCTTTTGCTTCTCCTTCTCCAATTTCTTTTGTTGCTTTTTCGTTAGACCAGTGGTAGCTGTGAAACTGGGCATAGCGCCACCACTAGCTGCTTGCTCCTCTTTTGCTTTTCCCATGGTTCTTTGTTGCCGTAGAAACGTAACCAGGCTGCGTGAACTTGGGCCCATAACTCTGCGAAAACAGAGATCATGAGAAGAAAAGAGAGAGCACGAGGCAACCGATGAAGATGGACACTTTTCCTGGTCATTGGTTGAACAGTAATAGCGGAAATGGCAGCGGTATCGATTGTCTTACTGGGGTGATTCAAGACACAAAAACAAGACGCATGCATATGACTCAAGGCCTACACTGGTGGGGTTCAGTCGTTTGATTCGTATAAGGACGAGCAGAAACATGAGGAGCGTTACTCATGACGTTCCTCGTTCTTGTTGGATACTCACGCGGTCCCATGATGATGATTGATCTTCTCAGCTCGCAGCACTAGACTGGACCGGTTTCACTTCTTTACTTCCACCATTGGACTCCATTTCTTTCATCGACGTTCGTATTCGCAACACCATTGAACTCCATCCGTTTCATCAACATTCATACTCGTAACACCTGTATACCATTTTTGAGCACAGCGATGCAGTGGCACGATATACAACTTAGGAAAAAGTCTAGACTAGCAGCATTTCTTTAGCTTACAAGTATCAAGGTGGCTAATCAATGCGAAACAAGCACGGGAATACACGCAGAGGCCTCACATTCTTTACCTGATGTCAGGCACGTTGCAAGCAACGTTGAAAAAATTCGCCCTGGTGGCTCGCTCCATGGCAGGCGCTAAAAGTTGTATCTGGAGTTCGCCAATTTATTAAACAATCCACACGCCTCCAATCCCGACATTACACCTGCGGCCATGGCTGATCGTGTGTTGTTTTTGTGCTATGGATAAACTCTAGCGAAGTTATGGACTCCACTTAGTCAGCTGCCTCTCCAGAAAATTCCATATAACAGCCGTCCTCTGATTCCCACAGTAGTAATAACCATCAGCAAGCCACTGAAAGACTGAGCCTAGTGCTATAACGAGCCTAAATGTTGCCAAACGAGGCCAATACTTTAGCAAATTTTTGGGGGTTTGTGACATGTGTGGGGATTTTCGAGAGGCAAAAACACCGGCAAAAAGTCCAACACTGATCAACCGAACAGACACCCAAGCAGAAGACAACAACGAGGGCCCCCCGACACTGCACCCCAATCCTAACACATGAACCAAGGTGCGCAGGCATGTGGCTCAGCTGCTAGGCTGCGCGCCATCCACAACTACATGCGAGAGCGCTGGCGCCCTTCCGTCGTGTTGTTCTGTCTGTGGTCATTTTTGGCGATCGCTTCTAGCCCCTGACCTCGGGCACCCCGACCAGCGAACAGACAAGGCACGCACCGAGTGAGGGGCCGCGCGTGGCTTGCTCTAGGTTGCTCGCTTTGGCAATGTGGGGTGAAACAATTAAAGCAGACCGACACGATGTCGCAAAGGCCTGGCGATGGTGGTCTGTTGGTGTCTGTTGTCGTCGGGAGTGTTCCACATGATGGCGCCAACGCGTGCCACGATGCAAAAACACCCGGCGGGCGGTGTGGGTCTTCTGCTGCAGCTGGGCACCTCAAAAACCCACAAGGTGCCGCCACCTCCGACCCAACACCCGGAAGCACCTGGGCAGCAAGGTGCACCATGGTGGGCGCAGACCGTCTGGGCAGATGGTTCCACTCACGCACCCACGAAGTGGGAAAGGTGAAAGAGATAGGGGGCCACCCGTGCGCCCCTCGTGTGTGTGTTGATGCGGCAGCCCCTGGCCACTCCTTCCCCGACAAAGAAACACTTCATCCCCCTTTTCCTGCCGGTGTCTCAAATTCGTGGGGGGCGATCTTCCTCTTCCTGCTCATTGTCGGCATATTTCGAGTCTTGGCTTTCCGCAATGCGAGGGCGCAGGGGTGGCACATTGACACTCGACTAGCAGGGAACCCTCCTGCCCCACGACGAGGAGCGGGCGCACACGCAGAAAAGAGACTGAGCCAGCGCCCCGACGAAAAGCGCCGGCAACGACAACCAACAACAACAAACACAAAGGCAGAGACAAAGGTGGCCAATAGCTCCAGGTGGGTCCTTCTTGTTGCCGCTCGGAGAAGATGCTGCCACGCTTCATCCTGTCGGCCCAGAGGACAAGACACCCAACACACAAACCCCAGGCAAGTCACCGAGGAACCCACCCCCACAAGTTCTGCTCTTTTCCCCGGCGCTGGAACGTGCTCAGGGTGGTGGTGTTCTCCTCAGTTTGTTCCCCCTTGTTGCGCAAAAAGTGGGCAACATTTTGCCCACTTCAAGGCACAGCTGTTGGGTGCGTGCGTGGTTGCATGTACCCTACAGAGTGGGGACTTTTGGAGGGCCTCAATATTTTACAAATATTGCGCAAGTATTTTAGCGAACCCCCACTAGGTTCCGCCGATTTTACTGACCCTGTTGGTAAAATATTTGCTACAATAGCTGTAAAATATTTGTAAAATATTGGACACCTGAGACCCCAAAAATGGGCCTACAAATCGATGGAAATCAGTCGAGGATAGCAGTCAAGAAGTCGCACAGTTTGACCCTTTGCAGCCTATTGCGGTCTACTTTTGGGGAGCCCTTTGAAGGCCTCGGCAGGTCCATCAGAGGTCCACAGCAAGAGGTCCGCAACAGTTTAGATTGTGACCACCTTGATTCTTTTGATCCGGTTCCTTCTGGAACCTGGGGCGACTGTCGTCGAGCGAGGTCGGGGGTCTTGGTTGTTGATTCCCTCAGCAGATTGATTTACTGACTGACACACCACCAGGCGCGCAACCTCAGCCGGCCGTGAAAGTGCAGGGTGGATGAACAGACCAGACAACCACGGAGGCCCCAGCAGCAGACAGACAACGCCCACAGCTCTGGCCGTTTGGGGTATTTCCTTCATGGTCTGCCAGGGTCGACAGTCGCAACCACGGCCGCCGGCCACTGATTTCCACCATGTAACGCGGCGCCGTTGTTGGTTGTCGGGTCCAGTCATTCGCGCCTGTTGTTACTTATCGCCTTAGGCATCACCCCCATCGACGTATCAATCTGCCCCCTTGCTTGCCACCATCGATCTGCCGGCCCCATTCTTCCCCAACCTACCTTCTCTGGAGTGTGAGGGCCGCGCCACCAAGTCGGGGGGCCCCCGCTGGTCCGACGAAATGACGCACGGGCACGCAGTCAGCACCCCAATAAAACCCCGGGGCGATGCGTCTCGGGCAGTTTCTGGGGTTCAAAACTCCTTGGCTTGTGGGTGTGTTTCCTCTCCTTTGTTGTCCAGGGTTCTGCCGTGTTGTTTTTGCCGACTGAGAAACACCCCACGGCCTACCGTTTTCCAAAACACCCGGCAGCTCATTTTCGGCGGTTTGTGTTCTGCTCTTGAAATTGGTCCACCCAGGGGCTGAAATCGGGCGACAAAAGCCGAAGCCCACCCACTAGCGTTCGGCCTTTGAGATTGAAAAGCCACCAGGCTGAAACCAATCCACAAAAGCAGAAAATCAGGGAACCGAAGTCAGTTCTTAAAAGTAGAACGCCCTCAATCCGGGAGCGACTTCCAAACGCAGAAAAGTGATGGCCAAGAATCACTTTTCTGCTTTTGTTTTTCAATGGGCCAGATTCAGTCTCTGGCAGTCGTTTAACGTCGACCGCGAAACGGTTCTCAGGAGCTGTGTAAGTCCAGACCAAAAACAGACTTTTTCTTCAGACCAACAGCAGGTCCTGTCTTCACTCCTGCCTAAAATATTTGTAAAATATTGGGAAAATATAAACTAAAAAGTCCAACATTTGGGTCCGTTATAAGCCTAGTGGTACCTTCACACGTCGACTGCCTGAGGAGGGCCACATCAGTGACGGCAGTCCGATCCCCCCAGTTTTCGCGCAAAAGCTCCTCCAGGTTTTGCGCAGGCTCTTGCTGGCTCCAACTCGAGCACGCGCTTCATTTCCCGCCTGAGCGAGTGCGAGGCTGTGCCGTGCTGGAAATGCAACCGCACAGCCCCCCGGTAGCTTTCCAGCCGGCCCCTCATTGTCCGCCCCTTGATGTCCCCGCCCTGGAGCAGCGGGCTCCCAGTCACCTGCTTCACGGTGTGCAAATGGTTCGAGTATGGGATGCCCTGGAGCCAACGCCTACGCTCTCCGCTTACTTGTCGAGCGTCTTGACTTCGGTAACCGAAACCCATTGGATGCGCCCCGGGTGAGAAAAGCGGACTCATTAAAGAACTGCAAACCTGATCGCAGTCGCCTGCAACGTGCAGCGGAATCGCGAGGCAGTTGGCCTCTTGTTGGCCCACATCGCAATCGGTGACGGACGCGACGAGGCTCACCGCGTCCCACTCGATCCGGTAATAGGTAGGCGCCAACTCCTTGAGGTACATCCTGTCCCCGATGCTGATGGTCAAAGCACTCAAATCCTCGCGGAGTCTGGAAGACTCCCACTCATGACGCCAGTCAGCGCGTGGCTGCTTCCCTCCTTTCATATCAGCAAACAGAGTGTAGTCACTAAAGGCGTCATCGATAGCGCGCCAAGTGTCTGACTTCGTCAAGGTTAGCTGTTCCTTGCGGTCTTCTCCAGGCGGCACCAAGATACTGCCTGCGAATCCGAAGGAAAGCGGAAGACGTGGGCGGCTGTTCCATTTTCTCTTGACTTCCTGAATGAACTCCCGCACTGTCAGGCCTTCAGGCACAGCAGCGCCCAGGCTGTTAGTCAAACCGCACACCGGGGAGCCTGAGACTTGGGTAGCACTGGCTAGCACTACGGCGGCGCAGTCTAGTTATACACTGACGCATCTAGTTATCTGCACAGCTATAGCACTGTGCCGAACATGACCGGCGAAACGTTCGCCCGCTTTTGTATGTTCCAGATGTGGCCGGGCACTCGTCGAGTCGCGAACAGATAGACGCCAGCACCCCAGTCCTCCTCTGTCATCCGCCCGCCCCCGCCAATAGTTTGCGGGTCCCGCATATTTTCCGGCACGTTCCTGCCCGGTTGCGATGCATCCGAAGGGCGCCCGGAGTCACCAGGTGGGCGATCAATTGGCAGGCAGCTGCTCGACGATGACGAACCAGAAGCGCCAACGCGAACCCTTGCCGGCTCCTCTGCCGTCTTTCTGCCAGCCATGACACTGCGCCCAGGCCGGCCACTCATTTCCGCGAGCATGTCGGCCCCAATCGGTTCGGTTCGCGATCTCTTGGCCGGTGGCGACTCGGTGCCCAGGGAAGTGGCTGCAGCTGCTTCAGGCACGGCGGCAGGTGTGAGAGAAAACCGGCGGGCATGGTTCTCGGTCTTTATAGCGTCCCGCATCCGCAAACTCAGCTCGTCCCCCGTGCCCGGACCATCGAAGTAGCCCCGTACGGTCCTGCGCTTGTCTCCAGGAGGATCCGGAAACGCAGCCCACTGAATAAAAGGGCACGTAAACGCTCTCCATCCTTCGGACGTCTCGAGCTTCAGAAAGTCACTGCCTGGCTCGTGTTCCTGGAGTTTGATGCTAGTGGAAGACTTGGCTTGACGCTAGTGGGTAGCTGGGTGGCGTCCGTTGCTGGCGCGAAGTCTCTAACAAAAACCAGCTGCCACCTAGAACAGATCTAAAACTCGCGAAGTAATCATAAGCGACGGCTTAGCGCCTTCGTATATTGGAACGGTTTTGCCTCCGCGTGTTTCGTGTGCAAGCTGAAGTCACGACGCAAGATGATGGCGCCGCCTCTGCTGCAGAATTCGAGGAATTCCGCAAGGCCTTTGCCGTCGCGGCCGAGGTGTGCCGATCTTAAAATTGGACGAGCTAGCACTTGCAGAGAATTTAGATGACTGCGCGCGCGCGTTATCGAGGGACCAGCTGAGCAAAAAGGCGCGGCAGTTGCCTACGCATTGTCCTTGGATCCGGACCTTCTGCGGGAAAACAGTGACGGCGGCTCCAGGTGAACTGTTTCCCCAGCAAAAAGCTGGAGCAAGTTGTGGCCAACCAGGGGGGCCTCGCTCAAGAGAAGCAACGCCAGTCGTTGTCGCGACGACGTCGGGACACTGTCGCCCCTCCACCTTGTCACTCCAGAACTTCACAGCCTGTGGCTTTACGTTGTTTGTATTCAGCGCTGTTTGTATTCAAATAGATTGCCTCCAGATGGAGCCGCGGACAACAAATTTTTAGACTCTCAGACTTTCAGAGATGAGAAATGTCTAAAACTAAGCACGGCGCACCTGCTCCGCCGCCACGGCCTTGCCCTTTTTCTTTGTCTTCTTAGACTGCGGCGCCGGCTCACCCTCCTGCTGCGGCGCCGGCTCACCCTCCTGCGGCTTCGGCGCCCGCGCAGCCTTCAGCGCCTTGGCCTTGTCCTTGGCGAGGCTTTTGCTCTTGTCCATTATTTGCGTGTCAGTGAATTCGAGGCCAAGCGCCTGGCAATGCTTCGCCAGCCTCTCGACTGCCTCGCGGCTTCCCCCGCCGAGGTCAGCCGGCAAATCGGCGGGCCACTTTGCCCGCGAAGACATTTGCAACACTAGAAGAGGCGCCGGCCTTTTGGAGACTCGCCGGCGCTGGTCAGTTCGACGAGGTAGAAGGAGAATACGCAGACGATGCCACTGCTTGCTACTAAGTGGCCGCACTTGTAGTACTGACGTAAGCACGCGCCCAGGCCAAGAAGCCAGCCACTTGCTCCAAAGAAGAATACTATTTAGCGGGTAGCTTCAGCGCCTCGCCTGTCCCCATGCAGCATGCTGAGTCGCCTGCTCATTCGGCTGATGTCATCCTTCTTAGACGATGAGGCATACCAACCACGTTGCGCCCTGAATCTGTTCCCATCGTCGCATAGGGATGCCCTAGCCCCTTCTGCGTCTATTCTTGCTAACGCTGCAGTAGCCTGGTTGTTGCTCCACTTTGTAGCGTCGTCCCTGTCCGTCACGGATGTAAGATCACGTCTGTTAACGTTGCTTGTCTACTTCTGGTCTTTGTTCGGCTATTCAATAAGAAAAACCGGCTAGGTTAGGTAGGGGCTGCAGCTTACAACCTTCCTCACTCCTACAGCTCGGCTCCATCTCACTCCTCTCTACGTCTCCAGGATGCAACTCCATTGTCTTTGATAGAGGCAAAGGGAACACGATTAGACGGGGAAGATGTACGCCGTGACTCGTAGTTCTAAAGAGAGGCCCAGCATGGACTTCATTCTGATGGTTCTCGTGCCTAGTTTGGGCTTCACTTTCATCAAAGCAAGCTGCCAGATAGAAAGAGAAAGACACGCACTCAGTCAGTGACTCATAGTAGTAGTAAAAATCAATCGACCGAGTGCCTTCATTGAGGAAAATCACGCGGAAGTGAAGCGCGCAACAAGTGCTAGCCGTGGCGTGATACCTTAGCACGTAAAAAGTGTGGCATTAGCCTGCTACTGAGTGAAAATCTATTCGCCCTTTTCCACTGGCTCCCTCCCCGCGGTCCAAATAAGCTGGACCCCAAAACAGAAAACATCGGCAAAACATATGCACGGCTGCGGGGCGGCAGCTACTTCGCGAGGTGGAGGCGGCGCTGTCAGGGGTGTGCGAGTAGTTGGGCGGCTCCTTTGCTTCGTTGCTCTTGCTCATGCCAGCAACTGGCGCAGCTGGGGCTGCCGGTGTAGTTCGCCCTTTGCCCATAGGAGCGGCTGCGCCTACTACTTCACCAGCGGGCTTTCCAGATTGGCCGACTGCTGCCACAACAGACGTGGACGAAAACCGCACGCAGGCGCCTGGCGTGTTAGTTTTGGCTGAGCGGTCTCGCTTGTGTGTTGAGCAGTCGCGAGATAACTCGAAGTGTGTGACGTGGCGACCAATCTGGTAAACGCGAACGCGGCTGGGGTCTTCGGTCCCAGTCTCGAACGAGATCAAATACAGCCCAGCGCGATCTCGAACGAGGCTGGAGAACTCACCCCCAGTCTCGAACGAGGTCCGGGGCGCTCGCCCTCCCCTGATCGCGAACGAGGCTCGGGCCCTCGTTCCCTGTCTCGAACGAGATCAGAGGCACTGGCCCGCCGCTATCTCGGAAGAGGCTGGGTGGCGCTCTCCTTCGCCGTCTCGAACGAGATCAGAAGCGCTAGCCCTCCTTGATCTAGAACGAGACTCGGGCGCTCGCTCCCTGTCTCGAACAAAATCAGGCTCAGGGGCACGATCCCGAGTGCTGATCTCGAACGAGACTCGAGGCCACAGCAAGCCACCAGTCTCGCAAGAGATCACAAGCTCCGACCACTGACCTCGAAAAGACTGTAGGGCAAGGTAGACGGGCCCGCGCCTCAGAAGAGAAAGCAAGCCCCGACCACTGAGAAAGAACGAACGAGACTGGGGGCCAAGGTAGGGCCCCAGTCTCGCAAGGGCTGACGGGTCCCGCCTACTGACCTCGAACGAGACTGAGCTCTAACGCAAGCACCCAGTCTCGCAAGAGCTGACAAGCCCCGAATGCTGAAGATCTCGAACGAGACTGGGGGCCTACAGAGATGACAGGCCCCAGCTACTGACTTCAGACGTGACTGGCCCCAGTCTCGCAAGAGATGACAGGCCCGCCCCGGCTACTGATCTCGGGCGAGCCTGGGCGCCAAGGCAAGCCGCCAGTCTCGCAACGGACAGCAAGTCCCAACTGCTGGCCTCGAATGAGACAGGGGGCCAGGGTAGGCCTCCAGTCTCACAAGAGGCGACAGGCCCCGGCTACTGACCTCGAACGAGGCTGGGGGCTAAGGCAAGCCCCCAGCCTCGCAAGAGATAACAGCTCCCAACTACTGGTCTCGGATGAGACTGCGGCCCAAGGCAGGCCGCCAGTCTCGCAAGAAGTGATAGGTCCCAAGTACTGACCTCGCACGAGACTGGGGGCCCACTCACCCCGACTACTGATCTCAGGCGAGACTGGTAGCTTCCTGACTAGTCTCCAAGGAGAGCGCAAGATTGCCCGCGCGTCTCTTTATTGACAGCAGGGGTAACTTCCAGAAAGATGAGGCGCCAGGCCGCCTACAGAAACCCAGCCTCGAGCCCATTTTCTGTAGGCACCCCACCCACAGCCTCACCCTGAGCAGCAAGCCAGGCCGCTTAGCTTCGTGGCTCCTCAGCTAAGGCGGTGGCATCAAACTCCGCCCCAAAAGCGGCAGCCTTCTGCCTTACATGTTAAGCGCCGGCAGTTGTGCGGAGGTTGTGGCGGCGGCACTCGTAGGGGTAGGAGCATCAGACCAGTGGCAGTAGCACAGGAGCCGCGGCCAGTAGTAGTAGGCGCAACGCTGTAAGCTACTGGTCGGATTAGTCGAGGCGCAGCGACTCGAATGAGCGGGGCTATAGATACTGAAACGCAAGAGCAGCGCGAAAATGACTCAGCTACTTCAGTCAGCTGCTCGGTTACTTTGGGCCTTCGACTAGTTGGCTCCTGAGGTTGGGCATCGATGACCATGGAACCAACCACACAACAAAAAGAAACCGAAAAGAACGACAGCCACGCGCAATCCAATCCAGCTTAGACTCCAGCCAGCTAAAAAGCTTACTCCGTCCCCAAATAATAAGAATAAGCGGAGAACGTAACTACTCACACACATCAAAGCAAGCGAGAGAAGGGCAACTATTCACAAAGCAAGCGAGGAGTGGCCAACCCTTCACAAAGCAAGCGAGGAGCCCCCCTGTCAGGATCAAGCTTAGCGCGATGCGTTCTCTGCTTCATTCGAGCCGGCGGGCATGCTTCTTTTTGCGACGGAGATCGGCGCGAGGTTTTTCCTGTTGTTTCATTCAGGGCGAGCAGCTTTCTTTTTTCGGCGAAGATCAGCGCGAGGCCTTCCTTTTGCTGCATTCAGATGCCCCCCATGCATCTACGCAGCTGCTTCACTGTCTTCGAAACGTTCTGCGAGCATGTAGACACGAATAGCATCACTCTGAAGCAGGCTGGGCCGCAGAGTCTCGCCACAAGAGTAGTCCGGGCATCATCTACAAATATACACACACACAAGGAGCGCCGAGCCCTCTGCCAGAGCGGGCTGGGCCGCAGAATCACCCCAAGGGACCAATATCCAGCCCCAAGCGCTCAGAGCGCGCCGGCTACCCCTCTCTGTCGAAGCGGGCTGGGCCGCAGACTCTCCCCCAGAGACAAGGCACGCGCCGCCCTCTTTCGCTTACTTTGCCGCCACTCTCTGCCGCCACGATTCCCGTGGTCTGTTAGAAGAAAACGGAGAAAGGCCACGCCCTGGACTATCGGAAAAATGAGAACAATAAGAGATCGCCGCAGAGTTTGCCTTTTTGCGATCTCCACAGCGATGGCATCGCGTCCGGCGTCGCTTTTCTTTCAGTCAGTTGGGTCCGTACTGTGGCACTTTCCGCAAGAGTCTCCACTGCAGCCGCTTTGTCTCAGCGGGCAGGTCGTTCTTAGAGGGGTGAGGGGTTACTTGGTATCTCTATGACTCGCGCCAGCTTCTGCTTCAGCAAGTGGCTGAGCTTCGAGCAACTAAGACTAAGTGACCACAATAGAGACAACTACCCTCGCAGAAAGTTGTAAGCTATGAGAAAGAGAAAAAAGAACACGCGGGCAGTGAGCTAGCTTAGTACAGCCTGGATCCCAGCCATAACGTTTTACCATGCTGACACAAGAGGCCAGCGCCTTCATGGTATTGCACGCGGCGCGTGCCTTGATGCAGCTCGGGACATTCCCTATCTGCTGGCCTACCGAAGCAAGCCGCATCGCATGGGCGCGGCAAGTTAGTGCCGACACGCTGCCCACCAAATTCCCCAAGGAAGTCCGAAGCGGTTACCCATGGGGGCTAAACTCTACCACTGGCCCCCAAATAGTGCAAATAAAAGCAAGCGCTTCGGGTGTCATGTGTAGAATTGTCAGCGGGCGGCTGTTTCAACATAAGCAAGCCCCCGCCTCTTCCTCGGCGTCATAGTCCCCCTCTCTGGCTTTTGCCATAGGCGTCGGCGCGTCTTCTCTTCTTGCTCTTCTTCTGTCGTGGCCTTTTGGTTCTCGTTGTCGTCGTCCCCGTTCCCGTTTCCGTCGTCGTTGCTGGCGACGTTTGCACCCGCCTGCTCTTCTTGGTGCTCTGCCTGGTCGTCGCTCTCCTCTGCTTCATTCTTGCTCCGTCTCGCGGCTGGCTCCTTGGCTGCCTGTCTGGTCGCCTTCGCTCCCCTCTGCTTCCTGCTCAGCCTCGCGGCTGTCTCCTTGGTGGCTTGCTTGGCCGTTGTCGCTCTCCTCTGCTTCTTGCCCAGCCTCGTGGCTGTCTCCTTGGTGGCTTGCTTGGCCGTTGCGCTCTCCTCTGCTCCTTGCCAAGCCTCGCGGCTGGCTCCTTGGTGGCTTGCTTGGCCGTTGTCGCTCTCCTCTGCTCCTTGCCTAGCCTCGCGGCTGTCTCCTTGGTGGCCTCCGTCGTCGTTGTCGCTCGCCTCCGCTCCTTGCTCTTGCTCAGCCTCACGGCCTTCGCCTTGGTCGTCTGCTGGGCTGCGGCTGCGGTTCTCCCCTGCATCTTCTGCTTGCTCTGTGTTGTCGGTGTTTGCGCCCTCTTTCCCGTTGTCTTTTGACTCCTCGCCCCCCTTGGTAGAGGCTCCGCCCTTCTTGACCTCTATGCAGCTCCCAGCCCGTTCTGGATAAAAACCATCCACGTCCGCCCAACGAGGACGAAACGGGCACCCATATGGGCCATCATTAGAAGGCGCACGAGATCAGGCGGCCCCTCTCTGTTTCTCCTGCCAGAGCTAACCTTTTTAGATCTGTAGCGGCACTAGATAGCGCCAAAGCATGGGGCAACCTTCTACCAACTTACTCAGCGACCAGAAAGAGAACGAAGAAAGACCGCGCCAATATCGTACCAATTTGCTCAAATTTACCCCCTCCCCTGAGTGCATACTGCTCGCAATTTAATCGCCATAACATGGCCCGGGTTTAGGTTGTTGCAATGCTGGCACTGCTTTCGAACCACGGGACGCCGGGAAGAGAGCGAGCGCGTGCGTTCTCTCTTGTGCTTTTCTTTTTTACCTCGCTGGCGGCGTCTTTACATTTTACCCCCACGGTCCAGGATGAAAAGCCTAACCTCTACGAAGCATCGCGATCAGCCACGGCCGGGCGGGTTCGTTCTCCTTTTCTCTCGGACCTTTTTCTGTCGTTTCTCTCGATTCCTTTCGCGCTGCGGTCCTTAGTACTCAGTGCCCGCTTCATCTTGAGCGGGCTCATGCTCTACCTTTGTCCATCAGTCAAGACACAGAACACATCTCCGCGCGGTGCTTCGTCTCTATCGTGATCGAGGAGGTTTCGCCCAAGGGGCGGCGCCGGTTTCTTGTGCGAATAAGTGGAAAACGCAACTACTCACAAAGCAAGCGAGGAAAGAATAACTACTCACAAAGCAAGCGAGGAGAACGCCTCTCAGGATCAGGTCAGCGCGGCTTTGAAGGGGTCGGTGGAGGGGGGCGGCGGACCACCTCCGGCCCGGCTAGAGGAACAGAGCGGCCACAGCAGGAAGGGGGCGCCGAATCGCTAGAGGTTGGAGAAGGTGGGGCGCCAGAGGTGGCGGAGCGGCCGCAAGCAGCAGGGCTGCGGGCCATCCCCTGACACTCAGGCCCCAGATTCGCGAGGGGACAGGGAAACAAGCTACACGCGTGAGCGTCTGCGCTTGCTGGAAGCGCCTCCCGGAGAGCGCAGCACCACCCAGCAGCCAGAGCAGGACAGCAGCGCGCGCGGCGCCGCTGTTTTGTTGTCTGAGTCATGGGAAGCGCAGCCCACCCACAGACGCGCCAAGAGGAAGCGGCGAATGCTGGCGCCCCTCCATTCTTATGCCCACGCGAGCAGCGCCCCGCCAATGCCTGGAATTTGTTAGCCCAATCTGAAAAAATCAAAAAAACGATAATGACAACACTTTTTCCTGCGATATCTGTTCTAGCCTTCTTTTACACTACACGACAACACATTACATCTGTGATTCTGATTCTTACGAACTTACTTGCCTGTCCTCTTACACAGTGATGAATTGACAATGGTAAATAATCTGTGGTCAAGAGCATGGACGATGAAAACTTGAGAACATAAAAGCCGAAAAACAATACTATCTTCCTAATCCTACTTCTACGTAATTGTAATTGTAACTACCAAATAGAAGTTTTTCACGGGCCAGCACGATGATTTCAACCATTTTTCTACAACAACACTTTTCAGTAACATGATAGAGATAGATAGATAACGGTGGGCGAGATTCAATTAGACTTAGATATGCTCAGAGTGCTAGGTGAAGCAACAACGTGATAGCAGACTGCGAGGAGAAGAACCAGAATGAAGTCCTCTGTGGATAGCGCGCATCGCAAAAGACTTCTCTCTATCTGAAAAATCTAAAACATATGAACACTATGATATGAAGCGAGCCAAGGGTGAAAACAACTTTTACAACACGACGAACAAGAGAAGACAATTCATTTTATTGCACTTTCGCAATACTGTACTAATACAAAAAAATACTTCTCTTCTGCTGGATAAATAAGAAATCGGAATAACCAAACAGAAAATCATATGAACAAAAATATGCCAATATCAGCTACGTACAGTATAGAGAAACTACAAAAGATGAGTATGAGAGAAACCACAAAAGATTAAATATTCTAGCACAACGAATGGATAGAGTATTCCTCTCTGCGTATGCCAGTGTCACTAATTTTGATGACGCTGAAAATGCTAGAGCAATAGCGCGCGCAACAAAGTTTTATGTCTGTTGACCAAAACCACAGGGCATTGAGGATCATGGTCACGCGTTCAGCCCTTATGACACACCGCGAAATAATCTTAGTAGTACTACATTTTGCTTCGAAAAAGACATACCTCTACTAAGACCACATTTCTTATAACCTAATATGACCTCACAGAATCATGCATGCCTATGTTTCTACGAAGCGCAGTATGAAGGAAGCCGAGACTATTATGTTTATGGGGAACGGGCGGCAACGCTAGGCTGTACAAAGTCATCCTTTCTTTTAAGGCTGCATCGGCGACAAAACGGGCTTCGATGCTGTACAGAGAGGGCAGCAACCAAGTGCATCATGCATAGCGGCAACGTGTAAGCGACAACAACAGGCATGCACCACAGCTAAGCGAAGACGAGGATTGGCAACTGTCGCATGAAATCACACAGCGGCAAGGCATAAACGACGGCGCAGCTGCATGTATAAAAGCGGGGCACAACGACCATCAAGCGCATGCGGAAGCGGCCGGCCGGCCGCGGCGCAGCGAAAGGGAGGGCCGCCTCAAGAGCAGCCTATGCGCTTCATTAAGATTGATATCCAACTAAAATTACAACAACTTCTTACCAACTGTAGGTCTATAAAGATTATTCGAACTTCTGGCCATCACCACATAAACTTCTACCAAGTTTTCTCATCCTAGCATATCATCTCAGAGTACTCGAAAATACAATTCTGTTTTCAGGTGATCTGTTCGATACTCACAGAGCTAAAAGACGCTTCCGTCACTGCGGATACGGATCGGCGGCGCACCAGTATCCGGTCGCAGCTCCTTGGCAATGATTAGAGCTCAACAACCCCCTCTCGAAAGGACATCTTTTGATTCACATCACTTGAAGACTCATGGTTCCTCTACAAGTTGAGTAGTACTTACTTACTTCCACAAACTTCAAAGTAATAACGGGCTTCAAGTTTGGAACCTACAACAAGGAGCACAACAGTTCTTCTGGTTTGGAACCTACAACAAGCAACAACATGAACAACCGGTGGAATTATGTTTGTGGGGTCTTAAGATTATGCGCCCAGCACGCCAGGTGCCTCCCTCCAGCACTTGCGGTAAGGTCAGACCAGCACGTTTTTTTCCCAGTTCCGCAGCGATCTTTTCAATCAGCACTACGGTCAGAGCACGCCATTCCACAATCAGCTCACTGCCGACGCTGTGCAGTGCCTCCGCGTCCTTTGGTTCTCGGAGCTTGATCAGGCCCATATCCACTAGCAAACCTCCGTTTCGGTACTCAGCCAAAGGTGTCAACATCAAATTCTCGGGATTCGCCAACTGAGCCAAGATGGACATGTACATGTTCTTGCAGCACAGGAGGTTGTTACAGTTCACTTGTCTGGAAGGTGTCCTCAAACTATGAACGTAACATCACTAGGAAACTTTAATGGAAGATGTCAAACTATGAACGAAACATCACTAGGAAACTTTCATCTATCTCTGGTACTACAGGACCTACTTGTTGTAGCTGCAACTAAGTCATCAAGCAGCGCTAGTACCGGAACAGCGAGGGCGGTCTCGATGACCTCGATGACACTGTAGAGTAGCCATTGTGTCAGCTTGTGGAAGGACACCAAATCAGATCCTGGCATCCCTGGCGTGTTTAGCTTGCTGTAGTGCCGATGGTTAGAGTCAGGCAGTCTCAAGATCGAGTCTCTCAGATCTCAGATAAAATAAGATAATGAATCACAGTCTCAGATAAAAGTTTGGCGAATCCTTTCCAAATCCAACTAGAACTAATTCCAAAATCCAACTAGAGTTACAATTGCCACTGACATTGTCAATGTACAAATAAACGTCATGTTGTCCTTAATATTGAACCTCTTTTATAGGCTTTCGTAGTAATTCGTATCTACAATATGAACGACCTAAATAAAAACGCCTAGTGCTAGTGGTGCCATAAAAATATCTCCGGTCTGGATGCCGCTGGCATGCTTAGGCCAAATCGGCTCGATACCTTGTGCCACAGCTTTCCACAGGTCGCAAATATGAAGAAAGAGAAAGTACTCCATTGCATGAGCAGCGAGAAGACATCATGAGCAGCAAGAAGACATAAGCTAATACAATTAATTCATACAACGCGTCGCAGGTAAAACTACAAATTCTCGAAGGCTATAATTGGTGCTCAACCGCATTTTCTTCAACATGCTTCAGCAAAGTGTTCTTCTATTTGTTCTACTAGAAGATCACTCTTCCACTATTCTTCAGTATCCTCGAAGATCAATTCTGAAAATTCATAACTGAGAGAGATTTTTGTCTTGTCACCGTTTGCCTTTGCCAGGAGGTAGTCGATGATGTTGCCAGGACGAGGCAGCTCCTTACCGAAAAACTCGGGTTTCTGCTCTAGTGCGTCTCCCAGCTTGTTCAACAATGCTAAACGACCCTGGATACTCTGGATGGGGTTGCTAGCGGAGATTTGGAATCCCTTCTCCATATCCCTCTGCGTCAAAGCCTTCAATGCCAGCGAGTTGACGCGACATGGCAGAGCCTTGTCGGAACTAAACAAGCCGTCGCAGAACATATCTGAGTTGTCAAATCGGAATGGTTGGGGGCTATACTCAATGGCTTCGTGGCTCAACTCATGCGAGCTGCAGATTGGAGCAGAATGAGAGGCAAACGCTTTGCGGCGCGTGACGCTTCGAGGGGCCTCCCGGTAAGTGCCCCGCGGGGCACTGAAGAGGCGGCTAAGTGCCACGCGAGGCGCTTCCGAGAAAAGCTCGCCACGGTACCAATAGCCCCGCGGCGGTGCCCTAGGTGGTGTTGCCCTAAAAACCAACCCGCCGCCTATTCAGCAAACACAGACGGCGGGCGCGCTTGCCTCGGGGGCCCGCGTGCATGAACATCCCGGCGCCCGCCAGAGAGGGGCACCCAGCTGAGCCCGCGCGCCACCCGAATGCGCCAGCCGCCGCACCGGGCAAGTGGCGAAGTAGCTTGCCCACCCGTTGAGCCATCGACTCGCCGCGGTATCGGTCGGCCCCCCGCGAACGTCCGCAAGAAATAAAAAGCGCGCCACCCAGCAGGCGCAATGTCTGCCACACGATTGACCAACGACAGTAAATCGGCTCCGGCGGCGCGGAGCAAATGCGCGCGCAGGCTGGCGGGAGACACCGAGCTGGCCCCTTGGCTTTCTGGAGTACAGCATACTAGTGGCTTGCGCCTGTGGAAAGCACAGGCGCCGCCTGAGTGCATCCGCAACGTAGTCCGGGAGTATCGTGCGCCGCGCCCATTTTCGAAAAGCGTAAGACGAAAAGCCGCGAGAGCGAGACGCGCCGAGTGTGGTTGGCGGGGATGTTACAACTGAAGGCACCGAGCTAATCCCCGGCGTTAATGTTGTGCCTACCTTAAGCCAGGCAAAGCCCAAGCTACACGGATCGCCAAAGTAACGGATTTGCTAGATGCGGGCCATGCTCCAGAGAGCCCCCCGAGGTCACAGAAGCAGCCGAGGCCTCTCCATCCACAGAGTGGGAGTTATGCTCGGCCTGGTCATGTGTGCCAATTGCCTGACTTCGCGCCTGCTCCCAAGAAGTTCCCCACCGAGTCGAAGAACATACCCAAAGAAGCGAAATAAAAAAGCAAAGATAGAATGAGAGGCATGCTACTCGTAGTGGTGAAGCGGCTGCGATAGTGCTGGGATGCAGTGCCTGTTCCGAGAACAATGGATCGGCGCGCGTTGTAATGTCTGCCACTCTGTAAGAAGGTGGCTCATGTTCGTCCATGCTGTTGGATTTGGTGGGCACGTTTTTAATACTAGCCACAGAGTGGCCGGAGGCAGACGAATTGAAAGAGGCCGAACGAGGACAGGACACCAGAAAAGTAGACGCAGCCAGAGCAGCAGCGCTCTGATTCAAGCTAAGAGTAACGCTGTACCCCCTGAGGGTAGAAGAGCTGCGCGCGGGAATAATCGGAGCCGCGCCAATCCTTGCCGCCGCAGTAAGCGAGCCAAATCCCCTTCGCCAGTTATTAGAATAGAGGACGACCGGGGGAGGGGGTCACGAGGTAAGAACCGCAGACCCAAACACACCAAACCACGGCGAGAGCCTTGACCGGGATCGAGACTGGCCCGGAGTATCGGCGCGCTTTAGCGGCTTATAGCTTCCAACTACAGCCGCCATCTGACCGCCGCGGGCAATGGCCTGACTATCCACCTCGTGGCCTATTACAGTCTTCACGCTTCTAGCAGTCAGGTACTCCTCGAGGCATGAGCTGAAATCCCGGGCAACGGTGCCGCACCGGTTGGAATCGTTGGCACGCAGGCAGATCCAGAGGAATGGCGGCAGGGGCTCCCTTGTGGCGCAGCCTATCGAATCAGCGCAACACCCACCACGGAACTCGGAGAAGCGCGGCGCCTGTGCCGCTTGTTCTCTCCTTGCTTTCTCTTTCGTGTGTTGGGTCTGGATGTGAGTTTGTGAGGGGGCCGGTTGCTTCTGCGGGGGTTGTGTGGGCAAATGGTGGGCAAATCACCAGCGCCACGCCGTCGATGGTCTCTCTGGGGCTTTTTGCGGAGCGTGCAGGCTATAAACCGAGGCGCCCACTCCCAGCAGCCTGCCCGCCGTCGCTTTGGTCTGCCCTCGACGCGTGGCATCTTCAAAGGAGGGGCTGGATATGAGTGCGCAATATTGCTTGGCTGACTATACGGCGCAAGGTAAAAGGGATAAGCTCCTGCGCTGTCCGGGGAAGTTCTTGCGTTGCAGATGCATGTCCTGGGCCCTAATTTTCTGCGCCGTTCCTTCGGCGCCGTTGCCCAGTGTCCACGGTGAAGAGCTCGCCCCAGCGTCGGCCCCTTCATCCCGCCCATAATTTGCAATAGCACCAGCAACAGCATCAGCGTCGCGGGCTGCTTTTGCGGGGCGCTTCGACGCATGACCGCCCTCCGGCGCGGCCATCAACGCGCTCAATTTCTTAGCCGCCCGCCTGCTCTTCCGTTCCTTTTCTTTTCGCCCCATCCTCCCACTCCGCCGCCAGTTTTCCTCCCCTCTGGATGACTTTCACCGCCAGCGCCGACTTTCTTGCATCTTCCCGCCTGTCCTCGCCTGGGTGCTTGCTAGAGCGAAAGTGTCTGACTATAGTGGCGGGCCGTCGCGTGGTTAGAGGGTGGCGGCTACTGTAGTATGGGCCAACGTGCTAGAAAGCTAGCCACTATACTACCCGCACAGCCTTCCCGAAGACACGGCGCGCCCTCCATGCCGATTCCCCCCATGGCTTCCGCCGTGGTTAGTTCCTCTCAGTCAAACGCAAAATGAAAGAATCATAAAACAAATACCTATGCTGGCCACTGCAAGCCCTTCACTGCTCGTGATGATCTTGCCTTCTGACATGTATTTCCATGCGGAGCCCGCACCAGCGTCGACCAACACGCTAACAAACGTTAAATCCAACAATCGGCGGACCCTTTCAAGTGCGTCGCATTCCATATTCTTCACAAAAAGCTGGAACTGCGGTAAATTCTCCAGGTGCCGCATCTGCGAAGTATAAGTTTTAGTTAGAGCCTTTCATCTTGGTCTGAACAAAGAGACTTTTCATGATTTTCATCATACGATATTATCGTGTTTGAGAAGTAAACGAAACGGAATTCATGAGAACCTTCTCAGTGCATCCTGTGATAATCTTCACAAGCAAATGCAAATACTGCAAATACTACAGGTCGATCATGATATGGCATTCCTGGTTTAACAAAAAAAAAAAATGTGTGAGGACGAGTACCCTCGAATGCGGTGGGATCGGTTTGCCTGGTGGGTAGTGATCCGTGATGACTTTCTCGACGAAATCCACTGTCGGTCCGAACTTGGACATATCGAGAACGAAATGGTCGAGATTCCCCTTTTCTGCCAAAGCAAAAACCCGCGACGCCTGTTTGCGCACGTGTGCCAGCGTGAGGCACTCGTTCGAGATCTGCATGGCATCCATGCTTTCGGTGTTATAACCAGACGCCACCTTAGCGGTAATCTCCACTTTCATATTCTCTTTCACATAATCTTCGGGAAGCGTAACACGCTGCATTACTTTGATGCCGGCACTGAGGGAGAAAAGGTAACAGATCGGTGGTGTGTAAGAGGTCAAAGTAGAATGATCAAGAGAAGGTAGAAGAAGGTGTCCATATCCCAACACCGGTAGCTCACGTCAGTTTTTTCGCTCCACCTCTTTTTCGCTCTAGGACGAGCCCGACATTTTTATCTTCCATCGTGATCTTCACTTCCTTATCCTTACGAACTACTAATAATAAATTCCATCTCCATCTTCTAGTACTACTAGTATATAGATGAATAAACATCAAAAATGATAAACAGGATTCGGAGTCTGCACAGTGTTTTATCTGAAAAAAAAGTACCCCACGATAGCTTCGTATTTCTCATTCGACATGGAGCATAGCCAATCAATTCGCTTAATGCCCATCCATTTTAGAGCATCTGGCATCATAGCTTGGAACCGAGCGTCACGAATACCAGCAATATTCTCCGTCTGGTTGTAAAAAACGAGAGGGCGGATATTGTGGTAATATTCGAGTGGCAATTTATTCGAGAGATTCTTGTACATTCATAGTGGTGGTCATATGTTCTGTTATACCCCTCTGTTGCTTTCTTGTAGGCTCCATTTCCATTCATTCAGAAAAGTTTGCGACTAGAGATACCAGTCGCAGTACAGGAATTGGAGGAACTAACCTAGGATGCCACAAAAAAGTTTCATCCTTTAAAATGCAAGTACCTGGTGGAAGTACTTTTCAGCCGTGTCGCCACCCGTTTGGTTCTCCCTTGCGTTGTAGACCCGGAACTTGATGACTTCACCTAGTGAGCGACCCTCTTTTCGGTAGTATATGACGATACCCACGCCACCCCTCTGCGCGCACATAATACACTGCTCCAAAGCGAAAATCAAATACGGCCTACAGGTGCAAATGTCTGAGCCAAACCTGTGAAGATGTTGTGTATTTTTTGAACCAAAATACATGATGTGAGCCGAAACCTATGACTACGCCACTAATTCTGAACAAGTCCATCTTGTTCATTGCCTCATCATATAGAATCAATGATTATACTCTATCAGAAACAAATATTCAAATCAAGCCAATAATACACGTCACTTCCGATGCATTCATCGTGGACACGAACGCAGATTTCCGTAGTCGGATCCCGGATTTTCCGCACATCACCGAAAGTGTAGATAGTGCAGCCACCAACACCAGGAGTACTTAGAATAAGATGGCAATTTTCTGGAGATTACCGTAGGATCTTATTTTTCCAACCATGGTGATTTAAACGGAATCACGTCAACTCCAGAATACGTGTAGACACTCCTCCACCAACTACGAATACGCCATCTAACAGGTCAAAATAGAACTCTTCATCTACTGATTCCACCATAGTATGAACGCTTTCTTGTTCGGGTCCTTCAAGTCCGGGTTGTTCGAGTACTTGAAAAGGGCATCGCGCAAATCGTCCTCCTCCATGTCCAAGCGCTCCGATAAACGCGGGATATTCCAGGTGTAGTAGATGGCGCATTTCTGCGTTCGAACTTGGCCGTCTTCCCTGATGATCTTGCCATCTCGCGGCAGGTCACACAACTCTGCAATATCCAGATTCGCTTTGCACGCAGCAGGATCATGAAAAGGAGGTGGAACAAAATTGCTCCTAGGTTCAAGAATGAAACAAGGAGCAATTATGTTGAGGTCTGTTCAGGTCCTGAGACCCAAAACAGAAAGTTCTTGCTCTTCCCTGATTCCAAATTCTAATTGAAACTTAGTTTCACAAAAGAAAGATGGAACAAAATCATTCAGCTCTCTATTGGCTATTGAAATCGCGTCAAACAAGAAGTAGGTATGTATTGTTGGAAGGGCTACACGCTAGAGGTAAAAACGAGCCGGCTGTTTTATTTAGTGCTTTGAGCGCCGCTGGACCTAAACCTCGACCCTATATAAAGGGAAGAAGCCAATCTAGATTTATCTTGGCTCCATAAATTGTAGGCGGGTGTGCGTAAAAGCCTGCTGGATCGAACATGAAGATATCGGACCACTCCTTCTGCGTTTCGGGATCATCGATGAGTTCCTTGAATTGTGGCAAGAAGTATTCGTCCTTCGTGCGCCTCTTGTACCACTCGCGTAAATCAACGCCTGCCTTCTTCTCCGCAATGCCTTGATTGTTCACGTTGAGGGAAACGATCTCTTTTCACAAAGAAGACTGATGTACCAAAACAATGACAATGACTTGTCAAGAAAGACAAGACTTCTGGGACAGCTGCTAAGTGAATCTCGATCGCTTTTTTGCACAGCCTTTTTCGCGGCTCATATGAATTTTTATTAAAACTAGTCACAGATAAAGAAAGAAATAGACTGCAGTTCTAACTTGGAAAATGAGATGAATAAGAAAAATGCATTGTTGTACCCCAATACGCCGCATTATCCCATCCGTAGACGCCGCTGTAGTTCCCATTCTCCAGGTCAGCGTGTAATTTTTTCCAGTCGTAGTCGCTTTTGAACGGCGGCCAAAGCAGATTGGATACTGGTGCGGCGTTTGCAAGCACGCCTGCAGCAGCTGGCGCAGAAGCAGATGCCGCTGCTGGTGCGGCGCTCGCTTGCATCGCTGGCTGTGACGAAGCCGCGGGAGCGGAAGCACTCGCATTAGCTCCGTAGCCGTTCTGCGATGATGCAGAGATAGAGCCAGCCGCGCTGTTGCTATTTACTGCAGGTCCAGGACAAGCACAAATCGCGGACTCCGTCTCACCATTGCATTCGAATGGGGAAAAACGAATGGCGTTGCTGCGACGCTGAGAACGAGGAGTGTTCGCACCGCACTCGTAAGCGTTCATTTTGTCCCCGCCTGGAGGCGGAGCAAAGACGTGACCACCCAATTGATTTACACGCTTCATCCTCTTCTAGAAGATGACTACTTTAGTGCTGTACAACTAGTGTAGTACTTTAGTGTAGTACTAGTGTACTCTAGTGTACTCTACAGTGTACGTAGTACTAGTTAGAAGAGTTGTTGGAGCACCTGTGGAAGCCACGCTTAGGCACTCTTCCTCTCTTAGAACAACTCCGGATGAAACACACAACAAAGCTAAGAACAAAACTCTCACTCACATCGCCAACAAGAGTAGGTCGAAATGAACGCCACCTCTGTATGTGCCAGTTGTAGTAGTTTAGAAGGAGAAAAATCTAATTTAGGAAGATGTGTCGAAAAAAGTTGAAATCACCAGGAAATAAACTACCTTAAAATGAAACACTACATAACTAGTATTACCGAATGAATTGGTCAAATGAAACAATACATAATTTGCTTTGGAACCAATGAAACAACACAGGACCACTTTACATGAAACAAGTGAAGACTGATCCATGAGTAAAAGGATTCGCTTGGGCAGCGGCAGGGATACATAAAATCAAAAATAGTATGCTGATTACAGTGAAAACTCTCTCATATCTTAGAAGTTAGTAGATACACAGGCAAGAAGGTCGGGGAAAGTCAGATGATCTTCTTGGGTTTCTCGGTGAGAATCAATACTGTCACGGATTTTGAGACTTCCAGAACAAAAAAACGGATTACCTTGCTCGAGGCACGAAAAGAACGACATTCGTTCTAGCTACACGGGAAAACCTTATTTTCGTTTGTGTGTACGCTAGCTACAAGGAAAGACCTGGTATTGTACCAGCTACAAGGAAAAACCACAAACGAAATAACATGAAAAAGAAGAAGGGTACCCCTAAACCAAAGCCACCTACCTCATAGGATACCTCATCTAAGTAAATAGAAGAACGTAGTCGCTACGAATTTAAACCGGAAACGGTACAACAACCATACGATCCAACCGTTGGTCTAAGATCCATCGAACCTTACCACGAGGTAATTCATTCATTGCGTCCCTAGTAGTTCTCCTAGCCTACCTGCGGGACGAGGTAACAACCATATCAGAACACTGGTGTCCGAAGTCTTGTTACGATGGAAGAACCAGGACCACAGCAAGTGTGACAACGACTATGACGCCACAACAACTGTGACAGTGGACATCCACTCGTTCCGTTAAAGTAACGAACATCCTTCGATGTATCGCTTCCTGCTCCCATTGACAACCCAACATTTCTTTTCGGGCCGTCGCCGTCCCATGAATAAAAATAAGTCTAGAAATTGTCATTGAAATATTGCGGTTCATCTCAGCATCTTGCGTCTTTTTTGTACAACTGGATTTGAGAATAGGGTTAGGGATCGACAGTTTGATTTATAAGTATTGTTGCATGACCATGGGGTTGAGGGGAAACAAATGATATTCATTCACCCGGAGACGAGGAGGAGCACTGCTGCACCACCAGTCGCTGTCGACGATCCTCTCGAATACCACTTGTTTGTTGATGAGATTGTATAATTTCTCCATCTGCCGTCCCACCGCCTCCCGCATTACCGCACAACGCCATTGGCGCAGCGTCCTCGTCCTCTTTTCCGCCGTCGTACTCAATAGTTGTTGGACGACCAGGTTCATGGTTACTACTGCTTCGAGGAATAAATTGTCCCACCTTACGACCAGTACTATCAGTTACAACTTTCCCAGAAGTTGTACCACCACGCAATGCCGCCAACTGCTTTGCTGAAAAAGCACTTTGAATAATCGTACTTGAAGAAGATGATCCACCTACAAGAGCACTACAACTGGCAGCGTTTGGTCGTTGTGGCAGTGCACTTTGGGCACCAGGGCCTGCTTCTTCAGAAGGCTGTTGTAATGGCAGTCGCTGAGGTGGAAGAAGCCTCGTGATCGCTCTCTTGCTCGAAGAAGACGCCGCGGTGGTCGCAGTAGTACTCGCTAGTTGCCGCAATTGCTCCACTTCATCCTCAAGTCGGGCGATCTGCAAGAAATCCCCTGCGCGGCCCGCTTCTACACGGTTGCGCTCTGTGCTTAGAGGTGTTTTAGTCTTATAGACTTCATCGTCCAACTCTAATTGAAATTGAATTCATTTACATTTGTTTCCACATCAAGAGATAAACACAAAAAAAGTCACGTTCTATTCGAGCATATAAGTACTTTTTGTGCATCATTATACATAGTACTTATATACAGTACGAAGGCAGTAGGATCATGGACTCTGTGAGTCATAACTTCCTCTCGCGTGCGAGCTCAGCCTGCAATTCTTCAGTGGAAGCCTTGCGTTCGCCATCCTGTGTAGTGATTTTTAGAGTTAGTGTTTCTACTTGAGTTATCAATGCTATATTACCTTCATAAAAGGAGCATCCGAAAATCGTCTACATCTACTTGTCACAGTGTTCACTTTTTCCCTCTAATTATTTGAATCTATTCGGCAAGGTGCCTCAGATCACTTTTCTTGATCTGTATCGTGTAGCCTGCTTTTGCTCTACCTTCAGGTATTCGATTGCAGGCAAAGCGAGAGCAACTTCCCACAGCTCATCTACTAGTGCGCTTTCCTCTAGAGCGCGCTGCTTCCACGTTGCCGCTCGATGCCGCAGGCGCGCATTTTCAGCCACGAGACTCTTTACGATATTGTTCAGCGCAGTGTCGCTCCGTTCCCGGGTACTAGTGAACGGGCGATAGTGAAAGCACGACAGACCTTTCTCACAGATGCTCAATAGATGATAAAGGATCTATTTTTTTTAGAGAAGAGTCTTCAGTGACTGAGCTTCTGCTTCTCTGTTACTTCTCCCAGCAGAGCCTTAACTTCTAGACGAGAAAATGAATAAGAAAATTTTTAATCAAGTACTTAGACTTACTATCATGTCCATCCTGAACATATTTTTTCCATTCATACTGATAGGACCACCCTTGAGAGACGCGGAGAGACCTTCATCCCGCAATAGCTCCTCGATCGCACAGCCTAGAACCTGGACAGTGCCTATCTGTTCCTACTAACAATAACATCAGTTGGCATTAAAGATAGGCCTGCTCCTTACTCACGATCATAACTTCATCATGTGGCAAATAACATGATCAATAATCATGAGCGTCGCTAACAATAATATGGGTGGAGCCAAACTAACTAGGAAAATAAAAAGGAAGAAATGTAGGCAGAGGATAGAGAAGTGCAGTTATTATAGTAATGGCCATGCTAAGTAGGATCCATCTATTCTAGGCGCCGCGCGTCGCTATCAATATTAATCGTGAGCGTTGTGTACCCTCGGATGCTTCCGGTATTTGGTAACCTGAGTTTGATCATACGGGAAAACAAAAAGAGAACCCTTGTGATCAAATTCAGGTTACCAAATACCGGAACCATTCAACCCTGAGCGTTGTCTTGTATACAGTGAGCATAGTAAGCGACGTACTTTGTTCGGGCTACACGGGAAAACTTTATTTTTGTTCTTGCAAAGCATCAAAATTTGGATAGGCCTGCTCCTTACTATTAATGGTATATTCCGAATACCGCATTTTCCTGGCGAAGCCTCTGCGCTTCTGCATCGTCGACAGCGCCTTCCCGGCTTCGTTCCCTCTTCGCGTGCTCCGCAACACGCGGACGCCGTAGGCCTGACTTCATTATTTTCGTCCTACTATGTGATATATTCTGATTTTTTAGATCAATTTTTTAGAAGTTAGCACGCCGATATAAAAAACATAAACAAATTTTGATGCTTTGCAAATGCAAGTTGTCCTTCTTGTAAGAGGTGTCATTCATTCTATCATGGATTTGGATTTGGAGATTTGGAAGGGATGACTCTTTTTTTTGTAATGCCGGGGAAATTGGAAGACGACCCTCCTGACCTTTATCCAAGTCGCAAACCGGCGGCAGGCGGAACTTAGTGTTCCTCTATCATTCTATCCCTATGTGCTTGTCCTTTTCTTTCTTGTCCTTCAGCCGTATCACACATGAGTGATATTTTCACTATAAAACGAGATTGTACAATTCGTATCTCTTATCTGCTACCGATGATCATTTCCGGCATGCGTAGGACACATCCTACAACCTGGAGAGTTTTCACGTGGTTTACGTCCAAGTTTTCTCTGAGCCCCTGTCTTGAAGAGAACACTCTACGTTGTCTTTCCCCATCATGACATCACACATTTATAAAATTTTTTTCAATGCGAGATTCATGAACCAATTTTTTCTGTTTTTGGAAGTATCCCATGGGACACCCACGCATCTGCGATCCTCCGATACGCAGGCACCATCGTGTGCAATGGGTCACTAAGTGGCTGCTGTACGATACGAAATTCTATATTCTTGTTTTGCTGTTCTTGTGGTTGTAGAGGTCCTGGTCCTTCGTGTAGTTTTCCTATACCCGCTAAAAGCTCTGCATCTTTCACCCAGTCAAAGAGGCATGCTGACGTTGAGGCACGCCATGGGTTGAGCTCGATAACATAGACTGGAAAAACGGTGCCAGTCCTCGTAGTCTTACTTTTAGCTGCCTCCAACATCCTATCATCACCATCATGGCATCTCTGGTGCCCCTTCCTAGGTTCTTTACAAGGACTATTCTTCATTCCACGACCTGCAAAATCCACTGACAAGTCCACGATGAAGGTGTCCACAGCAGCATTCCCCTCACCCGCTGGCAGACGAAGACTTGTTCTCAGCACAGGCCATATTTCCTGCGTCCAAGCGGACTGAATTGTGGATAATATTTCTGCCTTTAGTAACACTAGTTCTGGATAAAAACAGTAGTAGAAATACTGCGAAACTGCACGGATCTCGCCTCCGCGGACAAAACAGCGGAACTCGGACTCAGGGAGACACGAGACACGCCATGGTTGAATCACTACATAAGGCTCTTCTCCAAGGCTCTTCTCCTGCTTGTTCGTGGTTCCTTCCAACGCCCTGGAAAGGTCCCGACAAACACGGGTACTGCGAATGAAACTAATCAAGCTGTCCACTGAATCGGTCGACCGCATGGCTTCTGTCCCGGCTTCTAGGAAACTGTTGCAGGCATACTGCGCACGGAAAGCTGGCACCTTCCTTAGCAAACCTGGGTTCAACATATCGGGACTACACGAGGATGAATCGTCTCCAAGAATTCTGTGGTCTACAACCAGGTGAGGATCTTGATCCCAGCCCTCTAGTAAAGCACTCCATTTCTTCAAGAGTCTTTCATTCGGTACATCGAAAACAGTATCTTTCGCTGAGCGGCAATGGGTTTTGACAAAGCAGCCGTGTGGTCCAAAGTCTTCGAATACACATTCCATCTGCGGTAGCAGCGTGGCTTTGAGACCTGCAGCAGCATCGTCCACTGAAGATGGGTCGAAGTCTAGGACATCATCATCACTCTGCTCTGCATCCTCTTCCCGCCTCTTGCGTAGTTCTTCATCTCGTTCTTCACGCCTTCTCTCTTCTTCCTCCACTTCTCCGTCTTCTCCTCGTGGCCCCTCCCCACTGGTTGCAGATAACAAAAGTCGTAGTTTGTCTTCCACGTTCCTACTAGGATCGTCGAATTCCCAGTCGTCTGCCGCCTCCGCGAGTGTCAGAATGCACTGCATCATCTCGTCTGTCAAGGGAACAAATCGCATGGGTGCGCACAAACCCTGCGCATTGTACAAAGCCGAAGCCCACCTCTTGGCGCCTACGGCAAGGTCGGCTTCTAGCTCCTCTCTTGTTGTCGACATCGCGGCGTCGGTGCAGGTGAAGGTCGTCAGGTGGAAGGTCAAGGTTAAGGTCAAGGTCGATACAAGTGTAGTCCAGGTGACGGTTAACTGTAACAAGTGAACGATAGACAACTATACTTGCTGCCTCGTCCTCCGCTGGCACATAATACTAACTACGAAATCAAGACGAGGTTAGTGACAATAATCTGAATGTAAAAACAAGAGGGGATGGATTAGTATAGTTATATTATAAGAAAAAAGCCAAAAGATTCGAAACTATTAAGTAAAACGCCACCTTAAGGAGGCAGGCAGCTTGTAGGAAACAAACTAATAAGGTAAGGGCCAAAAAAAACAGTTTAGGTATTCAGCAATCAGCCGAATTTTGTCCAATCAAATATACTGTATCACGACAGTATCGCGCGATAACTACAAAAAAACAGGTCTGTTGTACCTGGATCGGGATCCTCTTGCATTTTCGATAAGGTTTTACAAGTAGAAAAATAGAAGTAGAATAGTCCCAAGCATACATTAGACTTATGGATAAGATAGATCATATTTTTAGAAAATCGCACAATTATTCACGCTTGATCGGGCGATCCTTTTTTTTGATCTGCTCATTCTTGTATGAACCAAAGATAGATTCTCTCTGGTTGAACACCACTCGAAGTAAATCCTCATTTTTTCATGTTCCATCTCAATCTCTAGATCCTGTCACTCGCTACTCTTAGGTGGTCGTGCGAAGAGCTACCTGTCACGCGCTTATCTTAGCACGACCCTCTAGAAGGGAGAAGTATCGATCATGCTGTTACCTAGCATCGATATTGGTCCCTTTTTTCACTCATGTACGAGCATAATTCACGATTAGATTATTCGACAGTCCTACACGAGGACTAGTCACTAATTAGTGACTCGTCTCTGGCGTTGCATCCTCTTCCCGCCTTCGCTTGGCTAGTTCACGACTAGATTACTCGGCCGATGACGGATATTGGACATGGACTTGAACTTGATTATCGCCTTCTTTATCCAGCCTGCCGCGTATGCGTTTTGATGTTCCTTTTTTTGTTTGGGTTTCCTGGAAAAAGGGTACGATACTATGCCGAGGCTGATCGCTAATAGATCCATGTCCCAGCTATTTTGGATGTCCTGCTACTGCCGAGGCAAGGAGCTAACTGAATTCTGGAAGGAGTACTGGCAAGGGTTCATCCAGATAGGGCACACGGTCGTGCATGTATTCTGCATGTAGAGTGTTCCAGATGATCGTGAATGTATTCTGCATGTAATAATCCAATATCTTACATCATTGTAGCACATGTCCAGAGCAGACAGATCTTCAATTATTACCTTCGACTTCAATTCAATGAGGGAAAATGTATTATTCAATAATATCAGTAGTATCAGTTATTTCAGTAGTATCATCGCTAGCTTTTGGGAGCAAGTATCAAGAAAACCGGCGCACTCAGATAAGCACTCATGGCGCATATATAGATTGTAGGTACTCTGTATGAAGACGGGGTCGATATGCATTTGCCGTCTTTTGTCACCAAGCTGTTCATCGATACTTGCTTGTCATCCACCCCAGAAAGGAGAAACACAAGGAAGAGATAGGGAAAAACTCAAACAAGATACTTTTTACACGACTAATAATAGTGCCAGTCAGAATGTAAATCAATCAGAGTAAATAACAAACGCTCCTCCTGTTAAAAAGAACTACTTGTAAGGAGCCTTAGCCTAAAATCCAAACGCTAGTTGTAAACAATCGAAGGCTTAAAAAAGGTCTCATCGGTGGTCCCCTGCTCCTTGGGCTTCTCCGTCTTCTTCGAGGAGAGTAGCCACCACAGCAATGAGCAGAGTAGTATTGACCAGGCGTACCCGACTCCCACAGCACTGTAGTGGATAAAGACATTTTCGGGAAGGTTGTGGGCACCCAGCTTACGACAGATTACCACAATCACCGAAATCGTGAGGGGAATCAGAAGTGCTCCGAAAATATGCAGGAACCACAGGAGCACCTCACGCGCCATCCCACGAGTTGCCGTTGTTCTTCTACTCGTACTCGTATTCGTCGCAGATGAAGATGTAAATGGACAGAAAGGATCGAGAGGACTTGCACAGAGCTCGGAGTATCAGTAAAGGTAGATCCTTTGATTTTGGAGACAACATCTCGTCTGAAATATTGTTTCAAATAGTGTGCCATTGTTTCTCTACCAACAGAGACCAGTATCCAAAAAGGTACATGTAGTCATTCACAGATTTTAGTCTATATAAGTACAATGCCTCAAGACCTAATTCAGATAATCTTCATGTCTCTATGTACAGAATGAGAATGTTCATAAGTTGTAATTGTTGACGAAGGAGGCCGCGGTGCAATAAAACGGATCGCCCTCATGTGCTTCGGGGTCCTCGTCCCTGGGTTCACCAGAACAGCTGGACTTGCAGGATTTACAACAACCTCGCGGAAGGTTAGAGAACAATATTAAGAGCAATAAAACTACGTTATCTTTCAATCAATCCTTGTAGGTGATTGTCACTAAATAAACTGTAGTACGAGTGTTGTGATTGACTAAAACTGTAGTTCTCGAAAAAAAATCTTAGGCTGCTAACAGTAGCTATTCGACGATCTAATAGCGCTGCAGAAGACCGAAAAGTGTTCTTTCAATCAATCCTTGTAGGTGATTGTGACTAAATAAACTGTAGTACGAGTGTTCATAATGTTGGGTAGAACGAAGAATAGGCTGAAGAAGACCGGAAAGTGCTCTTACCTTGCTTAAAAGGCTTATTCATGATGTCATCTTACCTCTTGCTTAAAAGGCTTATCCTGGGGTGCTCTTACCTAACATTACCTTGCCATGGGGTAACCCTCTAAAAAACAAGTTAAAGTTTATTTAAAGGCTGATTCCTAGACTTAAAAGGTTAGAACTAAGCGGTAGCGGTCATAATGTTGGGTAGAACGAAGAATAGGCTGAAGAAGACCGGAAAGTACTGGTACAGCACCGTACTGGATCCGCCCCCCATGACCAGGATGGGACTTCTGATGATGGCGCGCGTCCACTCGTTGAAAAAGTAAAAGTCGTATAGCGTCGAGAACCTTCCAGCCGACACAGCACTCCTTGCCTCTTGTTCCAGTCTTGTGGCAGCGCCGACTCTTTCGTTCAAGTCTTCCAGATCAGGGAAAACGTAAATTGTCTCTCCATACTTATTATGCAGCCTGTCTGCGATCTTCAATCCCGACGCGACCACGTGGGCTAGTACCAACAGGATCAGCCAAATGGTCGGCGTGAGAAGAAAATGGTACTTCTTTAAGACACAAAGGTGGTAGGCAATTCGCATCTCCGAGAGCAAAACCGTCCACGTAAGAATTATCATGTTCGGGAGATAGTGCTTTTTGAAATTCGTATGCAGCAAGGAGCTCAAGAACGTGCTGCGCGACCAGATTCCATTATTCATGCAAAACACGGGCCGAACCTCTTCCTGCAGCACACTGTGCACTGTCCGTCCGTTCGGGACCCCGTTCTCTCCTCCGTATGCCCAAAGTTTCAGCCGTGGCGGATTCGCATTCCTTCCAGGCTCCGGCACTCCAGCACAATTCTGGGTGATATTCTGGATTTCCAAAATCATCATGAAAAGCAGATACGCCGTCGTCACATACGGGAAGCAGCGCAAAGTGACAAAACCACACGACCTTGCAGCTTTATGATCTCTGCTCCGTTCGACTCCTTCTTCTGTGGAGGCCGGCACTAATGCCGGCGCCAAGAGCGGCGCGGCTTCAGTATAGTGGCTGGTGTTTTGCGACATTTTTTGTCTCGTGATTCTAGGACAAGAAGGCCCGTTAATGACAGACTATCAAATGCCAGTTGATCAAATATGAACTCGTATGATGAAGATGCCAAAACTATGTGGGACTCAAAAGACACGAAAATTGTCTATCGGGAACAACATATATGTGTACATACATACAACAAACTACCAGAGTCCTGGTACCGCCCCTGTGTGTTAAGTTCCAGGATGTTGTAGGCGTACTGACAAAATCACGACAGGAACCATGCAAGAAAACTCCACATGCATGATGGTCCAAAAGTGCAGACACGGGGATACCGGAGAAGAGGCCTCTCTTGTAATAATGACACACTGGTGCTCGACGACTACCAGATCTGGATTGCAGTCGCTCGCGGGACAGATTGCACTTCTTTTGGCCCTCTTACAGACATTTAGGTATGTTTAAATTATTGATGGATCCTTCGTCTGATCTTCTCGTATGGATTGTAGATTGACTCTGGTGAACTTGCTTAAAAGATCCTGATTTTTTTTCACTGTTTCATACAAAATTCGCACGATTTTGACTTTGCACCTCTGGTAGCGCTCGAGCCTGAGATCCTGGTTATTCTCGACCGACAGGAACCAAGAGCAGCGAGTTAAGTGTTTTCGTCTGACTATTACAGACGAGGATGTGGTGTGAGCTCTCTACCGCATTCATATCACAAGATCAAGTTCAGAGGTACTAGCACCAGTAATTGCAGTTCAGAGGCACTAATTGCAGTTCGGATGGAGCAGACAGCATGGACATAACATGAAGCCATGACATCGATAAATCTCTGGAAATCCCACAGGCCTTTGCCTTCTGGATCAGTCGTATTGACATAAAATCCAGAGTGCAATAAAATGTGCAGGAGGACCCTCTTACAGACATATAGGTCTATGTTTAAATCATTGATGGATCCTTCGTCTGATCTTCTCGTATGGATTGTACGCGCAAGACATAAAATCCAGAGGCAGCAGAATCTGTAAAAAATAAGGCAGCAGAACAAAGCTGCGTTAGTAAAAGCACGAACATACTACTGCCTACTGGATCTCAAGATACTGCATGATCTGGCATCTTGGTCCTGAGCGGCGCGAGAAGCAGACGTCAGAAAGAGGGATAGTTACTCATTCGTGGATAAACTCTCTGCGGGACGAAGACGTCTCTCGGCGTGGGTGCTGATGGTGAGTGTGCTGCAGATATTGATTTCAGACCAGCACGACCCGGAATAGAATAAGTGCCGCGGCCTCCATAGAAGGGATAATTCTTTTTGCATAGGGCGTGCACGTTCTCGACTCCATCGTCGCATCTGTCGTAATTGTCGGTCACGTAGACTTTTCGTTTTTCGGCTTTTCCTTATTATTTCCTTTTCTCCATTTCGAATTTCCGTCGCCACTTTCTCTTTTGCTTTTTCAGTTAGACCATCTAGTGATCTACTTCCCTTTGCTTTGATTTACGGGTGTTTAAGGCATGACAAAGTGTACATCGGGGTCACCCAGCGCTTTTGCGTATTGGTGAAGGGACAAGAGACGGTAATTTGAATGGTACTTTCCGCCAACTGTTGAGAACGCTTCATACAGTTTTGGAGAGATACTCTTCGCGGGGTCCCCAAAGCAGATCAAGCATTTCGGTCGCGGAAGATGTTTTTCGGCGTGAACAGCGCCAGCAGTGTCCACCCTCTCCTCGCCACCGCTTTTGTTCATCTCGTCAATCGCGATTGGGAGGTGCAAGGCAATGCGATAATCTTCCTCGCAGCGTACCGTTCTCCCGTCGAATCGTACATAGTAGTAGGGGTTTTCAGTATCGTGCGTCTCTGCTCCCGGCAGGTAAAAGCCCTGACAACCGAAATCTGTGTCATGGTTGTAGCCAGTGATCTTAAGACACTGCAAATGGGTCAGCTTTGTCAAGTCCAGAGACAAGCCTGTTTTCAGGAGCTTTCTGTGAGCGTTACCCACGATTACCCCTGCATGACACAGAAAACGAAGGTTTACCAGCTGCTCGCACATCTTTAGAAAACGGAAGTCGCCAAGGCGGAAGGTACCAATTTCCAGATGCTCCAGTGTGTCCTTGAGAGGTAAAATGCCTGACGTCAAGCCTTTCACGTTTTCATTCTGGTGGCTCGCGCATCCGCAGTCCAAAACGAGTTTCTTAATCTGGTACGTGTCGAGCATATTTTGAACTTCTTTAAGGTGCATTCAAACTATTGCTTGTAGCACAACACACTGACTTGTTGTTTCTATTCCGCTATTGACCAAATCTAAAAATTTTTAGCAACGGGCTACTCTGCTCAGGCACGCACTCCAACTTAAAAGTTATCTGGTAATTTTTCCAAAGCTCACAACTATACCTGGGTCAAGTGCCGGAGTGCCGACCAGTCCACATCGCCTCCTGGAGAACCCCAATTCCAGTGGTAGGTGAAGCTTAGCAGGTTCGGAAAGTAGTTCTTCAGTCCTAAGCCTGCCTTGCGCACGTGCAGTTCCTCACACTTGCTCTTGAATTCAATCACCAAATGCTGCACGGTTTCGCCGTTGATCCTTTCCTTGGTAAAATCGTCCTTAGAGATGACAACGCGTGCAGGTTTTTCCCAGTCGTCATTCGGCACGAAGATACATGTGTCATCCTTGGAATACACATGCCAGACAAGATCATCTTCATCTCCGTTCATACCCATCTCGTCAGCGTCCAGCGAGTCTTCACTTTTCTCCATGCCATCTGCGCTTCTTACGCTGTTGTGCTTCTCTTTCCGCGCCCTTTTAGTAGAGCGACTGTGCGCAGCCAGGTTGGCCTCTTTTTTTCGCAGTAGGTTCGTCTTGTTCTCGAATTTTCTTGAGCAACATGCGTCCTCACTATCGCTATCCGCAGAGGAGCTTTCCGCACTCTCGCTAGTGTTCTCGAGCTCCGAGAAATAGAACCCCTCCTCATCACGTGACTCGCAGGAACTACTGTAAGTGTCATCAGAAGTGGACTCCTCGTCTGCCTCCGGCAAATCAGGTCTATCAGAAACGTCTTCTCCAGCCGCTGCGCCGTTGCCATCAAAATCATTGGAAACAGCTTGATCGTCATCTTCTTCGTTCGTCGCAAGTGCAGAGTCAGACTCGGCGTCTTCATCTTCTTCTTCTTCTTGACTTCCATCTGAGGAATCTCCAATGCACGTTGACACATTTTCCATCAGATTTGGACGAGCGGGCCGCTTGTCAGGTGGAATATAGACCGTTCCCAGATGAACCAAGGTCTCGTCGCCGCCCACTTCGTCTTTGTAATTCTCGTTCCAAGTGGTGCATATCAAAATGAAAGCCAAAAAGTTCGTTGCTGCGTCGACTGGCAGCTCCTCCTGTCTATAGCAACGAGATGAGTACCTATTTCTATTGCAGAGCGTGACCAGGCCAGCAGGCAGATCTGTCAGATTGAAAACGCAATCTAACTATTGAAAAAAAATCGAAAAGCGTTTCTGCATTACATGCAAGTATATCGCTACAAAATTAGCGTCTCAATGAGAAACTACTGGGAGGGGGACGGTAGGCACTTTCCATGATACAGGTGTCACCACTTCTAGAGGTCGCTTCCTTCTTCCTTTTCTCGGCCCAATTCGCTCCTTGCCAGAAGTTCGTGATGTCGCGTTTGGGTAGGCGCAGGCTTCCTGGGCTCTTATTATCACGCGAAGAGACCTCCTGACCATCGTTTACCATCATAAACAGCTCATCGTTTTCTGGGTGCTCTGTGTCCAAATCCAGTGGAAATTCCTCAAACAGGTACTGAAACCCCACGTCGCTAAGCCTCTCGCAGTGCCGGCTGTAGGAACGTTCCTCTTCGTTTTCGAAGTAGCTATAGTAATATAGACAAGCGTTTGCTCCGTCCCCCTCGTCGGAAGAATCCTGTTCCTGGTGCGCGTTATTGAAATGCTGGCGCGTGTTCACCTCGTCGCCAGCGCGAATGACCAACCGGTTGACCTCTAAGTCGCCTTTGAAAGGGAGTCTTTTCGAGGCATTCCGATCCAGATTGTTATCGCCCGACGATTTTTCTGTTCCCCTTTCCTTTCCGAGGGGCTGAACACTCTGCCCCGGAGGACATGATTTTCTTTTGGATGTCATGATGCAGCTCATGATCTAAAACTAATTACGCCAACTTAATTTCAATTCTTCACTTCAAAACCGACCCAAACGCTAAATTAGTTCCGCTGCCGGTTGTCTACAATTTACTGATTATATTAGTGTAAACCTGATGTTTTGCGACACGAAAATGTTTCCTCGAGAAAATGGCGCAGAAAATGTTTCCTGAAGAGGGAACTAAGCAACTCGCGAAGAACCCACAGTGCTGTTTTTCCCATTGGTCATCATGGTAGAGCTCAGTCATGATGCTGCCTTGGATCTTCGTGCGATGTAGAGTGGGGATCTTCTGTGCATATCATCAAAATAAATGTTCTCGTGCTAGTGCTCCCGCAAGCACCCACGGGAAAAAAGAATGGTGCATGAGATTAAGCATAAATAAGATCATGATATTAACAGACTCACAGCACAGTCTCCTCTCCTTATGCGCAGCTGCAACAGAATGTGCTCGGAAGCCCTTCTCGTCAACTACATTTATAATTTTTACTTTAGACACACAGGCACCGCGCACGGATAGAAGAAAGTTCAATTATTAAAGTTTAGATCAGTTCGGCCGGCTTACCTAGTTCTGTTTGCTAGTTGTAATAGACCCGGGGCGCGGGGGTAATTGCGTGCGTTTGGCTAACTCGGTTCGGCTAGTTTAGGGACGCTTTTTTGGTCGAGGTAGTTCAGTCTGGTTAGCGTAGATGGTCAGGCTATCGGGCGGGCGAGTGGGAACCGGCGTTGGCGGGAAGGCACGAGGGGGGGCCATGCTGGTGGGCTAGTCGGTTGGCACGCTGCGGGGCGGAGGGTGGGCACGGAGGAGGGCAAGCCCGTGCGAAAGTGGATGGACAAAGCGGCGGGCAGGTGGGTGGGCTAAGTAGGTGGCCTAATTTTCCGGGCGAAGTACCTGGGGCAAGTGGGTCGGCAAAGTGGGTGGGCTGCGTGGATGGGCTGAGTGGGTGAGCTAGGAGGGCGGGCTGAGCGGGGGGGGCTAGGAGGGCGAGCGGTGTGGGCGGGCTGAGTGGGTGGACCAATCGGTTGGGGCAGGAACGCAGGGGCCGGGTAAACGGGTTGGCAGGCTGGTAGGGTAGTGCGCGGGGAAAGGCGCGGGGAAAGCCTTTCGAGTTTGTGTGCGCAAAGAGGAACGGAGGGCAAGGCCGTCACCCAATTTGGAGGGGGGGCAAGTGGATCGGAAATGCGGTGGGGGGTGTGACATAGGGGTGCGTAGGGGCGCTACCGCCCTCCGTAGCGGCGGACGGGGCCAAAAGGTGCGCGCTTTCAATCAGGATGCGAAGGCGTCCCGATAGAACTTCGCCGGGCTCCTGTCTTTCGGGGCTTTTGTAGTGTGAAGCCGTAGGAAGTCACGGCTTTACTGGCCGCTGCACCGCAGCAATCGCAAACCCAAAGGGAGAAGGGTGGCAGCAGCGAGCAGCGCACGCCCTGCGGACGCATGGAAAGCCGCCGCGAGCTACAAAAGCGCGGCGACCTGTAAAGCCGCGCTTCTTTGCGCGTTTACTGTGGGGAAGTCTGCAAGTTTCTTGCACTCCTTGGGAGAAAGCAAGCGGAAGGCGGTTCGCGCGAGACCTCGACCTGTTGCGGACCGGATGCTAGGTTTGGAGCAGGAGGCCCACAACCTGGCCAGCAGGTCCGGACGCGTGGCCCTTTGCTGCAAAACCGCGCCCCCTTGCGCGCCTACAATGGGAGAGCCTTCAAACGTCCTGGGTGCCGGGGGATATTGCAGGCGGAAGGCGGCCCGCGAGAGTCGTCGACCTATCGCGGAACGGCTGCCAGGTTTGGAGCATGAGGCCCGAAACCAAGACGGCGGGCCCGGGCGCGTAGCCCTCTGCCTCAAGACCGCGCTCCTTTGGGCGTTTACAGTGGAGAGGCCTCGGAGTATCCTGGATGCTGGGGGATATTGCAAGCGGAAGGCGGTCCGCGTGGGTCGTCGACTGATCGCGGAACGGCTGCCAGGTTTGGAGCATGAGGCCCGTAACCGGCCCAGCAGGTCCGGGCGCGTGGCCCTTTGCTCCAAAGCCGCGCTCTTCTGCGCGTTTTCAGTCGAAGGGCCTCCAAGTCTTTCGCATTACTGGGGATGCCTCAGGCGGAAGGCGGTCCGCGTGCGTCGTCGATTTATTGCGGAGCGGTGCGGGCTTGGGCCCAATCGCGGCGGCCAAAGAAACCGGCGAAAGCCCTGAGGGATTTTGGACCCCTTTCGGCCCGGCCCTTCTCAACCCCAAAGGGCCGACGCCGAACCAAACCGGCAACCGGCGCGCGGGTCGCCGAGGTCATCGACCTATCGCGGCCCGGCTGCCACATTGCTGGAGCATGGGGCCAGCGAGCGCGCAGGCGTGGCCCCTTGCTCTCAAAGCCGTGGCCTGCCGCGGGTTCTGCTTGGAAGCTCTTCAAAAGTCCAGGCTTCGCGATCCCGGCAAGAGAAGCCGCGGAGTTTAGTGGGCTCCCAGTGGAGTCCCTAAGGGTTTCCTGGTCGCCGCGCTGGAAGCTGAACCTTTGGGAATCTAGTGCGCGCTTAGGTCAAACCGCGACCAGACTCCGCAAAAAGGAAAACGCCCCCACTTAATTTACCGCCGGCCGCCATAGGAGGCGGCGTCGCCCGGAAGGGGGAGGGGGGGTAGGGTCGCTAGCACCCTCTTTAGAGGCCTACGGGGAAACCTATGGGGGGCTGTGTTCCGCCCCCCTCAGTTTCCCTGACCCTCTCGCCCCTGCCTCCTTGGCCTCCTGTGGCGTTTCCGCCCCTGCCTCTTGTTCGGTCCCTGGTGGTTTCCCCGTGGTTTTCCACACTTTTCTGCCCTCACCCTTTTGAACCCGGCAGGCCACTTCGTTAAACACAGGCGCCAGCGACCTGCGCCAGGGCTTTCGTCGCCGTTGTCGGCTTATCGCGGTCCGGCTTCGGAGCCGTGCGCCCATGGAGTCAGCAGGCGCGCGCGCTGTCTCCCTGGCTGCCTAAGCCGAAACTTTTCAAGCGTTTAGCTTGGAAGCCTCTCAAAGGCCGGGGCTCTTCAACCAATCAACAACCAGCGCGAGGGGCTTCGTCGCCGCGTCGCCGTATCTCGGTGCGGCTGCGAAGCCGCAGGGCCATGAAGTAAGCAGGCGCGCGCGCGCGGTCTCCTGGCTTCCAAAGCCGCGACTTTTTTCAAGTGTTCAGCCTGGAAACTCTCCAGGCGCCGGGGCCTTTCGACCAATCAGCAAACGGCGCAAGAGCCTTCGTCGCCGCGTCGGCTTGTCACGGTGCGGCTGCGAAGCCGTAGGGCCATGAAGTGAGCAGGTGCGCGCGCGCGGTCTCCTGGCTTCTAAAGCCGCGGCCCCCTCAAGTGCTCGGCTTGAAAACTATCGAAAAGACGGGGCCTCTGGCCAATCAGCGAGCAGCGGAGCGCACTCGAGGAGACAGGAGGCGGCGGCGTCTAGTGTGGGCCTGCCTCCCATCACGATGAGACCCGCGAAAAGCAACACGCCCGAAGTTGGTTCTCCAGTGCGCACCCATAGAGGGCGACTGCGGTCCTAGGCCTTTAAAGGGGGGACTAGGGCCACGCCCGCCCTCTATACCGTCCCACGGGAAACTAATGCAGAGAAGACGCCGGCCCGGTGGATCTCGCTCGCGATTCGCGCGCAGTCTCCATTAGTTCCTGCCGATTTAGGTTCCCCCTGAGAACCTAGCCGGGGCCAGCGTGGGCCACGCGTTAGACTTCGCAGCGCGTTCTTCTGCCGTGCGAAACTGGCGCGCAAAACCTCGCTCCCGCCATTAGATCGCGGGCAGGCTTGGCAACTGCCTGAAGGGTGCGACTTTCTTCGAGTGGGGAAGGTAATCCCCTTCAGCAGTCGCCTTTTTTCGAAGGCCTGACTGCGAGCCATCGAGCGGCCGCCTGTTTCCGGGTTGCGAAGCTGATGCGCAAGGCCTCGCTTCCGCCATTAGATCGCGAGTAGGCTTGGCAGCTACCTAAAAAGCGCGACTTCCTTCGAGTGGGGAAGCTAATCCCCTTCAAGGGTCGCCTTTTTTCGAAGCCCTGACCGCGCGCTATCGAGCGGCCGTCTGCTTGCGGGTTGTGGGGCTGATCTGATGCGCAAAACCTCGCTTCCGCCATTAGATCGCGGGCAGCCTTGGCAACTGCCTGAAAGCTTCGATAGTCTTCGACTAGGGAAGGAGATGCCTTTTTTTAAAAAAGTCGCCTTTTTTCGGAGCCCTGGCTGCGTTCTATCGAGCGGCCGCCTGTTTCCGGGTTGCGAAGCTGATACGTAAAGCCCCGCCTCCGCCATAAGATCGCGCGCGCGTCTTGGAAACTACCGGAAAAGTGGGCGCGACTTTCTTCGAGTGGGGAGGGTAATGGCCTCAAAAAAACGCCCTTTCTCGAAGCCCGGACTGCGCGCTATCGCGCGGCCGCTTGTTTCCGGGCTGCGAAGCTGACGCGTAAAATCTCGCCGCCGCCATTAGATCGCGGGCAGTCTTGGCAAGGTTGCCTAGACCTAGCAGCCGGCCCGCGACAAGTCGACAACAAGCGCGCATCGCAGACAGCCTGCCCACGATAAGTCGGCAAGCCGAAACAGCGGGCCCGTTGGCTCTCAGGGTCTAGAAAAGTCGCGGACTTTAAACCCTATAAGGCTCAGACTTGTGAGAGCCTAGCAGCCTGCCCGCGATAAGTCGGTAAGCCGAAAACGGCTGGGCCTTTGTAAGTCTGAGGCACTCAGGGCTTAGAAAAGTCACGGACTTCTAAGCCCTCAAATTTTCAGATTTGTGAGAAGGGGCGCCACCTCTGGGGCCATCCGCTTCCTTCCTCTTCGGTGGGTCTGATATTACGCCCCAGCAACTGCCTGCAGGGCTCTGGCGTTTTCGCTGCAGGCATCCTATCGAAGCGAGAGAGCCGCGACCACAACAGGAACTAGCGGAGAAAACTAATGCCAATTCTTCTCGATTAGTTTCCCGCGGAGCGGTGCGGAGGGGGATCGAGGCGAAGCGGGGGGATGGGGGGTGGACAGGAGAGAAGGCTGGTGGATGGAAAGCTGGGTGGGTTAGGTCAATGGGCGGCTTAGGTAGCTGGGTGAAAAAGAAGGAAAAGCAACGGGCGGACAAGTTGAAAGGGCTACATAGCTGAGCGGAGTGGGTTGGGAGAGCCAAGAG